TTTTCACAAGGCGTGTGCCGTCCCAATGATAACCATCCGGGATTGGTGTTCCAGTTGGAGTGTACTTGATATCAGGAAAAACTGGTTCCTCAGCCGGCCTTTCATCACTGGCGAGTGCGTCAAGCACTGCCTCCGTTGACTTGTCAATTGCTTCTTCACTTGCTTCTGCATGTTCCTCTGTTTGCAGTTCGGATTGAAACGGAATTGGACGAGGATCAGCAATGACATTGTCAGCAAGACGGTCCGGCTTAGGCTCTTTGGCCTCTTTCAATGCACGGAGTGGGAAGACAAAACCTCCCGCGATGAGCTCAACACGTCGTGCTCGCTGCACTGTGATGCTGCCCGTTTCTGCATGGTAATCCAATGCTTCTAACTTGGCAACAAGATACTCACCTTTCCATGCAAAGCCAGGTTGAATGTGGTATCCCAAAAAGATTCCATCATTTGCTGTTGGTGATGTCTTTCCAGATGTGTTGTCAACCCTTTTTGGATTGTTCCGAAACAGTATCTTTGCACCGAAAGGAATCAACTGACCTGGAAAATCTTCTTCGAATCTGAGTTTCCATGGGGCATCATCACCGTTGAGCTGTGGCGTGGCATTCACTGCCATGGAGAAATGCTGCATAGCCATCGGCCAATACTGCAATGGAAGACCTGACTGCACGAGGTTTGTGCGTGTGCCTTCAAGCATGTGCCTGATCTCCCTCTCCACAAACGACTTTGAACTGTCCACATACTCTGTTGATGTTTGATGTCTGTACCCCAACTCTGAAATTGTAGCAATAAGTTCTCGTGAATTGTCAGTGTAGACTGCCCCAACTTCATCCTTGTGAGATAAGAAGTGGTTAAAAGCATTGACGCATGACTCACTCGATTTTGTCTGACTTGGATAGACGTGTCTGAACTGAGTGTGAATGTCTTTCATCACCAATGCCACTGTTTCACCTTTGACGCCTTCTTCCACATTGGATTTGATTACAGTATGGTCAGCGACAATGTGATCCCCAAAACTTTTGGTTTCCAACCTCTTCTGTCCCCCTTTCTTCTTTGCGGGTGGCGCCATCATGCGCGCCTTCTGACAGATTTTGCAAAATGGATTCTTGGGGTAATGGCAAAACTGGTGAGACTTGCTGCATGCCTCTTGCTCAAGGTCAGATGCCTTTCTAGACCTGACGTACTCGGTTTCGCTATCATGAGCTACTCCCTCATCCACGCCTTCTTCATCGGCACCTTCTGCTTTTGCAGCAACCATTGCAAAGAGACGTAACAGATCACAATCTTTCTTGAACTGTCCACTGTTCAAAACACGACAAGAGCTATCGATGACCGGCACACGGCCGTCTACGTTAAGCTCAATGACTCCCCATGTCCGGACGAATGAAGTAAGGCCTACCATCAGCTGGCCACACAAAACTGTAACCCTGTTCCATACACCTGACACCAACCGAAAGAACAGCAGGAGTTTCTTCGAGGATGTATGGTGAGAATGGCTGATGTAGGGCATCGACTTTTACGTCGGCCACCTCATCCGCTCGTGTCGAACCGTTCGCTGTAGCAAGGCTGATTGGGGTATCGCTGACACGGCGGTTTGTCGCCTTTGCAGTCTTCAGCATACCCTCACTAATCAAATCCTGTTCACTGCCCGTGTCAACCAACCAAACACATCCATCTTTTGATGCCGGTGTAGCAACAGTGGGCAAATGAGTGTTACTGACCTTGTTCTTGGGACCAATCATTGCTCTACAGTGGTTGCATGATACTCCTCCTTCTGGGTCATTGCATCGGAATCGGCATTTGGGCTGCGTCTCACTGCCGAAGAGCTTCACAAGTTCCTGCAACTGCCGGGCCGAAACCTGAGCACGGTGAGCCACGAGTTTGTCGGGTTTTGGCACTGACTCTGAATCAGGGAACGTCTTCTCGTAGATTCGGGGTTTGTGCACTACCTTCCTCTGTTCACCTGTTGCTGGGACTTTGATGTATTCCACTTTTGATGAAAACACAATAGCTCTATGGCATTGTTCTTTCATGGCCTTTGTAGCTTTCGGCAACCCTTTTCCCTTTGCTATGCATGCATACCTTTGAGTAATGCATGGCGCAGCTTTTGCACTGGCCTTCTTCTTTGGTGCAGGGCTATTGGTGCGTTTTGGATCCTTTGTGGGTGCAGCTGCAACTTCATGTTTGTAAAAACACTTGTCACCACGACGACATTTGCCCTGTTGAAAGTAAGTGCATGGGATCTTGGCCATCTCTTCCTTCGACTTTCTGTTGGGGGAACCACTTCTGCTACCACCTTTGCCCTTACCCTTCCTTTTGGGGGTACCAGATCTTGAGGAATCTTTGACATGCTTGTAGGGACAGTCTTTACCCTTTTCGCACTTGCCATCCCTGAACTTGTAGCATATTTTATCCCCTTTTCCACTCTGGCTTCGACCACGGGTTCGACCTCTGTCGCCCTTTCCTTTGCCGCGGTCTTTGCCCCCCTGAGCGGGTGCAGCGGGCTGAGGCTTTTCGGTCTGCTTGTTCTTTTCAACGATTCTGTTTCTGTTTGAACGGAGTCTTTCTCTATCCAAAAGATCACGAATGTTTCTCAACAAGAATGCATAAGACTTTTGTTCTGACTTTTCAGGAGCTCTGTCAAATGCTTCAATGTCATACTTCATCAATTGACATTTTCGAATTTGTCTGAGTAAGATGTCTCTGAGAACCAAATCATCTGGCGGGGTTTCCATGCCGGCAATTGTGGCGTCCCATCGGTTCAAAAACCTTCTAAGGTCCTCCACAGATTCTCCAGTGCGAACGACTCCAAGTAGGTCCTCGACGCGGTAGAGACTGCCAGCTTCCTCAGACGTCCTGGAGTAATCTTCAAACATCAAAAGGACTCTCCTACCTCTGACTTGGATCCCTTTCTTTGACTTCTCATCTTTGAAGTTATGGATCTTTGTTGCTAAATCACCTTTGGCCGAGCGAGTTAACGCTGCCGACAATTTGGTGTCAAGTGTGATAAACTTCCCAGGTTCCTGCAGCTTTTCCTCCAACTTTTCCCTAGGGGTTTTATTGTCAAAGACTTCATTGAGCCAAAGCCAAGCCTCATCGGGTTTGTCGGAGCACGACTTGACTTCGTCCCTGACATGATTACGCCAGTGACGATACGCTTCTGGGGCAGGCATGTCGTTCAGTTTGATAGTCTCTGCCTCTTTTGTTCGGGGCTTTTCACCATCTGAATCCTTTGAAGTCAGTCTGGTGATGAGATCTAGCAATTGTTGACCTGAAAGACCTAAGCCTGCTTCAGCTGCTTTCTTGCCAGGGTCGCTTGCTATTACTGTAGGACTGGGCACACTATGTTCTTGATTTGCATCATCATCATTTTGTCTTTGAACTGGCAATGGTGGAAGTTTTGGAGGGGCTGCTGATCCGGCAGGGGTAGTTGAGAACAAATTGCTCAACCTTTCCTTAGCGTCCATGGCTAAGCTACTCATACCAGTGTTTGGCATGGGTTCTGCTCCAGCCTTGGTACCGACCGCGGATTTTGGGGTCATGTACAAATCGACGTTGTTCCCGCCTTGTGTATCATCAACTTCGACGGCTCTGTCGACATTGATTTCCGGAGCGCTGTACTTGTTGAGCTTCTCCATCAAATCCTCCACTTGTCCCTGCAATTGGAAGTTTAGTTCAGCAGCTTGGTTTTCCTGCCTACTGCATTGCTCTCTAATCTCCTGGATTACAGCTTGTTCCTCCTTCTTGAAACCTTCCATGCCATTCTTTGCATACTCTACTGTTTCATCCACGATTCGTTTACAGTCTGCCTCGAGGCTACCTCTGAGTTCAGAAAACCTTTGTTCATACTGGGCTGTAACATGGGCTACCTTTTGGTTTGCTCTTTGCTCAGCTTCCAGTGCAACTGCATTTGCAGCGTTCTTCAGCTTTGCGTTTGCATCGCTAAGTTCCTGTCTCAGTTTTGCGACCTCATGCTCAGTTGCCGTTTGGGACATTGAATACTCTGACACTAGGTGTTCATGTCTACGATCAGCTTCTGCACGTTGATGGGCAATTTCACTAAGGCAAATTCCCTCAAACTCTTGGTACAGTTGCTGGACCTTTTGTTCCATGAGATGTGTGTGTCTCTCTTCTGCCTCTTGTCTGAAAGCGTCAATGTTACCTTCGTTGATGTAGGTAAGATTGTTTTGCACGAACTGAAAATATGCCTGGACGGGCTGTGTGAAGAAACCTTCATCTACCGACATGGGCGTGGGAGTTGCCCCAGCCGTCACAGGCTGAGATCCAGTTGATGCAGTCGCCATTGTTCCTGAAGCAGGTACGAGAGCGCCACCACCTGTAGCATCATGCGACTTGTCCATGGCTTTAGAGACTACGGCTGATAACCTGTATTTTCAGGTTTCAGCTGGGGTTAACCTAGTTATACCCAAGTAGACTGATAAACCTAGAAGACTACACAAAACACCGTTAAGCTAGCAGCTAAACCCTTTTTGGACTGAGCCGCGTTGCTGTCGTACGCATATCTATGATACATGGGTTTTATAGTGGAGTGAAAATACACAAACATCTACATCTATAGTATTCTATGGTAAACACTAAGTAATCTATAGTAAATCTACATCTATAGTAAATCACTATAGTAAATCACTAATATACTAATAAATCATACCAGGCGTTTATCAATCCTGAGTAATTGATGAGTATTGAACTAGGTGCAATAAAGTCGCCACTTTTTAAGGTCCCCCCTGATTGGTCAATCAGAGTTTATCAATCCGCCTTCTGCAGTGCCCATGCGTGTGCATGCGTGTTTGGTTGGCTGATTGATTGGTAGCGAGCCAGGCCGTTTGTTAATATATAATACCTGGGGGTTACAATGGTTATATAAATTTGATTCAATTATCATGTTCCTATGGTTTTCCTATGGTCTTCCTATCAATTCCTATGGGTTTCCCATGGATTTCCTATGGTTTTCCCCATGGCTTTCCCATGTTTTTTGGCATTCCGGCCTGTCATTCCAGGCCGGTCGCCCTCGGCGGACCGGCGAGGAACGGGTCAAGTCGCCTGTGGACCTCAGCTGTCTGAGGTCAAGATCTCGGTCATATACATGATGACATGATACATACATTACTATGTATATATAATATGTATATATATATATACTGTGTATAATATATATATGTACTGTATATATATATATATATCTACTGTGTATATATAACATATAATATACATACATTACTGTGTATATAATATATATACTGTGTATATATAATATATATATGTACTGTGTATATATATATATATATATTATATATACTGTGTATATATATATATACTGTGTATATATATATACTGTATATAATATACACTCTCCGGTAATCAAACACGGCTAGCTGGAAAAAATGGGAAATCACAGGACTAAATATGGAGGTTTTTATGGGAAAAACATCTATACATGGCTAACATGGCTATCAAAAATGACCCACGCATTTAGTTCCCTATTAATCATGATGATTTTATATAGCTATGTTAAATTACCAGAAGGTACATATAATACTGCCTCGGGGTTAGGCCTGCGAGGATGGATGAAACCATTATCTGTTTATGTATCAATGCATCTGTATGTTCAAATTATATTTTGAAATTAGTCATAATCACTATATGTGCATGTACGTTTGTGTATACATATTGTATACATAATTTTGTGACCATCTAATCGTCATTCTATCGTATGACCAATCTAGTAGTACTAGGCGAAAACGCACACTTCTGTGACATACATATCGGGTATATGATGGGAAACCGAACTTGTATAATTAATAATAACCCGTGCATATTGCTCCACATATCCCACATGCATATGTGAGTCCATATATATTATATTCATAATTACTAGTGTTTCCATAGCTTATAGAATTATAACTGTCATAAGTCCATGTTAACTTGGAGGCACCTTCTTGCATCCCAGAAATAATCCTATACATATTCCATACATGATCCCATAAATATTCTAGACATCATCCCATAAATATTCCATATGTATATATATATCCTAATATATTCTCCCATAGATCATCGCATTAAAAAGAGAAAATAAACAGAATCTGACTGGTGCTAAACGCAGGGAATGGGGGAATGGGATGGTTATCAAAATAGCTAGTAGAGATCATTCGCCCGTGCCCTTCTGAGGAAAATCATATTATACCAAAAATAGTTATTACCAATGATAACATTGTATGTTAGTTCCTTAAAATAGTTATTATAGTTGGTTTATTTAAATCTAAGCACCAGAAAGGAATTCTGCCCAAAAATTGCCAAGTTACTGTCCTTTGGACATGAGTTCCTGCGCTGCTTTCAGTTGACCCCTCGACCGAGCTCTGCCTCGTTGCCGGGGAAACATGCCATTTTTACTGGGATTACCTGGGAATTTCACTGATCAAAAATTAGGGCTTAACCATGCTTAACCCATGAACATGTGGATTGAAGCAATGCAACTTGGGATTTCACCAATGAAAAATACAATTTAACCAGTGACATTTTGGAGTTAGCCAGCGTAAAGGTGGATTGAATCAACAAACAAAATGGATTTCCGCCATGAACCTTAGGATTGAACCCATGAACATTTTGACTTAACCACCAAACATGTGGATTGAACCAACAGGAATGGTTGCCTTTTTTGGAAATATGTATTTTTTGGAAATATAGCGAAGTCATCTATATACAGTTTTTGTCGGAAAGCCAAAACCGCCAAAACCATCCCAATTTGAGCAGTTAAATGGGCTGGATTTCAACTATGCAAAATTGGAGGTTCATTAAATCCCTTGCTTATTGTTAGAGTCGTTAGAGCAATGTACCCAACCTCCATCATCCGGGTGATCACCTCACCCTCGTTGGTTGTGATAGGTTCCCAATTCTCTTTTTGTATCTTTTGTTACATAATTCCCAATTCGCTAGTATAAGTCCCTAAGTATGAAACAATCAACCAGGGTATATCTTATATGGCTCAACTAACCTTTCTACTTCAAGACTTGTGTTCCATCAGCAAGAACCCAGTGACACAGCCAGCAGTTGCTGTGGTATCCACCCAATGCCATCTGCACCATCCCCAAGTCATCACCATAAATGGGTGGGTTTCCACCCATCCCCAAATCGTAGACTTATTGTTGGCTTTACCACATTAGTTTGTGTTTATGAGTGTTCGATGGTCGAATATATCATGGGTATTGACCTCCTATGATCCGCAAACCCCTCTGCAATATGGCAAATACTGGTTGGTTTAGAGGTTCCCATATTGCATTATGATTATGCCTGTGAAAATTAGTTCATCATCTCATCAAACATCACCCAAACAAACATATGCATAATGTGATATATTATGTATATATATATATGTACATATTACAGTCGATACTAGCTCCTAATCCTAGTCCTAATCATAATTGTCCCCCAAAAAATATGACTCCGAACATCTCTATATGGTAAAAGTATGTAAAAGTCCAAGAATTCCCATATTAAATCCATATGAAAATGTAGTATAAACCCAAGCAAAATCATCGCCTGCATTGCTCGTGGGAGAAGCCTCAACTGACTCACCACCTGACCAGGTGGCACATTGGATCATAGGCTGACAAAAAACCGGCAGGTCTCTACAAATTAGTGCTTCTATGAATGTATTTAGGGGCTAGGGAAGAAAAAATATGATCAAGTTACAAGATTAGGCTGTACTGTACTGTATGATCTGCTTGAGTGAGAAAAACAGGTCGGGACTGTGGCTGGGCACCACTCTAATTTGGTCGAATAACCTCCTCTCATCTCCCTTTAAGGTGCAAGATATTGCAAACTTTCTTGCGTTTGTTTCATCATTCAAACACGTTTTCCGTTCGCAAAACAACCGAAACATGCTTGTCCTGTTTCTTATCTTCAGTCCAGTGACATCTTGCAAGCAGCAAACTACGCTGCTAATCACGCAATTCACCAGATATATCCAGATACAATCCATCGTTTGCCACATAGATACAGGTCAGTAAATGGCTTGTCATCAAGTTTCACTTCCCCTAGGATCATCACCTCAGGACATGCTGTTGACATACTAATGTGGGAAAGCCAAAAGCCATAAACCTAATTACCATAAACTGGGGATGGTTTCTACCAGCCATAGCTAAATGGCTATAATATGATATAAACATCTATATAATCCATCTACTAGCCATGTATAATCCATGATGTTAAAATGATCCACCCATTTAACCATGACGAACACTCACCGTTGGCAAAGGCAAGCAGCCTGTTAATCACCGTTGGTTTCCCTGCCTGAGGTGGTGGCCACGTTGTTGATGACCAGCAGCAGTTCATCCCATTTGCGACGCACCTGACACGCTGCGATATCGATCAAAGGCAAGCTTCAAAAAGCTGAGGAAAATCAGCATGTTTAATGGGTAAATCAATTATATAATATATATATATATATCAAAAAATAATATATGTATTATGTAATATTTATGGCTATGTTCAATAGCAAACTGTTAAATTACCAGAGGGTACATCAAAAGTGAAGACGACACGCTTGGGAAATTGCCCGAAACGAATACGATATGTCCGTGTTTGGATGTGGCAAATATGCTCAGGGGCAGAGGATCAGATGTTCGTGGTGTTCTGTAATAAAGCTTCCACTTTTGGGTACCCAACTTTGACCTCATAAATCTCCATAAACCATCATGAATCCATGATCTTTGCTGCTTTTTGTTGCTGCTTGTGGTACTGCGGCCACTCTCCCAATCGATGTTTTAATTGCTACGCTTCATCTGTCTTCCAGCTTCCTCCCACATTGGAATGTGCAGGGGTACCCTTGAGAAGGTACTTGGGAATCTTGGGGATCTTGGGGGTGCATTCCACTTTAGCAAGTGGGTCATAACATGTCATAACATGTTATACATAACATGTTCGAACCAACGTAGAACTGAAGTATACCTAGGTATACCATTGCCGTGGTATACGGGCATACCCCTGATAATTGGATACACTTGGATCATATTGGGTCTCAATATTGCTATTGGACGTCATTCGCATTTCTTAGCCACGAAAAACATCCACTGGGCTGCACATCCAGGGACCCCATTCCGATTTTTTCCCCGTGAGTGGACACACCCAAATGCATTCAATAACTCAATAACATTCAATAACCCTATGTATGCTGGTGAAACCTACATTTTGGGGGTGTAAGTGCTTGCAATCCAGACCAATTGTCATGTTTGCGATCTGGTTGATTTTTCACTGGTATCCATATCATCATATCCAATGAAAATACCCAGCTATTCCCATTCAATGGGTGTGTCTGGAAATGTCCCAGGTAGTGGCATAATGAAAGTGAACAAGATGTTCTAAACAATGGTCTTCCTAACATTGTCTGGTACCAAACCCAAATATCATACCAAAAGTTAGGGACAAAAATTGCAAAACAGTGCCTAAAGAGATAGCCCAAAAACATGGTAGAGAGACAATGTAACATATCTCCCATTGCATCCCATGAACTATCCCCACGAATCCCATAAACCGTTCAATGATATCCCTGAAAAATGGCAGTTCTCTCCATAATAGGGCCGGGCGATCCATAGCCTTCCCACGTTGAGACAAAAACTGAAGATGAGTCAGCTGTTTCTTGTCGGCCTCAGTGATACTTTTCATGGGCTGATTCGCCGCCAGTGAATATGAGGAAAAACCAACAATTCTCATAAGCCAACATAAGCCAACATAAGCCAAAACCAACAATTCTATGGTGATATCATCGGAGAATACGCATTTCTCTTAAGCCAACATAGGCCAACAATGTCCAATGATTTGTTACCTGAAAATGTTGGGAAAACATGCAACATTTGGGCGGTCAGTTCACCCTGGTAGCTACCAAACAGATGTTCAAAAGACCTTTCCGGGGTCCTAAACTCACCCAATCAATATCATATGTTACATGTTTGTTAATCTTGTTGATTTATCAAATCCCATTGTTTGACTGTTAACTCATATAAGTTTTCTACTAACCCCCAACTTTTTTAGAATCCTTGTTGTCGTTGGAGTCATTGACACTGAGCACAGGGCCATTGTGTCGTCGAAGCCGCGCCGCTACGACGGTTCTGTCTTGCTCTGCACGGCAACCAGTCGTGCAAATCCAGTCTCTATTCCAGGCCGCCCAGAAAGGAAGTTGTGAGTTGCCCCATGGTTGTAACATTATGTTCTAACCCAAAGAGCCCTAGTTACTCAGTTGGGGATAGAGATGATAGAGTAGGGTTGCCTACTCAAATGATCACCAAAGTAAGGATTATCTTCTAAAATAACCCTCGCAGCAATTGTTTTTTCTTTTCAAACCACCACGCAGATTGATGACGCGGTGGTTGATTCCCCATGCACAAACCCATCCGCATTAAAAATCATCTGACCTCAAAAACTCATCACTCATTACAGTACCGTGTAAAACCATGTAAAACCCATGTAAAACCTACAATGGAAACCCTCCGGTCATCAAACATGGTCAAAAATTCCCTAATGTCTAAATGTGTTCCCCACTAGAACCATCTAGAACCTCCATTCCTCCATTTAGTGCGGGGAGTTCCCAGCCGTGTCTGATAACCAGGATGTTCCCTACTCTTCTCGCCCCTGCGGCGACTCAGGATGAAATTACACGCTTCATTTCGACCTGGATCAAACACAAAAAACAACAATCAAACATCAAACAAACATCCAGGGGTGGTTGAAAAAACAGATTCAACATAGCAATACCCTTGTTGAAACCGGCAAGCAGCTTTGTAGAAGGTCTGAGTTGCCGCTGCCGCCCCTGGCGCTGCCCTTTTTCCATGCACATGCGTCAATCCGGGAGGTGTCTCATAATTGAGGACCTCAACACAGCATATCACAGCATCATGAATGGGATTCAGCTATTCATGGGATTTCGTCTTATGAAAATGAGGGGATGACTATAGACCATGACACATGTAAGTTAAAATGATTTGGACATACTTCGGTTGGTGGTTGAGCCACCTCCCTGTACGAACGCCAATGGCGATCATCATCCCAGGTAGGATGAAAGATAGACATATATTTCAAACATGTTCAAAATGTTCAAACATGTTCAAACATGTTCAAACCACGAACCAGTATTTGAAGCAACTTAAATATATAGGATAATTAAATAGGATTAATAGGATACGAAACCAACATGACACGCATGGGTTTCAGGAAACAACAACATTTTCTAGGATCCTTGAAGTGCCAATTGATGGGATACTGCTGAGATGTTGACCTTTCCAGGTCCCTCAATTTGAGACATACTGTGCATTGCCCCATGGGCGAAATCCTACCAGAATGAACAACAAACATCTGTGCAGTGCTCAAATTTCTCTGCAGGATTTTGTCCACCCAATCTTTGTGGGCTCTCATGCAGTGAGTCTATCTACTTCTGGGCTAAACAGAACGCATCAGCTGCGGTTCTGACTCCAATGAAGCACCCTGTGGTCAATCAATTCGTCATGCATCATGAATTTCAGACTGGTGTGTTCCTCGATGAAATTGACTCTGTTGTTGCTGCTAAAGAACTGGATTGATCATCAATCACCCATCGTTGTTGCTTCATTTTTTGTTTGTCTGGCTTTCACTGGTTCAAATTCCATCTAACCCATCTATATTTGCTGGTTAAACCCCCAGATTTTGGGGGCTGAAGCCTCCATTTTTGTTGGTAGAACCTCCATTTTATTGGTCATTGGTCAGCCTCGCCTTGCTGACGCCCTCGGGTGAAACGCGGCGCTGCAACGCGCCGTGCCTGTCATGGTTGCATGGGTTGGTTTACGGAAAACTGCACAAGACACAATGTTTCTCCCAAATGTAGGGATTTTGCTGGACATGCGCACTTCATCCAAATGCTAGGAGTTGGACTATATAGTAGATGGTACAATTGTCACTATAAATATTATAAATAGTTATTGATACATATTGAGTGATATTGATACCATCATAATATCCCCATCTGCAAATGCAATTGGCACCTTAACGGCGACACTCCAGAGGCGGAACCTCGTCGTCATCCGCCTCAGAATTTCACCAACTTATTCAACAAACATTGGGGATTTCAATGGATTTCAACCAACCAAAAAGATCCAAAAAGGGTATTTTGGTTCGACATTACCAGACCCCTGGAGTCCAAACCTCCTGGGAAATCGTGGAGGACTGGAGTTTGTAGATCCCAGCCCGATTTCCATTACATGCCCCTGATTCCATTTCCAATACAGTAAGCAAGGTCAAACTTGGGTTATGTCATCGACTTGGAAGAAGGGATTAGGTGGCCATGATTGGTATGTGACTGGTTAATAGTCAACCATAGTCAATAGTGATGGTTGTTAACCATTGGTATATGATTGGTAGAGTACCAACTCCTGAGCAGAAGGTGGCTAAATATTGCGTGGCCAACACAAGTTTTCTCCCGTGGATTTGTCGAAAAGCTGAAAATGGAACCTCTAGACTCTAAAGACTCTAAACTAAACCCTCCATATTCCACGATTTTCTGGGGTCATGTTCAAGGTAAACTATGTAAAAGCAACCTTCTATAATCTTCTATATAGGATCTTTGAAGGAAATGCATGTCCAATGGAAACCCGGAACAAAGCTAGACCTCAGGAATTGCATTTCTGTTTTGGATCAGATCCTTTCTTTGTGGAATGTTCCGCCCATTTTCGATAGTCAACATTCCTATCCTTCTAGGATTATCACAATTCTAAGTAATGATCCCGCATCAGTAGATGATTTTTTCCCATTGTCTCCATATTTATCACAGCCAGCTTTCATGTTTATATAACTTAAGCCAGCTTTCTTTTTACCATCTGGTTATTTAACATAGCCATGGAAAATCACCATTTTTAATAGGTAAACCATCTATAAATGGACCATTGTCCATGGCTATGTTAAATAACCAGAGGGTAATGATAAAACCCTATGTATTTGTTTTGAGTGGTAAAAAAAAACATCCAAACCATCAGCTGTCAGCTATCCTCCCGGGATCCCCTGCATCTAACGCTGTCGGCGCTCCATGAGGAACTCGAGTGGTTTTCACTTCCCGCAGCAGCGTGTCCTGCGAGGCCCCCAAGATCATCCCAGTGAGTAGATCTCCCCGATTCGTGGGGTGATCATAAATGGCTTATGACTATCGTTGCTATATAACCTGGCTGATAAAGGCCAAGAAGTCTAGATATATCTAGATATGATATCTTCCATAACCCATAGTTCACCTAGTTATAAACCAACTTGGCTATCTTGGAGGACCCCCCCACCATGCATGAATAGGAATACTGTAAATGAAGAATTAATATATACAATACCATATAATATGCAATGTATACACACAATATCAATTGATTCTATTACAATATGTGAGTTACCTACATTTAATCTGTCCTAATGATACGATATATAAACCAAACATATACAGTATATATATAAGTAGTGAGCATGTAAAGTACAATGATCATGATACAACTCGAAAACATATTGATTATCCTAACAATTATCATGCTTATACATAATTATTTATTATCATGATTTATCATGGCAACAATTAATATGGCACATATGGGCTATGTTGAAACCCGCAGAAACCTTGTAAAGTTAAGTCTTGAATAATCTTGAATACACGCTAGGGTGATCCCTGAAGAGTAAAATTGCCGGTAACTTGATACAGTCCTGAGATATGCCAGTGGTGTTTCAACATGTCTACCTTGCAAACATCATCTGCGCATCAGTTGACAATTCATTCGCGGAAACCAAACACAACCAAGAAGTGGTCCGTCTTGAACAGATCTCAATTGGTTTGAAGGATGTATGTATGCACAAATGCACATGCTTCAAGCTAGTGGTGGGATTGCTATGCACTTTCCGTCACGTACCGTTGATCTGCAACCATTGCGGATCACATGCATGAGAACGCATAGAATATCTCACCAAACCCAATTTCGGAAGCATCTTTTTTCGGAATGGCTATGACACATATATATGACCGGTCACCAGCCAGTTAGTTTTGCCACTGGCCGGGTCCTGCTTCTTTGACACCCGCTTGGGATCCTTGTAAATGCCTCAGCTGATCAGCCCATCCCATGACTTGGATGTGGCTGGGTTCAGCCTCTGCGCGGGGACTGTGGGTACAATTCCGCTGCTTCGAATTGGAGAGTTTGCATTCCAAGTTCCAAGGTACACATCAAAACAAATGCAGGTTCACTCGCCAAAAACGAAAGTACAACTTTGGGGGAAACAAACTCTCCAGTCCTGTGGATGGCCTTTTATGATCTTTCCGTTTTGAAGAAAAGCACCATGTGAAGTCGACACTTCCAGGTGGTTCACAACCGCGGATGTGCCTTGTATAGACACTGTCTTGGACCGATCGCCATCCCCTCCTCGGACATGTGCCGCTGGACATTCGTCGCATACCATGGGAATCCTTCAATGGGAATATCAATCCGTATTCATGAATTGATGGCCATCCCCGAATATACAAATACAGTGTATGGTATTGAATCCATCTTCTCACTATGATACATATATGAGTCACTAATATGGGTGTTTGGAGGACTTTGGCAACTATTTTTGAGAAATGGTGTCAGCGATTCTAATGGAGCAACCTGACTTAGACTTGCTGGTCCACTTTTGTGTACTTTTCCCTCAGTTGCAGGGGAGGACTATATTTTTTGGGTCTGTCTGAAAGATTGAAAGTAAGGTACCCCCGAATCCAATTTAGTTTTAGAACATCATTTTCCAAACTGAATGGCCATTATGGGTATCCCCCATCTTCAGGTCCACACCCATGTATGTCTTCAAAGTCAACGGGACTTGGACATCTTGTACCAGTACCACTAAAATTCATGTTCATATACTTACACCGCGAAAAACATATCAATTAATATGGTTGAATGGTTGGAATTTCACAAACAGCTACCACACTAAAACAAGGTATCCAAATATATTTTGGTCGCTCAAATAACTACGCCGCACTGGAACTGTCCTTCTTTTCACCTTGAATGGTTGGTTCAATTTGCCATTTGGCTTGGTTAGTTGTGCCTCAGCAGGCCATTCGATCCCATTCGTTCGTACATCCCCAGGTTTGTGGGTGAAATCCTCGTTTGTTGTTGATTTAGAATTTAGACCCAAGTTTGTTAGGATCAGATTCCTTGCTTTGTTCACAACATTTCACAACCCATATTCATCAAGATCTATGGTTGGAAATTCCCCTGGCACCAGCCCTTGATGGCTGCGATATCAACCGGGTGGCCATTGTAGCCAAGCCTAGGCGCAGGCTCCTGCGGATTGGCTCGCTTCATAGCTTGGATATTTGGAACCCTCGAGTAGTTTCCAGGTTTATACCCTGATGCTACATCTTGATGTTTGGCTCAGATGCCTGTTTTAGTTGTTGGAAAAACCATTAACAAACAATAAAAACGGTGCTTAAATCCAAATTCCAAGCAGGTGAAGATCCCCCGCGATTTCCCGTCTCCGTGCTGGGTTTCAAAGGCTGGAGCTCGGGCTCTGGAGCCTTGCGCTCTTTGACCTGAACCCAAAAAGGGTGGGAAAATCCCCAGGAAAATGGGAGAAATGATGAGTTAAACATGCACCCCATCGGATTTTAGCTAACGGGCCGCCCAACAGCCCATGTTGTTTTTTGAGGTTGTTTGTGTTCGGTGATGATGCCACCTTGATGATTTTACGTTGAGGGTGCTGCACTGCCGGTTGGGGCGGGATATTCTCTGTATTCCTTCATCTACACTTGCACATGGCGATGAGGCTACGTTGATGATGCTGCGCTGAAGATGGAGTGGGGTGGTGGGATGGGGTGGGGTGCGGTGGTATATTGTCGTATATGTACGCTTGCACGTGATGATGAAGGTACGTTGATGATGCTACGCTGAAGACAGCGTTGGGGTGCGGTGGGATGTTGATGTACATGTACTGACACTAGCACGCGGTGATGATGGTACAATGATGATGCTACGTTGAATATGATGATGCTACAGTGATGATGTACGCTGGGGATGCTACGCTGCAGACGGGATTGAAAGAAGAAAGAAGAAGAAAACAACTCAGCCAATTTGTGGAAAGACGGAAGGAAGTTGTGCAAAACCAGCAGATGAAAAACATGAAGACAACCAGCAGTTGTGCAAAATTCCTGGTTTCCTCAGCTTCAAAACACTGGCACGCGTGGGACAAAACGCACATGGACCTCCCAAGTCCACGACTTCACAGCAAAAAACAGCGGGGCCATTAGGCGGCCCACTTCCAGTGGTTTAACCATTGGAACATCATTTCATAAGCGGTGGTTTACCTATCTATTGGAGTTACAGTAACCATGGGATACCATGGTTACTGTAACTGTGAAGAATTTGGATCTAATGATTTAGCCAACAGATCTAACTGTCCAACATAGCGGACTCATCCAAAATGGGGACGGACCCATGCTGAATCGGGGTTGCAAAGGAAAGTTGGATTTGAGATGATTTGAGATCATTTAAACTGATGATAAAAACATGTGATCAAACAATAATTGGGATTATGATCATTGAAGATGAGGATTCACGCACTTCAAGAATGAGTCCAAAGCGTTGTCCTGATGACGTTTGTTGGGGGATCATGTTTCACTGGGAGTCTCACCAGCACCATGGCAGGTGGATAGGGCCCTAGGGAATGGGCTTTCATGATCCAATCCAAAACTACTTTCAACATCATGCCATGAAGCCCCATTCCCTACGTTTAGCACCAGTAAGTGATAGAATATGATAGAATCCACAGATTCTAAAGTATAATTCCCATTTTGTTGGAATTTGATCATCACCATTCCCACATTTTCCTGGGCGTCCCCTCTTCATGCGGCTGCAACAAGGGCATGTCGATATGAAGCACGCCTCTTTTCAGCCAGCTTGGTTGAGGTTTGTGAGTTGAAAAGGAGGCTGGGACCAGCTCAAACCTGTGGTCAATAATGGTGGTCAAAATGCGCCAAGATTGTTAAGATTACTCTGCCGTAATCAAACGTAGCAATCGGAAATCAACGATATATATATATATATATATACATATTATATATGTGTGTATATACGACTTTCCCAGCTAGAATATAAAACTTCCATTTATGGAGGAGTTTTCCATTACTACGTTAGATTTCTGGAGGCGATGTGGTCAAAATGTGTGGCACCGCCAAACAGGACCACAATCGGTTTCTCAGATCTGTGGGATTCAATAAATTATCACCATATGTAGCTACATTCGAAAGCCCCAAAAAGATAGATAGTAAAATATGGCCAAAATAGTGGCAGACTATGTTTAATGTCTTGTGGATTTATATCAATGTATAGGTTTTTACTTCTCTATACGATTATTCTTGGTTTTCTACTCAACACCAAAGATAAGCAGTGTTCAAAACCCTCGGTTGTCCCTATAGATAATTATGGATACTGGCTGGTGAATAGGACTACTCAGTTCATTGTGATCCCCAATCAACAGGAGTTTAGCAGACAGTGCTCACTTGGACTTCAGCCCAGCTGGTTCTCCCCAGGACAACAACTGCCTTTGTCTACAAAAACCATCCAGTGTTTTAGCATAATTCCCCCGTTCAAATCGTTTGATAAACATATCAGGTCAAATTGGTTAGTTACATCCCACCTTGTTTGATGGCCATATCTAGTTTCATGGCCCTATGTGCAATCCCATTGTGAATGTGATCCCATACGAAAATCCCTATTGGTGGTAATGTAATCCCATTATCATGCCCATGTTCGTGATATGACAGGTTATTCACGTCGCTTCGCGACGGCAACCGCCCGCACCGCATCGTTGGGCAGCCGCTCGTAACTGCCAATGATGTCGGCCATTGAGACCAAAAACATCCGAAAGTACTGATTGTCGGAAAAAAAAACGCGAAGAATTTGATAGCCATGTATAGCGGACCAACGCAGTTCAAAAAATAACGAAAAACATGAAAAAACGGCGAAATTTCTGTTATTTACAGTGTTTTTGCGCGGTGAGAAGCAGAAACCACTGCAAATACCATGGTTTTTGAGGGTCAGGTGGCCAAAAACACTGTAATTTACAGTGTTTTTTAAACCAACGTCAAAAAACACAGGTATTTACGATGTTTTCATTCACACCGTAACATAAAACAGCGTAATTTACGAGGTTTTTGGAAGTTTTGAAGCTAGCCGTCAAGCATGCAAAAAACAGAAAAACACTGTAAAAACCAGTGTTTCTGCTATCACAAAACGACGAAAATCAGTCCGAAAACGGGTCCAAAAACTCAAAAATCCGCCTCCGGGCCCGGCCACCTGCGGAACCGCAAAAAAAGATGTTGCAAACCAAACAATTGAGGTCAAAAAGTTGAAAAACACAGGTTTTTTTCACTTTTCGCTTGCCGATTTTGGACGGGCGCGTTCACGAACAGGTGTCTTCCGTACTGTTTTTTACAGTGTTTTTTGAAGGCGAGCGTCACGACCTATCAAAAACAGGAGGTTTTGGCCGAAAAATGCCCCCCCCCCCAGGTAAACCTGTAACCTTTTACGAGTGCCATCCGGAAGATCACGCCCCAGCACCTTCGGTGCGGGCGGATTTGAATAATCATATTGTTATCCCACTATGATTGACAATATTCTTAATGGTTATACTTGAGTCATATCACATATCCCATTATTAGTATAATGGGACACATACGTAACAATCCCATCATTGTAATAATCCCATTGTCAATGTATAGTGTGTATATAATATATTATAATCCCATTGTTAATGTAATCATCACATTACAATGATACGTTAATATAATTGCTATTGATTATATTCCCCTTTGAATTAAGGGGTGGGGCTGTGCGACCATTTTGTAGACGCTAAACTTAAACGGTGTTCACAGCCTCAAGCTCTACTAGTTAGTTGCGCATGCCTGGTCGAATTTCTCTACTAGATTGTATACAGTACACTGGTTCAGCTCAAATGCAAAAATTGATAGATTTTGTACTATCAATTGCTTAACTACTACAGATTTTTGGAGTGTCTTAAGAGATCACCATGTCTCGACCAAACACCCTTTTCCATTTAGTAGAGCTCCTCATTTGACCACAAGTTGAGGGACCAACATGACTCGACCAAAACCCCAAAGTCGTTTAGTAGGGAAATACTGGGTCCAGTTAGTAGGGGTCCAAATAGAAACCCAAATGGCTATCGGGGGCCACGGAATGGAATCTCTACTAAATGGCTTTCCACTTTTTCTCACTGATTCCCAAAGTTTCATAAACTCCATTTTGCAACCTCACAAATCACCTCTACTAACTGGAATCCAGCATGTTTTGACATCTCTACTGACTCTACTAAATGGGTTTAGCAAGAAACGACCACTTGACATGATATGATCAACATATCATGTTTACCTCTCTACTACAGTAGATACATTCCACAGGTTCGGTTTACTTGACTTTTGATCATAACCTGAAAGTGTCACTCCAAAGAAATGGTTTATCTATGTCTTGGGGGACCCAGGTCGCCCCATTTAGTAGTGGAAATAAATAGGGATTTAGTTATAATATCATAATTGAATCCCATTATAACCGTTATAACTAATAGTGTTATAATAACTAATTAATCAAATTTAGTTTAATATCATTTAGTTATAAATAGTAATTACTGAAAATTAATGGTATTCCCATGGTAATCCCATGAAATCAGCCCCAAATCTCCCCAAACTCCTGTGGTTCGTGAGCGCTGCACTTTGGCGCCGTCCGGCTTCACCTGCCGGCCGGAAAAAGGGATGGTTTGAGGTTGGTGAAGCATTCTGAAATTGTATTTGCTTGATGTCAAGTTGGATAGTTTGGTTTGTGACTTATGTTTATTCTTGTGTGTTGAACTTGTTTGGTTGGTGGACTTGATATTCATGCAAAAAACATGGATACTTTGGTAAATGGGTCACGTTATAAACAAAAAAATGGGAGTCCAACTCTGGGAATTGGGAGTTTAGACACACCCATCCCTCAAGACACCCATCCCGCGAAAATGTGAGTCAGTGAAACCTGTCGTCCAAAACAGGGCAAGATCAAATGGATTTATGATGGGATAACTGGGATAAGGATGTTAACCAACAAATGTGGCCGGCCCAGTACTGTAGGGGGCACGCACCAGCGGGAGTAAACAACAAATGTGGGATACATGGATAAATGGGACACATGGATAAATGACAAGCTACCAACAGTGGCCATTCAATGTGTCTATTACAGCATGAATCAATGAACCCAGCAATGCTTGATGTGTAAATGGAACATCTTTCTTTGCCATGATGGTATGATATGTCTGTTCTCATTTGGCATTGCCATTGCTGAGTTCTCATTTAACGCCACTCTGAGATGCCCAGCAGACTTCCCGGACCTGGCGGGTTTACATCCCAACATACTGTTTTAATATACCATGTGTGCTGGCCAAACCCAGTTTTGCCGGCTACTCTTGCTAGTAAAATCCAAATGTTTAGATCCTGTTGTTGTTTTTGTTGTCGTCGTTCAACCCTCAAATCTGCATGTTAAAACTATGTTAACTCGGGTTTGTCCAAAAGCAATGGAACATTGAAACACATCATTTAGTATGGGAACATGATATATAATATTATATAATATAAACCAGAGGTTGGGATACCCTGAATTTTGTGGGGGTTCCCATAAGTTTCACTGAACCCATATTTGCCATGGTCAAAACACCTTACATGGGGTATGGCCGTCCCCCACATTAGGGATTCCTTAATTTTAGTCATCGTAAACTCCAATGAACAAGGGTACCCCTTATATGGGTAGATATCTACGCATTCGTTTGACCACGGCGCATAATTCACCTCAAGATCCTCAAGTCCCTTTGCAGAAGCCTCTCCAGACAGCTTCAACTGCGTGACCTTGTCCTTAACCACCTTGGGAGACAAAACAACCTCCGTCAGAGTAGTCGAAAAAAATCCCTTTACTGTACCTCACCCCAAACAAAGTTGGTTGATACACATTTCCATCATGGGTATTGCAAATCTCTATCTATTAAACCCAGAGGTACAAATCAATATAATAATAACATACAATAACCAAGTATAGCTAGTATTCTTCAAATATGTAACCTGTTTTAAATGCTATACAATGAATATCTGAATATAGTAACGACAGAACAGTTGGGTATATTTAAAGGCTCACTTGCTGATAGATTGGAATTCTACTGGTTACATATTCGTGCGGGTCTCAATTTGAGGCCATGGGAACACACAGAAATTAGTTTTTCCCCACCTGCCAGGTGAGGGTTGTTAGATTTTATGTCAGTTGCCTCCTCCTGCCTCGTCCTCCTCCTCCTCCTCCTCCTCTCCTCCTCGTCCTCCTCGTCCTCCTCGTCATCCTTGTCGTCCTTGTCGTCCTCGTCGTCCTCGTCGTCCTCGTCGTCCTCGTCGTCCTCGTCCAACTGCGACCCGCGATCCACAGTGTTCTCTGCCGGACCTCAAACACGACCATCCACGCCCAGTGTTCCCTGCCGGACCTCAACCACGACCAGCCACGCCCAGTGTTCCCTGCTGGACCTCAACCACGACCAGCCACGCCCAGTGTTCCCTGCCGGACCTCATCTGCGAGTATCCATGCCAAGTGTTCCCTGCCGGACCTCATGTAGGCAGATATGGGACAAAGAGAATGCCAGAAGATATGCCAGATAAAATGCCATGAGATATGCCAGATAGAATGCCAGAAGGTATGCCAGATAGAATGCCAGAAGATATGCCAGAAGATTTGCCAGATAGAATGCCAGATAGAATGCCAGACATATGTCAGAATATATGCCAGAACATATGCCAGATAGAATGCCAGAAGATTTGCCAGATAGAATGCCAGATAGAATGCCAGACATATGTCAGAATATATGCCAGAACATATGCCAGAAGATATGCCAGATAGAATGCCAGCAGATATGTCAGAATATATGCCAGAAGATATGCCAGATAGAATGCCGGATAGAATGCCAGAAGATATGTCAGATAGAATGTCAGAAGATATGCCAGATAGAATGCATCAGATTTGCCAGATAGAATGCCAGAAGATATGTCAGATAGAATGCCAGAAGATATGCCAGATAGAATGCCAGAAGATTTGCCAGATAGAATGCCACAAGAAAATGCCAGAAGATATGCCAGATAGAATGCCAGAAGATATGTCAGATAGAATGCCAGAAGATTTGCCAGTAAGAAAATCTATAAATGTTATGGTGGGGATCACACGAAGTAAAGTAATTTTTTCACTGCCCAATATGTCCAATCTTTGATTTAACCAGGATTGGTTCCCAATCTTGGGGGCTTAATACACCCATATAAATCATAGTAATCCTATGAAATCCTATAAAATCATTGTAAATATTTGATTTCATTGATTTCATTGACTTCATCAGGGAAACCATTCCCTCCAAGGCACAACGCGAACGTAGAGCGGATTCACATCTACGTCCAGAGCACTGGTGTCCAAGTACCTGCGATCAACATGAGGTCATTGGACACCAAGGGACACTGTTGGTCTTGGTTATAAAATGGATGAAACACACTAAAGGATACTAAAGGTATATTAGTAATATATTAGTTGACCACATTTCACGCTACCATATCTATCATCCTCAGGTTTGTTTTGCACTACACATTTTTCGTTGGCCACGTTGGGGCACTTGGGAACGGCCAGCTCGAAGACAATCTTGTCTGGATAGGTCCAGTCATCCAGGTCGAAGTTGTACTTGCCTTCATTGCCTGGAGAAAAAAGTTCTGCGATCAACTGAAGAAATTCAACAAAATTAGAGTCCCATGATGATTGTTGATTGTAAATCCCCACAAAAATCCAATTATGATCAATTATGTATACTATATCCCCATGAATTCTTGGTGAATGCTAGTTGTGCAGGAGTTATATACCCCCAATGCGATTTGCCCACTTTGAACCTCAGGACAACCTGATCACATTGCGCGACAACTCGCAAATTCGGAAAGCCGCTACGAAAACACATCCTTTTGAACCACCCGCTGAATTGTTCTTTACGTCGATGAATACCAGGACGAGTTTACCAACGATCTATAAACATCTTTAAACCAAGCATGGTTGGCTTCTCTGCGGCTGATTCGAAAAACCACTCACCACCTGGAGGGTCACAATTTTGAGGCTGCTTTGAATTCTGTCATGGTATCTGTCATGGTTTGTGGAATATTGGTCAATACACGTCCAAAACCCCGGTTGGTAGCTCGGCTGTCACGGTGTCCAATTTCGTAGACCAATCACTTGTCCCCTCAGCGTCCCACACTGTCGCAGCTCCCCTCTGGCGTTGTAGATGCCAGGCCTTAATTGCTCTACGTTTGCATCCCAAGTTGAGGGTCACGAGCCCAAACGTTGTTGTAACATCTTGTAACAAACCCGAAAAGCGATGTGAATGTCATGTGGGATGAACCCTCCCAAATAGGCGATGGACAGGAACCAACTAGATTGAAACCGAGGAATATGTATACATATATATATATACTTAATTATGTATATATATATATGTATATTATGTGTATATATATATGTATATTATGTATATATATATATTGTGTTGTATCAACTCTCGTGTCGCATTGGTTGATATCCATATGTCTGATTGTTTGTTCATATAAATATTTATAATATGTGAATATGTAAATTCCGTCCTATTACCCTTTTGCCAATTTCTGGGGATGATTGACATGTCCATGCCACTGTTGGATCAGGTTTCTGTTGGCTTGAAGTCACCAAACATCCAAAATGCTTGGTTCAATACCCCAATGTTGGTTGTATAATATACTGTAATAATATGATATCCTGAATTGTGTTAGTTATATCCCAATATATTCCAATTGTTGTTGGTTAGATTCCCAATGTTTGATGATTAATTCCCATTGATCCCCATTTCTGATGATCGATTTAGACATCTATAGATATGATCCTATAGATGATCCTTCTCGATTTATGATCTTATTCTTATCAATTTCTGATGATCCTATAGATGATCTTCTCATAATAAGATATCAAAACCTTCATGGGGATTTCCGGCCAGCCATGTTTGATTAGGAGAACTCTCCGTTGATATCCTACGATCATCCCAGGGAATCATCCCCGTTGATAAACCATATAAAACCACATTCAACTACCATTCAACCTCCATTTTTGGGGACAAAAAACCTTCATAAATCCCCATGGATTTCTGCTGATGGCTCAATGGCTCCATCATGAAACTCAAAAAAAATCCCAGTAAACCACCATCAAAATTCACTACCCTCTGGTAATTTAACATAGCTATTGAAAATCACCATTTTTAATGGGAAAATCCACTATTTCTATGGCCATTTTCAATAGCTACGTTAAATTACCAGAGGGTAACTCACCATTTTCTTGGAATTTCCCCATGGATTCCCCCGAAAAAAAAAGACAGCGCCCCACTGCCACCCCGCCCCCATTTTCTTGCCCGGGCCAGCGGACACGACACGGGGCTCCTTTGGCTCCGTGCCTCGACTGTTGAACCATAGTGATAGTTATTATTCAACAATAATAGTTATTATATAATAACCAGAAATATAACTATCACTAATATAAAACCATATATAACTATTATTATAGTTATATATGGTTGTTATTGCTACTATAACCATTATTGTTCAACTATCACCATTGTATATAGTTCTAGTTCAAAAATAACTATGGTGAAAAACTATCACCATATAATAGTGAACCATAGTTCTAGTTCTAGTGATAGTTGAAGTTGTATAGTTATAGTTTGGTGTTGTTTAAACTTTGATATGTTATTGTCTAGATAGGTGTATAACTTCGATATAACTTCGAGTTTTTTTGTTATAGTGTGATTATTTTTATCGGTGATCATTATACTGAAAAACGTAGTTGTTGATTTGGATAAGCACCAAAATAAGGATTATTGATAATATATTTTGTTTTTGCATTATGTTGGATTTGTTCATAGGTATCTGATATAGTTGGATAGTTTATTTGTTCAATCAAAATTACTTTGGGTTTGTCGATAGTTAATATAACTTGAGAGAATTGATATAGTTTTATAACTATATATATATATATTTATGATAGCAAAATTATTATCTCAATATATAAGATAAACTATGATAACGAAACTAAATTGTTAGGGAATTGTGTCCGCAACTTGGTGGGATATCAAGTTTATTAGGGATAACAAACTCACATGCAACATTCCTAATAAACTTGAGATATCCAGGGATTGAAATATGACACCCTAGTTAAAGTTATATACCTTGAGCGAATTGAGATAGTTAACTTGAGATAGTTGTAATTGAGATAACTTGCTATAACCTGATATGGTTGCAACATTTTTTGACAAGATTGAGATATATGCGGGCGAGTTTGAGGAATGTCTGCGCGTACATATATGTATGAATATATATATATAGATGTGTGTGTGTTTCCGATGGAAATCAAACCTGGCAATGGCACATCCCCCCTTGTGTTGGCACATGATTCTACATATTCTCGCAATGAGACTTGTATTGTAACTTTCCACGTTTCCATGTCCGATTACAACAGGGTATCTGAGAAACAAGGTCTTCCCCTCCGAGCTGAGTCGCGAGAGTTACCCTCTGTCAGTAATATGTGCCCATCCATTTACTGTATCTGATGACCCCCGCACCTAGGCTGTCCCACACCTGTTGGACAAAGCATTTCAAGCATTTCCATGAACAGTCTTGCAACAACAACAAACCATCCAATATGGTAATCTTATGTATATTATATATATATCATTTATACAGGTACACGCTATTAAAAACCCCTTATCATGGTCAGTATTAAAGTAATCCCCTTCCTTGCGTTTATACACGTCCCACTATGCGACAATACTACTGACAGCTACCGCTACGAGTTTCACGATGGTTTCTGCGTGAAGGCAGTCAATACCCCAAGTATGACTGCTTCCAAAAACAATGGTATTGACTGATAACTTAGGATAGTGGTTATCCAAATACCCTAAGTATTACTCATGGACAAACATAGGTCGCCCGAAAAAATGACGAATAACTTGGATGATAACGGTCCCCCATTTTAAGGCCGGCACCCATGCGCCGCCTTTCATTGCGCTCCTGGCACTCCATTCAGGGGACTGGTTGAGCCAACGCATTGGATGAACCCCTGCATTTTGAGGAGAAGCACAGCCCAAGCACACTTCATAGTTGCGTGCACTAAATTTCATCAGTCATCATAGTCATCTATCAGTCAAGGAGCGATACACAAAGTCCTCTGCGTTGGGCTACCATCTTCCCATTCGTTTCAGTAGCCCCCGATGTGCATGGGCTCTAGCCGGATCAAGACTGGGATTCCTGGCTGGTACATAGTGGGTATAGCAAAACCTCTAGGAAAGTGGGAATATTCACCATGTTCTTGCGGTAATAATCCATGTTTGGATGTTTTTGGCATGTTTTTGGCAAAACCTCTATTTTCAAATATCAAAGAAATAGCCGTTAATATCAACCCATGGTATTAGCCCATGGTATACTACCATGGTATTAGCCCATAAATGCCCATGAATAGATGACCCCTCCCCTACAGGCTGGGAAAATGGTCTCCAACTTTTCAGGCCGGCGCCTTCTCCGCCTTTTGCTCGGCAAGCTCCAAATACATCTCGTTGCGACTTTCCTCACGACGATGACGATGCCCCATGAAATCCAACCACTGGATCCGGCTGGAATTATTCTGCTTGGGGAAGATTGGATTTCGTGGGTTTCATGGTTTTTTAAGGGGGTTGTGATGACAAAATGGTGATACACTGAAGTGGTTTGTAATTAGATCAAATGTTGCAAGGTGTTTAAGTGTTTGATGTGCTGTCATCGTATGGGTCGTTGCTCAGACACGATGTCATTACTTCCAAAGGTGAGCTGGTGGTTTGCTGCTGGGTGGCAGCATTCCAAGTGGTTTGCCAATGGCGTCTTTGTGAAAATGCTAAATATGGTTCAATGGTTCAATCCATGGATCAGGAATAGTAAGAATAGTACTGGAATGCCCATTGACAAGGACTGGTTACAAGATCGGCAGCTTGTCCACTTGCAGCGGGTGAGAGTCAAAAAAAAATCAGCGTCTGCCCCAAGGATCCTTCTGAGATGGTTAACCACGTGTTTATGATTTCTCATGTTTACCTATGTATTAAATTTATCCCAATTGTAGTTTACCAATGTTTATGATTTTGTATTCTTCCCAATGATTTACCAATTTACCTATTTATTGATTTCTCATGTTTACCTATGTTTATGATTTAGTATTCTTCCCAATTGTTTACCCATCTTTTACCAACTGTAGAAACCCACTCTTGCCCACTTTTCATGGTTCCCGCATGGTTACCGCCTATTTCCAAATGGCCAATGAATTTAACCAATCAATGGCTATGGGTCAAAATTTTAGGTACCCCTTCCTTTTATTGGATGATTAATACTAAATACTAACCTAGACTAATTTCCATCTGTGGTCCCCAAAAAAGTAAGTCTTCCATGGCTTGACCAATGGATCCAATGGGATTTCTCCAATGGATCCACCCATCCCGTCCTTGGTGTAGGCCCCTTCGGAGACGGGCTCACCCGCGCTGGCCAGGCGTTTCCGCCGTGCCTCCTGGGGGCGTGCCGTCCTTTTTGGGATGGAGATATTAAGTGGAGATTTTATTAAGGATCTAATATCATGGAGCTATGATTGAGTATGATTGAGATATTCTATTATTATTCAGATATCATTAAGATATTATATGGTAGCTTATGAAATGGGATATTTATCCAATGAAGAACACCATTTGAGTGAGATGTTATGGGAAAATATGGGATAATTGTCTCACCTGAACAGCGATTTTATCAGGGTTGATATGGTTAAGGGATGGCATCCAATATGGAGGGAGGATGGGAAATACCCCGAACTCAATGGAGGTTTTTAGCTGGGATAATCATCGAATTAAATGAATACTCTATCTAGCCATGTTTGATTACAGGAGCGTACCCAACAACAAATGGGAAATTGTGGTTGATATAGCTGATTTATGGCCAAGTTCGTCTAGTTCACTCAAAAAAGGTGCATTCGGTGCTTTCCGGTGGATGCGAAACAAACTAGATAAACTAGGCTTTGTAGGGGCTATAAACCAAGTTATAACTATGGGGGCTTGCAAGATTACCCAATTTAAGATTGCAAATTGTTATGGTCATCCAGGTCATCCATCCCATGATGGGAATCCTTCTAATGGCAACCATCCCTCACTGGATTGACAACTCCATCTGGCAATGGGAGTGGATGGGATGTCATCCACAAAAATGGGGACCTTTCCCAATTTCTCAACCATTTCATGGGCATTTTATGCAGATTTCATGGGATATTCATGCGGATATGATGGTGTTTCTCTATATACCATGGTGAAATCATGGGTTGTTTCCAGAGAATGGAACGGACGCGGCACCATATTATTATTCCCCCAAGTAGTTGAAGACTATATGTCTGTTAATACAACCCGCTATTTGTCTTAATAACATCTTACAATGTTTGTTATCCAGATTACCATAACATACCATAACTACACAACCATTTATTCATAATATAATATAAATATATATAATATATAATATATATGTGTGCCATTATTTTTTCCCACATGCGTGTTATCTAGATTAATGAATGAGCCTACACACAGGTTATCACGCGAAGGTAGCTATGCGCGCAGCTGCGATCCCGTCCTCAATGGCAACTTCCAGCTCTTGCTGTAGCCTTGTCATGTGAGATTTACATTTTATAATATGATACAATACAATACAATACAATATGCACTATTACTATAGTATGTCTATATATATATACTATATACTAAACTATACTAAGCTATACTAGACTATACTGTACTAAAATAAGTTGCTAATCCAACCCTTAGTTACCAACCAAGACTGACTTTCATATACAGAATTACGACCCATCTATATACCAACAATCATTATCTTTCGGATGCTTTTATGACCATTGAGGTTGTAGCATGGCATTCGATGTGGAATCCTACTGTAGCATTGCTTTGGGGCAAAAACAAAAAAATCGGTGGTTCATAAATCTGGGAAGTATCTCCACTTTTTTCATCCATCAAGAAAACGTGTATGGGCCATACGGTTCCATCCAAGTAGTTGCTGGACATCATCCTATTACTAATTGGTTACAACTGACTGGTGATTATTATTACTGATTATGGATCATTCCCTCATTCCCTGCTAAGCACCAGTAAGACAAGAACTATTTTGATTCATGACATGCGAAAATCCGTTTTCATATTGTCTTCATTGATGAAATATGGATTCAGTTGGGCGAAATCTCCATGCGTATTAGTGAAATCGTCAAGTTTCATGGCTAGAACACCATTTTTGATAGCTAAATCCCCATGTTTGACCGCAACCACCCAATTTTTCGGTGCTTAAATCTTAAATCATATGAATCATATGTTTGATGCTTAAATCATCGTGTTTGATTGCTATGTCCCCAAGTTTGATGGTTAAATCCACCATTCTTCTTGGTGCTTAAATATGCTTAAATCTCCAATTTTGATGGTTCAATCTCCATTCTTGATGGTTCAAACCACCATTTTTGATAGTTTTCCATCATGTTAAATCACCATCATGCTGCGCCCCAGGCCCAGCGCCTCGGCAGTTGCTGTCGCGCTTTGATCCGTTCGCGAGGCACCACCTGAGGTTCTGCAGGCCTTCGTATTTCGTTTTTGAAGGCATTGACAAAATGCACCTCTCTAGCAGATTTAACATGTATACGAACATATAATTATATAAATATATATATATACATAATAATTGGTATACAAACATAATAATTAATTGGTACAGTATATGCACAAATAATAACATAATTATATTATATAATTATATAATATTATATATATACACATACGTACACACAACGTGTATATGTATACTTTGGATATCACCCAGTTCTTATCGGAATCACTACCAACTTACCAACTCTTGAAGAGCGCCCACGGTTTTGTCCAAAAACGGCTATGCGGTATGCCTCAAAATGCCTATTTAAATCCATTTAAATGAAACAACGGTTGTCAAATGATGGGGGCAGACAGCATCCCTTTCTCAAAAAATGTTAAAAGAAAAACACATTGAAATGTTTGAGACAAATCAATGACATTCAATGACCATTTGTTGTTTCGCTGTTTTGGTCGACAAATCGACAGGTCGGTCGATATCTCTATTGAGGCCGCCGCCATCTTTGCATCCAGTTGCTTCAACTGAGGCCTCATCAACCCATCAACCAGGACCATGGTGACACGTAGTGGGAAGCTGTTCTATGAATTTGATGCCCACCAGAAGATCATTCCAAAACCTGAGATTCTATGGGAGGCCTCATGGGGGCCTGAAATTGGATACACCCATCGTTTCAACAGGAAGGTCTAAGTTACCCATAAGACCACCAAAATAGGACCAGGGGCACCGAGAAAAAAACGCCTGCAACAGGAATAGGCATTTGGGACAAAACAAAAGCGATTGAGATAACGAGGCAACGTCTAAAAAAAAAAGATAAACAAAGATCAAGTAACTTTTTGGCTGGTGTTTGCCTACCCAATTGTTGAGATCTTTGTTCTGACTACAAGTGTCTTCTCTCGAACCACTCCATAGTTGTCCTCGTCCTGTCTCGTCCCACACCGTCATCCAGTAACCTGCTACTGTTGAGACTCCGATGTTGGACCCATTAAAAACCTTCCGGATCCGAAAAAATCACATAGTCTTTAAGCGTCCGATATTAATTGCCCAAGAGAACGACCATCACCGGTGGATGGCTTTAATCCAACCGAAACGTATCTTGCGGATCCTCACCAACTGTTGTCGGACAATACAAACATCAATAACATCAACAATAACCATCAATAACATCAATATTTGAAATCACCAACCAACCAAGTATCAAATAACAATCAAGAACATCAATCAATATATGATTCACCAACAAAATCAGGTCCTTCACCTCCCAGCCGGGCTGCAAATGGGCGATGACATAGGCTCTGCATCCGGACCAATCCACGCCTTGGGGATCAGAGATGTTTTTAGCAATGATGATAGCCTCTGGTTATGACTAACATAGCCATGGAAAATGGCCCATTTATAGTTGAAGAAGGGAATTTCATGGAATTTCCATAGCTATATTAGTTTACCAGAGGGTAGTTGTTCCATTCATACTCACATGTTTACTGCAAGGTATTGTCCACTATTGTCCAGGATTGTCCATTGCCATCTCCGGAAGAGAAGTGTCACTTCAGCCTCAGGGTCCACACATGGATTGCCCGTGAGATAGAGATCCTCCAACATCATGTTGGCTTTCAAGTTGTACACACCTCCACGGCGCAAGGACGAAAAAAGGGGCTGGCAGTGCTGAAATTCTGAAATTCTTGGATTATCCGAATGAACTTGCATTGTTCTATCAAAATCATGGCAAATGGAGTCCTACTGAAAGCAAGCACTATACACATGGGATATTAGGTTGGGTATAGTTTGGGTATCCCATCATGCTTTGACCAAAGGGTAGTGGAGGTAGGTAAGGGCCCATTCTTTTGAACAGTGAGAATGAGGATGCTGGTGGTCACTGTTTCAGTGCAGGGTGCGGGTATCTCCAAAAATATCAGGGTTGTATTCTTTAGGTAAAGTTTAGGAGTTACGAACCATGGATCCTACTTTTAGTTGTATGATGGCCAAACTCAAAGTCCACCACAGCTGAACAGTCTACGCGTCACTTCGATTTCCCGGAAAACCTTGGAAATATCACGTCCTAAGGGGGTAATAAAAAAGTAAAGACTAGAAGACTCCCCAAATGGTGGATTTACGAATGGGAAAGTCATTTCATTTTCGACTCCAATCCATGACTTGGCTCCAAAGATGGATTGGGAGACTACCATCTGGTTATTTAACATAGCCATGGTATAGATGGCCCATAGAAATAGATGATTCTCCCAGCTATAAACCTCCATTGATTTTAGGGATTTTCCATGGCTATGTTATCATCCAAATGGATGGTTACATATGGAGGTTTCCGACGAGTCATGGGGGTACCGCCTAAATTTCATCCATTTTAATAGGATAGTCCACTATAAACCAATCATTTGGGGGTACCAGCATTTTAGGAAACCTCCATATGATATGTTAATAATCATTAATAACCTTGAAAAATCATTAATAACAATCAATAACCATCATTTTTATCATTCATATCCCATTCATTTGGAAACCGCCATGTTACTTACCCATCCAATTGGATTATTAACCATGCGCTTTCATTGTCCAGTCGGTCCCCACTGAGACTCCCAGGCTTTCTTCCAGCTCCTCCACGGACACAAAGTTCACTGTGAGATCCAACCTGTTGTGGAGATGTCAGGAGAAAAAATCATCGCCGAAGACAAACGTTGTGGAGATGACGTGGGTATCCGAAGATAATCTTTATCATATGCTATCAGCTATGATAATTTATATCATAATATAATTAAGCATAATTATTCATAATTTGTCATGAAAAATCATGGGTACTTCATCCAGATCAAGCATGGCAAAGATCTGTGGGCCGTGTCTGATCTGGACTTCAAAGACCCCTCTGCAGTCAGAAACATGCAAGTATATGCATAAATAGCATCCTCCTTAAAATCCACCCCCCCACAAAAACAACACTATATTGTCAAGCATTGTCAACACATTTACAGTAACCATCTCAGCAAGTTCCAAAAATCCAAAAAACATCTTGGGGCTTGGCTCGTTTGGTTGATATAGTTTTTCTCTGACACCGGATTATCGGATTATCATCAGTCCGGTAAATTTTACATCTAACGCAACTACTAAATAGGTACCCAAAGTTGGGCCTGTCTCAAATAGTGGACCCCAAATTTCATGGGCTGTCAGTCAGTCATATGTTATACCCTCTGGCAAATTAACATAGCTATTGAAAATGGCCATTTATAGTTTATTTACCAATTAAACATGGTGATTTTCCATAGTTATGTTAGTTTACCAGAGGGTAACCATAATTTTCCGCATCAAAATTGCCACAACTGGGGGTAAACCCCATTTCCAGACCCAAAAATCGCACGGGGCCGGCATCAGAGTCCATCCCTGTAAAGTCACGTTTTCTCGTCGTGGCCCGGGGGTCCCACTTCTTCAAGGATTCACATCCTTCGATGCCCTCAATTTTGGAGATGTTGTTCAAGGCCAGGTTCAAGTACTCCAGCTCTTTCAACTTGTTCAAACCTTGGAGCCACGCCACCCTGTGGGAAACATCCGACAACCTGCGAGATCATCCATTATCGGTCATTCCTGGATTTCCTATTGGAACAGAAAAGATGTCTGCAACAACCAAATCAGCAACCAAAACGCTAAAACACATGTCTGTTGAGGCCATATCTGGCCGTGTGCCATCTGGGGAAGCCATGAATAGCACTTTGATGTGGAGACCCTCCATGGTATGGAACTCTCGAGCGATGCTTGCCGGAACGTTTAATGGATTCACCAGTTCGTCAAAAAACTCTCCACGCACGCGTTGACTGAAGGAACCTGTTCAAGGAAACCAAGTTTCTACAATGAAAATGGATGGGTCATGATGGGTCCGATTATTTCCTGCTTATTCCACCCCTTGAATGGGTTTCTGATATCTGCGGCATACAGTTTACATCTTCGCACTTCTTCTTTCTGATTCTTCAGAAACCTAGAGCTGAGCGCACTTTCCCTGCTGGATCAAATTACAGACCTCGCATGACCTCGTATGACCTCGCAAAAATTGTGCGTCCCCGTACTTGATGTTTACAATGGGCATACAATGATATCATATAAATCATAAATCCTATGAAAATCAGGGGATGACCATCCCCTAGCTTGTGGGAAAACAACCCATGTTTTGAGGTTTGACCATGCCCATGTACGTAATTACGGAGTATACATCTGTATGCAAATGATGTTGCTCATGCGTATGGCTCTTCCCAGAAACGTGAACCGTGAACCCAGCTATACTCAGGGCAATTCCCCTCTATGGTCTGGGTGGTTTGGGCTCAAAATTGTTTTGAGGTTGCTATCATTTTAAGTAGCGTCATCCACAGATTCGATCCCCAGGTCACCAGGAATTTCCATCTGCTTCGAAGTGACCTTCCATCTTTGGAATGATGTTGTTCTGAAGGAGCAGTATCCTTGAAAGCTGCTTGGCTGTGTGATTGATTGTGATTGTGGGCCAAAGCGGGCAAATCTGGCTTAAACTCAACCTCGCTTGAACCTTTTTAAGCGACTGTGTTGATTGTCAGTTCTTAGTTCATGGTCATGACCATGAGTGTGAGGAGTGGAGGCTCCGGATCGCCAATTCAATTCGAAGATGTCGATTCTCCTGTTCCATCTGAACGGCCGCAACGGCCGCAACGGCCGCAACGGCCGCAACGTGTTTCAGGCAAGGAACTTGATGTGCCGGCAACAAGCTTCGATGCTTTCGATTCTCTCAATCTCCTGGCGTTGGAGCTGCGGGTGGATCTGGTGTAAGCAGCACTATGATAGTCTCGTTGTTGAAGGAGATAGATTGTGTATATATAATTGATTAATTGCATACAGATGCAAACCACATACATATTCATATATCACAAGCGTATTGTTCACGATAGATAGATGGATAGATGGATGGATGGATGATGGCTAGATAGCTCGATAGCTCGATAGCTAGATAGATAGATAGATAGCTAGCTAGCTAGCTAGCTAGCTGGATAGCTGGATAGCTAGATAGCTGGATAGCTAGATAGCTAGATAAGCAGGTAGTGTTTCTACCATGATACAGTACCCGCCAATATGCTAAGATCCAAAATCACCACGACCTCCAAAACTTGCGAGGCCAAAGTCTGCCTTGAATTCCTCTAGGTTTCACCCTACGGAAAATTGGTGGTTCTGTTCCGAATTGATTTCCCAACATGGCTGGCACAAACCCAGGGCTTGGAAAGTCAAAGAGCCAAAAAAAATTGGATGTTTTATGAGGTTTTTGGGATGCATACAGTAGGAAACACATTAATAGAAACACCCAAAAAAAATTGGATCCAAAATGGACTATCAACAGTTGGGTTTTTTTGGGGCAGCACACCCCTCCATGGCGCCTGTTGATGCAAAGCAATTTCCTCCAGGTCCGAGAGGACGCCCTCATTGTGCTCTGCACCTTGACGTGACAGCACGACGTGCCTAGTTAAGACTTATCAGTCTGATGGTTGAAGGGAAAATCGGAACCAAACCTAAAAATGAACAAGTTCAGGGTAGTGAAATGTAATCATGGCTTCAACTTTCAATTCGATTTGTCCACATAAATCCCATTGATTTAGCCTTTTCTCGCTGGAACAAACATCCTTTCGGGCCATGGCCACTGCGCGAAACTCTGCAAGGAAAACCAAGGAACGCTTCCGGATCAACTCTTCCGTGAGCTGCGGCATGGCACTTCTGAGGGATTGGAAGCCTGATGAATACTGTATATTATGTATATTAATTGAATATAAAAAAAAAAAAAACATGATGATTGCTCAACAATCTAGGGATGTTGCAGTAAGGATCAACATGGATCATCATGCCAGGTGATGGAAATAAGCCTCGATTTGCAAACATCGAGCAGTGTATGTATCGTGTATGGACAGATCAGGAGCTATCAGCGAAACAGCTGACGATGTCAAGCCATCGGTAGAACCAAGCTGTGTACAATTAGAAGGCATAGCCTTGGAAACCAAATCCAACTTTGTAAATATATGTTATTCCCAACACAAAAGACAGGCGACATCTGGCAGTGGGTCAAAACCTTGTACCCCTGGTGAACATCAAAATAGCTGGTAAATGGATGTTCATCCCACTAAAAATGGTATGTATAGGTATTGATCCATACCCATCTTATTGAGGACCAGCAAGACCTAAGAGTGCTTTGTCTCTGCCGATATCTTTTTGCTTGGCTCATGCCCATGTAGAATGTTCCAGAGCCTCCAGCTTATCTGCAGTCATGGGACGGAGATCTATGGCTAACCTCCCCTTGGGTGGGTACCTGTAAAAACACGCAAAAATGGAGTTGACATAGTAAACATCACCAAAAACCTGCAGCTTTCTTGGCCAGCAATTCGGATCAAATTGGGCTTGTACAGAAAGAAAACAACGCCATTGCCACTCAAAGAAAAGGATATTATAGATAATTATTATATATATATATATTCCAAACATTTCTCAACTAATTATGGCTTTGGGGAGTTTCCTCATACTTTTGGAGAAACTTTCATCCCGTCGTTCGGAAGCGTCGTTTCTGTCTTAGATGCCGAGCTTCCAAAGATCTTTCAGTCCCATGGCCATGAAGACATCTTTGGAGCTTTGGTGATATGGGGGTTTCCTAAGTCATAGGGGTACCCCCTAAATCATCCACTAAAAAATGAGGATTTTCATTGTAAATCAACCATTTTGGGGTACTCCCATTTATGGAAACCTCCATATTGATATTACTATGGAAACCTACTATGGAAACCTCCATATTGATATTACTGCAAACCCTATGGTATCCAATATACAAGTGATCCAATAAGTTATTTTATTATAGATTGGAATGTGTCAATGTGTCCCAGCATATTGTGATTACTTGAGCATGACCCATCAATCTTTGCTTCGCCCTCATCCAACAGAGTTCATTTGAGACTCCTGACATGGGAGGCCCAAGGATGGCAGCAATTTGCTGCTGACTCCCAACCTGTGACAACATGCTGGGCTTTAATCGCCTAAGCCACCTTGGTGTTTATGGCTGAAATGTCTCTATTCCAAGGGAAGCTGCTGCAATATTGGTAGACCTACTACCTTTATAATTCGTAAATCTCAACTCTTCAAACTTATGAAGCCTGAAGTCAATCATCTCTGGATTGGAAGGGAGAATCCTTTGAGGACACCATATGGATTTCACCGGCCATTTGTAGCTTCAAGACCCCCAAAAAAAACATGGAAAAACCCTCCAGCACGCAATCAAAGCTGGCAATGGATTCCCTGGATTCCCAAAATTTCAAATTGCCACGTACAATTCATGGCGTTTCAGGGGAAATCAATGAAATATAATGAAATCATCCTACAGTATCGAAAGCATCTGACAAGGAGTCCATCTTCTGTCCGATGGGTCCGATGGTCCTTCAAAGCTCAACCTTTTTTGACTGTCAAGATGTTCATGGGCGCGGACGGCAGCCTTTGAAACAAGGCCTCGAGATCTGCCTCCGCGAAAATTACCGGGACGAAGCACCAGCAACGTTGCTGGCTGGTTTCTGAAGTAAATCGCGGTACTTGAATTGGACATGCTTGGTGTTCTCGGCCTAACAATTTATATAGACCCATCATCAATCATTCAAATAAAGTAAAAGCATGTAAAGATCATGGTTTCAAATGGATGAAATTTAGGGGAAGTCGCAGATCGAGATGGGCTCTTTCCTCATCACTCTCTCTTGGTGTAAGGGATGTCTTATATGTGCCATGGTCAGGTGGGATGAAGTGGGATGAAGTGGGATGAAGTCATCCATCCCAAATAAGATCCCAAACAACTGGGCGTAAAAATCATATTAAATAATCCCATCCGGCAAATTTGGCTGTATAATCAATCTTTTGATCAAATGTGAAAATTTACTGGGCTCGGTATGCTGCCATTGACATCCATGAGCATTTACCAAGTATATACATACTACGTCGCTACGTATTACTATGCAGGTACTGTATTCCATGGACGTTTACCCATTGAGAAACCGCCAGATTTTCACACTGTACAGGCTGCCGGTCTTCGTCGAAAAATTCGGACACCTGATGCCATGGGTCTCTGTTTTCTTGGCTGAATCAAATCCCAAGACCCAGAAGCGGCGCGTTTTTCTGCGACAGCTCCAAGTTGTTCGGATGTGGCCATCCCCTCAGGCGTCCGCTTTTGGCATGAACTCAGAACTTGCCCGGGTCATTTCCACAATAACTTCCTTGGCATCCTGCGATGTTTGCCATGGGAACCTAGCTTAGTGCCCATGAAGATTGGTGGGAAGTGTCGGGTAATCGAAACCTGATTTGGACGATTCCGCATGCTACCCCAAGTGGCAAATTTAGCAGGGAAAATGGTGATAAAACCATGATAAACCATCACGACCATTCAAATTTGAGTAGACCATGATCATTTCACAAACCATGAGGTTGAGACAAACCCATTGATATCCATGTCTCATTCATAGATTTTGGCACTAAAAGCTGCAGTTGGTGACTCACAATCTTGAATGGGAATCAATCATCTTCCCCATTCGCATCATATATGGGGGTAAAGATCCCAGGTGGTTTCCTAAGTCATGGGGGTACCCCCAAATCATCCATTTATTGATGGATTTTCCAAGATAAACCATCCAGCTATTGGGGGTATCCCCATGACTTTGGAAACCACATGGAACCACCATGATGATCCCATAAAGTTTAGACAAAACCTGTGTGGTGAACAACTTCAACCGCCTTCCGATTCTCCAACTTTCGCGTGAAAGGCAAACGGAGCTTGAACTGCTGCATTTGGTCGGCTGCCTAGCATCGACGGCCGGTGGTTTTTTTTTGATCGAGGAGTCCATGGTCAAAAATGGGGGGGATACAGGGATACTGCCAACATGGTGATATGTTTCAAATGTGGATATCATATGATAGAATGGGATATGGATGGTTTAACCAGCTATGATTGGAAGGTAAGCATCAAATGTCGGGACTTCGCCAATATGGGATGGGCCCCCAAGTTGTGTACATCCATTTCTGGGCAAAGCCCATTTATGACCCATTTCAGGCAGTCATAACATGACATAAAAACATATAAAAACCAACTTTGATGGTTGATAATCAATTTCAATATCTTTATATAATTTATATAAATTATGGTTAAAACATGTTAGAACCAGCTTTTATATCTTTTATGGTTGATAATCACTCATTTTTTCGGGAAAAACCGCCTAAAAAAGCGCCTTGGGCTTCCGCGAGACCTTCACGTACATCCCCAGACCTGATTCGCTGAGTGATGTTTGTCAGCAAGGATCGTCATCCCTGGTGATGAAAATACCAAAAGCAGGGCTGGGTTGTTTCAGTCAAAACAATGCAAATCAGCAGGAAAACAAAAGAATGTGGTTGGTTTCAACAAGTGGTATCCCCACGCGAACAACATTGATGACAAATCAAGAATTCGCGAACAAATCCAGCGGGCTTATCATGTCTTATCCGCCACTTAGGTGCTTGACCGGCTTGACCTCCAAACAAATTGACTGTTATTGGCGATCTTTGGTTAAATCACCATTTTCGATGGTTCAATCACAAATTTTCGAAGTTAAATCCCAGCATTGAAAATCATTGAAATCCAAGAAGTGACAAAAATCACTTCAGTGCCAGGGCAGCTGCTATCCATGGAGGTAATCTCAGCGTCCTCCACATCAATACCAATGTAGTTCCTTGCCAGGATGAAACACCAAAGGTCGTGGGAGGTTTCCTAAGTCATGGGGCTACCCCCAGTCATCATGACTTAGTAATGGATGACCATGACTTAGTATTGAAACCCATGGTGTTGGGGATCCTGCAGATCCCCCATTTTAGGAAATACCCCTGTGACATGAGTTGGTACAATGGCCGAAACAGTTGAAAGTAGCACTGGTATTGGAAACTGAGTGGGGAGGTGGGGTGTGGGTCCAAACCTAACGTCGCAGCCAATGGTCAACAGTCCCAGAATGGTGTAAGGGCCTGTAAGGGATTGGGTTCATTGCTTCATGTAGATATTGTCCCTTCCCTTCAGATAAAAACATCATTCTCTTGGTGCCCAGACTTGAAGGAAAATGGTTTCCGGAAGATTTCCCCTCAAACCAATCCGGAATGGGAATGGGAACGGTTCTATTGATGCGTACTAACCCCATTATTGGTGGTTGTTGATGTGTGTTGTTGTTTTTTTCAATCACCACTTGGACTATTGTGGGTTTTTGATGGCCATTGAAAATCCAACTTGATTATTGAGATTACAGTGGTACTGACCCATGGACTCTCCATAACCCAATGGTTGTTTTTGATGTTTTTTGGATTGTTTTGGATGTTTTTTGATAACCCCGTTTATTTATGGTGTTTTGATGCTTGGTGATGATCGGTGTGTGTTCTTTTCAATATATATATATATATATATTATATATATAATATGTGCATATATATATATATATAACCACTGGTTGTTACTTTTTTGTTTTTTCATTGTTATTCACCCACTATTGATGGTCCCCCGCCAAAAGCCACTGGACATCACCGGACTTCAATCGAGTCCAACGGGGTGTGTCTCCGCCTGATCATGGCGACAGTGGCTTCCCGGTGATCGTCATTCATGTGCCTCAGCGGCTTGGAGATGTGGGAATGTCAAGCTGGGATTCAACGAACATGCTGATTTAACTGATTTAACGGATTTAACCATCAAAAAACTCATTAACATTAATTAAACTTAATTAAGCATCAAAAATGGTGAACACATGCTGATCTAGTTTAATTAACAAACATTGCAAAAAGTTGTGATTTAACCATCAAGCATGGTGAACGATGGTTAACAGGGATATCAAGGGAATTTTGATAGGGATTTTGCGAAACCCCGGGTTGGTGATCATTGAAAGGTACCATTTAGCCATTTAGTAGAAAGTGACATGGGCCACGGTCAATATTTGGTATATAGCTCCAAGTCATCGATTTTTGAAGAGTGTATTATCGTTTTTCAGGTTTTGGTATATAAGCAAATGTTATTGTTTTTTGAAGAGTGTATTATCGTTTTCCAAGCCCCAGCTCAATTTCCAAAAAATAAAGATGTCTCGAATACTACTCTCCATTAACCTAATCTTGGCTGTAGCTCACATCACTATTTAGGGGTTACCCCCGCCTTAAACAATCAGGGTTGTCAATCCGGGGTTGACATTACGGGATGGTCAGCGGCAATCAGTACCTTTGATAAGGCTTCAGTATATGATGTGAACAGTTTTTTTGATTTATCACCTATCATCAGTGCCTATTTAAAATTCATGTCAAAATCATTTCATGTCATCTCATCTGACCCTGCAAACGGTCATAAATCAGCTATACGTGAAGCATCCTATAATCTTGGAGTCAGCTGGCTAGCCGCCATAGCCGCTGGAGAAACTTGTCACTGAAATGCAGTCCCAACCGAGTTAACTCGGTTGTTGGGTTACCGATCCAGACTGAGCTATGACTGGCTTGCCTTGCAGTCGTTCCTAATCATTCTTATCTTCGGTGGCCACTGTCCCTGTTTTGTTGGTACAAGCCACCGGCTTGGTGACTTCTGTTCCACATTGTTCCACTATTTGGATACACAAGTTGCAATACATGCGGATTTTCATGATGCATTTATGTTACACTTCTGATTTCTGGTTTGGATACACTTCTGGCCATCTTTGATGGCTTTTTATGATGCATTTATGGTAGACTTGGCCACTGAATCATGAGGGTTCAACTCCCAGAAAGGTCCCACTTAGTAGGGGCGAATTTTTGGGTGGGCTGAATCCCACTGACATTGTGATTGGTAATACGCGGTAATACCCATATCCCCGTTATATTCCCATTATAACACATTATAACACCATATACCACCATTTTTGTTGGGAAATCACAATTTTTGATGGTGAAATCACCATTTTTGCTGGTGCACGCAGTTTTTTTCGGCCTTGGGCGCCAAACCCCGCGACGGCAGGACCAAAGCCGGCGATGGGATCCGGAGTGGCCGCAGTGTAGGCCTGGTCAATAGCCATGCGGAACTTCATAACGAATGGGACTTCATCGTGGGGATATTCATACACAAAGTGGGATTCATATGGGATGTTCATGTTATTTGAACCATGAAAAATATGCTGAATTTTTGTAGCATCACAGAAAATCTGCAGCTGACACTGAAAACTGGGGAAATGAACAGAAAAACGGAACGGAGCAGCTTAACTAGCAAAAAACATGTGATTTGACCTTGAATGCAATATGAGGGTTTACCGTCTGGAAATTTCACCAGACAATGGGAATTCCCATTTTGCAAAAATGTTGGTAAAGCAATAATAAACCACCCATTTCTAGAACCCATTTTATGGTACAATTGCGGACGGTGGATCCTATTGCTTTACGAACATTTTCTAGTTTTAGGATGTTTTAGGTAGATCCAATTATGGTTTTACATTGGTTTTAGGTGTTTTACCTACATTAGTTTAAAAAAATATTATATAGAATGTAAAGAAAAACTATGTTTACCAACATTTGCCAATGGGATGTAAAAAACTATGTTTACCAACATTTGATGTTTTTGCTTTACTATTGCCTTTACTATTGCCGTCACTGAGTTGCCGCCTCCGCCGTGACGGAGCCCGCACGGGCGAAGCCGCCCACGTAGCGGACAGTCTTCACCTGGCGACGGAAAAAGGCGGTGATTTTTCGTTTTTTTGGTGAAAAATTGGGACTTGAGCATCAACCATGATCTGGAAATATCTGGAATTATTGGCACAAAAAACACTTCAGAAACGGTTTCATCAACTCCATGAACAATTGGTGTTTAGCCATGGAACATCTGGATTATCAAGCAAAATTGGACTACAGCTACAGTTCAGCTATACAGTATAGCAGCAAATCAGCGGATGAAATCGGCGGTGTGGTGGCCTAAAAAAACGCGTAACAAATCCTGGATATTCCAAGGCATTTCAGGCTTATAAATGGATGGTTACTATATGAATATGGCTTGAAGCACATATATACTTCAAACATATTGTTGCCATTTCATACCATTTCAACAAGTCCTGATATTTCAAGTACAACCAATTCTTCAGCAGGATTGTCATGCTCGTGCATCCCAGTTGTCCAAGACTAGATTGGCCTCGAGCAAAACGAAAGTTTTAGATTCCATTGCAAGGTTTGCATGCCTTTCAATATAAGAGGAAGATGTACATGAATTTCTTGGATCAATTTTGCTATCAGAATTCTGAAGTAAAAATGTCTCATGTCAAAACTTCAGCTGATCACGTGGCCACTTTTCACACCCTTAAATGACTACGAGATCGCTTGACTGCGTGGGGGTTCATCGTGGTCGTTGAGGCATCCCCGCAAGAACCGGTAGATTTTAAACTATACCGAAGTTGATGCTATGGCAAGTATGGATTCTTCATCAAAAACCCTCAGGCAGTTTGACCCTCTGATATTATTACATCTTATTACTGTAGCAAGAAAAGCGCTTTTCCGGGACTTTGCCGGACATGCCCTTTCAATATGCCACTAACAATGACACTGGCAATGGAAAATCATGGAAAACCTGTAGCCCATTCAGTTCGATGAGTGTCCCACAGTTTTTCACTACACGTAGTTACATGTTGTTTTTTTGGCCAGCCACGTTGAATGACCAGGGAACATCAAAACCACAAATCAGCCACTAACCTACCCTAGGTTTACCGGTTTTCCAACTGAGAATGGTCCAGATTTCCTGGCATTTGCCTCCATGCGGTACCATGTGAAATCGCCAAACTCCACCCAAAACGCCTCACTGCGGGGTGATTTGTTTCAGGAGGAAAACACAATATGCAAAGCCACCAACCTGCTAACTTGGGGTTACCACTAGAAAGGGCAAAACGACGCTAAAGGGCATCCTAACCTATGCCTAAATGGATAGAAAATGAGGAGTCCTTGCAATGGGTATTGTATGCTGGCAAAATAACTTGCCTCTTGAACATTTGGGGTTCTCCATTGCGGAAACGCCAACTACAAAATATGTGGGTCCGAACTTTATTAAAAGAAGACACATCAAGTCACAAACCTTGGAACATGATTTCACAAACACCAAATCGGATCCGTTGTCGGCATATTGTATAAATAGTTGTTTCAGCTGCATGTGTGTCTGCGATGTCCCACGTAGAGATAGATTTGTGACTACAATGGGGGATAATAGGGGTATGAAAGGCCATGAGTCCATGGACTGAATGTTTGTTGATTTGCGATGAAGTAACCATCTGGTTTTTCATTGCAGGAGCAGCCTACTTGGCGCTTGGTGCTTGGCAAACTCCATCAGGATCTCCCATCCAGTTGTGTTTGATTCCCAACCGGTGAACACTCAGTTGACCAGCAGTGACAGGGGATCGCTGATTCCCACTGTTTGACGACATGAACTGGAACCGAGTTGCCTTTGGATGCTTCTCCAAATACAACCTGATTCAACCGGTGGAAGTTGGCACTGGATGTCGGTGAAATCCCCGTTGTCGGTGGCAATGGATGGCAATGGAAAATTCCCGATTTATGGATGATCTTCCCACTCAAACCTCCATTTATGAGGGATTTGATGTTGCCACTACATATTATTGCTACCCCAGATCCAGTGTTTCATGGAATGATGCCACATATACATTTATATATCTTAGTATTAATTCAATTATATATATATATAACTTTTCTCTAAGGGGTTTTCCATTACCGGTACCATCATTATTGTTACCCCAGATCCAGTGTTTCATAAATCAATATATGAACCAATATATCATTAACCAACTAATCAAATTAACTATAGAAAACCCTAGAACTTAGACTTAGAACTATTAAATGTTGGTTAAATAATGAACATTGTTCAATATTCCCCTTAAAATCATCCACCAAAATCAACATATTAGCCAATATATTAACCACTATATTAATCAATATATTAGCCAATCCATTCACCAACTAATCAAGTTAATCATCTACAAGGGTTTACCCTCTGGTAAACTAACATAACTATGGAAAATCACCATTTTCGATGGGAAAATCCACTGTAAATTGTCATGTTCAATAGCTATGTTAAATTACCAGAGGGTAATCATCAACAATATGTGGAAATTAGTCAACTATTATTAATCAACTATCATTAACATTATGTTGATGATTTATTAATCAACTATTTTACTTCTTGAAACCAAGGAACTTCTTGGCCTCCGCAATCTCTTCCTCCGATTCCAAGGGCACCGCCTCGCCCAGCAGGTTCACGCGCCCGTCGGCGGCGCCCTGGCATGGCGGGAGATCCTGGTCATCGGGGTTGGAGTTTGGGATTTCATTTTGGATCAGCCTCAGTATGTTGATCAACATAAATCAACATAAATCAACATATAAATCCTATACATGAGGAATTGTGAGGATTTGTATGTTGATTTATGAGGATTTATCATGATTTATCCCAGATTTGCTGAGTGGATCTGTTACACTTCCCAACTACTTGATGGGTGGTTGACATGATGATGTGGTTGACATGGTGGAAATGCTAACCATGACAATCGTCTGTAACTCAGAAGTTGTCTAACTAAACTTCCTTTGAATAGTTGATTTTCCGATTAAGACCTCCATTTATAGGGCAGTTCCAATTGCCATGTTTGAAAGATCCCCATGAAATCTCCATGAAATTGATATTTGGAGGTGTCGTAAAATGGGGGTACCCCATTTTCATCATCCAGTCATTTGACCATAAAAAAGCATATCTTAGCATTGAATCCCATGGTGACTTGGGTATCACCCGTTTTTTCAGAAAGCTCCATTTGTTGGAACCAAAATATGGTCAGTCACCAGTTTGCTGCCTTGAATTCCTTGGACGCCACAGTCAGGGAGCAGCGTTTGTCCTTGATCAAGTCCTGCGAAGGGTCTGGTTTCAACTGACTCAAAATAAGGAACATAGGGGTTTAACATGATTTACCCTCTGGTAAATAAACATAGACCCTGAGAATCACCAATTTGTATCAAAGATTGCATTGGCGCACAGGCGACACCCCGAAGAGTGGCACACTGACACCAAGAATCACCAATTTGTAATGGAAACTAATCTTCCAACCCCTATCTGGCAGGGTCTATGTTAATTTACTGGAGGGTAACCATATCTGACTGCCCATCAAAAATTATTAAAATTATTTGATTTAAGCATCAAACATGGGTTTTTTTAGCCTCGAAAATCGGGATTTAACATGATTTAACCATCAACAATGATAATTTAACATCATACAAATTATATAACTTAAACCATTGATGGAAATATTCATAGAACGTTAGGATTTAGTTCATAGGGATATTTATTTAATGGTGATTCCATAGGGAATATGTTCATGGGATTGGGACTGCATTGAAACATATATAACTTAACCATCAAAAATAGTGATTTAGGCATCAAAACTTGGGATTTCACCAACAAAACGATGTGCTGCACTCCTTCTGGGAAATCAAACATGGCATGCTGGAAAATCCCCCCCATGTTCTTCGATGATTGAAAAAAGACTGTGATGCACGGACTACAATGAGATCGAACTATATAGTGTCCCCCAAAACATTGGATGAAAACAAATTCCTTTCTTTACATTTTTTTCACTCACTGCGGGGGTTCCTTGGAGAAATATTCAACTACATTCCTGAACATTCCTCATATTCATGGAAAACCACAACCTTTGGTGAGTACATGGTGAGTACATCCTGATCATTGAATCAGCCAACCTGTCAACCACTACAATGACTGAGCACTACGGGATTTAAGATAGTCACAGTGTTGCAACTGTCCACAACTGGATGTTACAACGCATCATATCATATCCATTCTATCCCTGACAAGAAGAATTCCCATCATGATCACCCAATGTACTTTTATACAGAAGGACGAAAAGTCAAAACACAATTCCATGGCTGCGATTTAGTTATGTGCATCTAAATTTCACATCATTTCACATACGCTGTCAAGGCTCAAGAGAGATATAGAGTAATCCTGTAGACACCGCAGATGGGGGGTTACCAACAAACATCACCCGGGGAGTCCCTTCCTCCACCAAGGCGCCCAAGGCGCCTGCGTGTGACTGGACATGGAGCTAAAGCTGAAGAGCGGCCGCCCCTGTTGGTCTGGCGCGAAGCCCACCACCGAGCCGCCCGGATATCCAGGCATGGAGGCGCCTCGAAAGATGACCAGCTTTGTGGCAAAAAGTTGGAGATTTCTCATGACATGAGTTAACCAGATTTCATCAATTTGAGCCCCAGAAAAGGTCAATTTCATTGGATTTGAGGTATGCAAAATGTGGAGTCGGCCAGCAAAACGTGCAAAATTTATTACCAAACAGCGATCGGATCCATGGTCATTCCCGCGAAAACATATATAAACATCACCCCAGCTGCCACCCCCAGGCCCCCAGGGACCAAAGCCATATTTCTTGCCCAGATGCTGTTGGTACTCATCACCGCAAAGCCATGGTTGTACTGCACCTTGGGCCCAGCAGACTTCAAATAGGCATGTCCTTTGGCGGGGTGGTCCATGTTTGATATGTTTGCATATAACGCCCATCATAAGTTGGGACATACAGGAATCATAGCCCCCATAAAACATGAAGGATAAAAGGAAATGACACATCAGGCAGGAGCTTGGTGTCTGTTGATTGTCATCATATATGGATCAAAAGTCTAGAGCATCTCATGAACTAAGAAACGCCAAGAGGTGTGGTATCAAAGCTCCCAAGGGTTTAAAGATGTTTAAAGGATACCCATCCCACCCACACCATTCCTTGCTGTGGAAGATTGCCGAGTCCTACAGCTAGGTGCACACCCCTGAAATTTCGAGGAACATCATCTGCAAAGTCCACCCTTTGCAATGGCTGTACTGGTTCTACTGCCAATGATTTGGTGCTTCTTCTGACCAGTACAACCATGAATTTCATCGGTTCATGTCCCTGTCTCCCCTGAATCGTGTACCTGTTCTTACGCAGTTCCCAGTGTTTTCAATATCAGCGCTTGAGGATGGTTAAGAAATGGCCTGTTCATGCTGACAAAAACATACAAAAACTCAGGATGGGTCAAAAAAATCACCGGGTCCACCTGTTTCGTATTCACCATCTTCATCTTGTCCCCCAATTTTCACCAAGGTGCCAGCGTCCGGACCTCCGTGGCGGCATCCAACTTGGGCGCAGCCTCCTGGTGTTCCTTCACCTTCACCTGCAGCGCCATCTCCTGGCTGCGCAATGGGATTCCCGATTCCTCAATGGATTCCGAAACTGCGGATGGTTTAGAGATGGTTTAGTTTAAGGGATACTTGGAGATGGAGTTTGATGGTCTCAAATGCCACAAAAATCTTGGGAGATGGTCTGACCTGGGGTACGGCCACAGTCTGCAGCTTCGCATGTCATGCGGTGCAGAAATTACCACACCCTGTGGTTTTACTAGTAATAAGCCATGAATCACTCTCATCCTGTCATAAGTTGTTAAACATGATTCCCATGGCAACTCGTTCGATCTATGTATCATAAACCCACATGTTATTGGAGTCATCGTATGTTTCCAGGCTTCTCCAAGCTGGTTGGATTTGTGTCACCAATTTTCGATTGGAATGAAGTGACCATCCTTGGGGTATGCCAAATAAATCTAGATGGAGAGATGGAGGGCAGAAAAGAACATGAAATCAAAAACGGCACATAAACAGGGTAGAAGATAGATCATTATTTAAGAGGAAAGACACATAGGATACACAAAATGAAAAGTATCGAACATGACATAGAAAATGACACACAGGCTGCGAAATCGAACACTCGTTCTTTCCAAACAAATAATTGTATACATGGAAAGGATGATGGGGGGATAGAGCACCGAATAGACCATCATGCAGAATCAGCTTTTGCATCCCTGGCATTTGGGTTTGGAATGTCGATGGCCCCGTCCAGTCCCATGTTGCCATCTTTGGTCATTCCACCTGGGTGTCTACAACCAGGGTGCCCCATTGCATCTTCAAAGCCATTGCTGCAGGGAAAACTACTATCCTTATGATTATCCTTATATTGAATATTTTTGGGGATATGTAAAATCCTTCAATGATTTTTACTAGTCTTCATGGATTTTCATATATACATACATATCTATCTATCTAAATATATATATATATATTATATACATATCATATATCCATACTGGTTGGTGGTATACCTACCACTCTGAAAAATATGAGTTCGTCAGTTGGGATGATTATTCCCAATATGTTGAAAAAAAAAATGTTCCAAACCACCAACCAGTATCTATATATCTATATACATATCATTTATAATTATATATATATATGTATAATATATATATATATGTAAAATATATATATATAATATTCCATGAAGCTTTCCTCCATCATGTCCTCCATGGCCACTTGCCCCGTCCTCTGGATCCACCTGAAATGCTCCCGCATTCTTCACCTGATGGCCTGGCGAACGCCACTTGCCGCGACAGGAGCCTGGGATATGCCTCAAAACTCAGGAACATCTAGGAACATCTGGCAGTGTGTCAAAACCTTGTACCCCTGGTGAACATCAAAATAGCTGGTAAATGGATGTTCATCCCACTAAAAATGTATCTATAGGTATTGACCCATACCCATCTAGGAACCATTTAGCAAATTTAGCTGAACATCAGGAAATGAAGTGAACGTATTGCTAAAATCACTGGGTTTTAGGGGCACCTCAGATGAATTTGGCCAGTAATATTTAAAAAAACAGTGTTCAAAGTCCGGGTCATGCCGGGTCGTGTGAATCGATATGGTTGGTCTGTGCAAAGATGGTTTGTTGGGGCAGTCAATCTCACAAACAATTACAATATATGCGGGGGTTCTATAAATGGCGGTACTCCCATAGCTGGATGGTTTATTTCATAGACAATTCCATGTATAAATGGATGATTTGGGGCCTTCATATTATGTAGGTCCACCTGTGTCCTGGCGTTGTTGAGTTGAAGTCACTACATCGAACCAAATCGGCAACATCAACCATGTCTGGTCCTTCTCATCTACCATGTGGTGTGATTAAACAAATCATAAACTCCTGGTTTCTAAGCTTTTTTCAAATCCCTACCATCCCTGAATCATGTCATACAAGTACGAGTATGATCAAGTCTAGTCAATGATTTGACACATGCATTGCTCTATGCCCTATGCATTTTGCGCCAGATCCCTGTTGGAATTGTATAATGATAATCTCTGAGCTTGTCGCCTGTTTGTCTCTCTTCTGCATGCAGAGCAAGACGACTTTTCACCACAGGCTGCCTGGAAGTCATGTTTGGATACCCCCAAAATCATCCAAAATTTGGGATTGTTCGTTTATTGACAAGTGGCCCTTAAATGATGTAAATTGTGATACCCAGAAAAGATATATGGGGTCCCATATATCTTACTTCATGCTAGTGAACAGCTCAGTGAGTTGCTCATAGTCACCCATATGATCCTATACGTACATACTTGTGGAAGATAAGAGAAATAGTAGAAAATGGGCAAACAAAGGTGGCCCACAGCAGATCAAATATTCATGGAGGTTTTTTACGAAACGCTAATTTTTAACTGCAACGAGACTTCAGGAAGAGTCAGAACATTACCCCCTCAGATCAGGGAAACATTTTCCCAAATCGACCGAACGAACCATGCCGTCTTTTCGTAGCTGGTCAATTGGGATCATCTTGACATATCTTGACAATCTGGGGATGGACCGAATCATTCGGTGCTTGTGAAGAATCCCCGATATATCTGGGATGGCTGCCATCATCTACCAAGGAAAAAAAATGAAAAGCGGTAATGGTTAGCTCTGACATATTGAGCCTCACGCCGCCACACCAGGATCTTCTCAAAAGTCAACATGTCAACAGGTTCAAATGATCTGAGTCCTTGAGCGACTCTTCCAAGCAGTCGAGGTTCAAATACGCTGAGCTGACAAAGGCTTAAAAACACGAAACGCCAACAAAACTTCTTGGGGGCCCCAATGTTCACCGATGCTCGCCAAAGCACATGCAATGCGTTAGCTATATGCACCGTGTCTTGCGGGTGAATCAGCAGCTAGACATTTCTATTGCTGAACTCCCCAATTTTTTGTCAGGCAACGAGAGATAACTTGGTAATTTAAGCAATTTAAACACAGATCCTTGTTCCAAGAATCCTCACTTGTGGTTGTTACCCACCAAACCAATTTGCCGGTTGATGCCGGTTGTCTTCACCCCCCATGTTTGGTGTTTCAACCCATTTTAACCCCAGATGATTACTGCAAACCGATTCTGTGGCGAAATCCCATGGTAAACATATGTTCACGATATTCGGCCCATTTTTCATGATCAGGTCATTAGTTCGATCACCCTCTGGTAATCTAATCATTGCTAGACACCCTCCGCTAATCTAAATCTGGAAAATCCATGAAAATCCTGGATTACTAATGACTAATCATGGAAAAACAGACATAGATCACCATGTTTTGCCAGACACCCTCTGGAAAAAAAAATCCTTTACTATAGAAAGTCACCATTTCGAATAGGCACATGATCGCAGTACAGTAAATGGGCCATGGTGTTGCAACATGTTGGGAAGGGGTAAACCTTTGATTAAATATGTCCAGGATTTTCACTCTCAAACCCCCATTAATTGCTATTAAATTCACATTATATATATATATGTATATATATATATATATCATATAATATCATATATATATAGTCCCAATGTTTTAACCAAGCCCATTCATATTTCCATTCACATTTCCATTATATTCCCAGTGTATTCCCATGATATTCCCTTTGAAATCCGTAGTTGTGTTGGTTAAATCCCCATTTATCCCTGCTAAATCCCCTATATTCCATTCATATTCCCATGATGTTCCCTATGAAATCCCAATTGTCCATCAATATGTCCATGATATTCCAAGTATAACTCCCTATTAAATCCATATATGTAACGGTTAGCCATTATATTATATTCCTAATTAAATAATGAACATATTGATTGATAGGATTTTTTTCATGTTGGTTGACTGTTCTGACTCCCCATTAATCATCAAAACCATCAACCCATAAATTTCGTCCGTAGGGGCCTACTCCCCAAGAACGCAGTGGACAGAGAGGCCACAAGCAGACTCACCAGGAGACCCTGCAGCTTTTTGAGGAGTTGACCGGTAAAACATGGCAGTTTTAAGATTCAACAAGGGGGGTTAACAACAATGGCAATGTAAGCATCAAAATATGGTGATGGAAATGAGGATGATACATATGAACATGATCCAGAAATCGTGGTTCTAAGATGTTCTAAGTTCTAAGTTCAAGAAAAAAACATAGAGCTGAAGAAAGTGAAATAAGATCTATAAAACTGGTGGTTCCAATGGGGATCTAAGCTGCAAACATCCAGGAACCCATGGCATTCGCCGGCCTGGGCATTGCCCCGCTTCATGCTGGGCGATGTCGTTTTGTGTTTCTGAAAAACAAGCGGTTCTTGGGAGTTGGACCCACCTTTTTTGGGGGGATACAGTTACCCTCTGGTAAACTAACATAACTATGGAAAATCACCATGTTTAATGGGAAAATCCACTATAAATGGCCATGTTCAATAGCTATGTTAAATTACCAGAGGGTAACTGTTTTGGGCTAAAATGAGTTGAAGAACTGTATAGCAACCCGAAAAAATAGATAGAAGACATGTATAGAAATGTTGGAAACCTGGACCAAATATGATCTCTGAAGACGCGTTTTCTATCCTTTTTTGGCGGGTTACAAATTCACCATTTGTTGCTGGCTTGACACATCTTGACACATTTAAGTCATTTAAACATATCAGCCTGATGGGCCGAAAAGGATCGGTATTGTGCCACGGAAAGATGTGCTTCACCAAGGACAAGCAGGATTTACCCGCCTGTAAATTCACTTCTGGAGCACTATGGGTAGATCATATTCCTTGGCAAAAGCATATAGGTTTCCAAACCTATTGCCTACCTCAAGCATCCTTAAGCAACAAACAAGTGGATTTGTGTAAGCAACAAGAGTTACAGTGAAGCTTGAGTTCAAGAAACCAATCACAAAAATACCACACCTAAAGAATCAGTGGTTCCTAGGGATTTTTTCACCTGTTCAAAATGTGAAACCAACCGGCCCCAGGATCGGATTGAAATCAACCATCGCGTTGGATCCTTAAATGATCTTAGATGATCTAAGCGGGAAATAACACAATAAATAACCAGACCATACATGATTGAATAATATTGAATATATCATACAATCCGAGTTATGGCTTACTAACCACTTATAGTATTCTCATAGTATTGTATAAATGGGATGCACCCCCAAGTTTCTATTCCTGGTTTAGTAACGTCCCATCGACCTTCAATAGCAGATACATCAGATATATCCAGATATCACCCGTCACACAATCGAAACCGGCGGACCGTGACAATATTTTTGTAGCTTGCATCGCCAAATTGAGCAACTCCGGTGTTCAAGTTGTTTGAGTTGGGTCTGAGCTTACATGTTTCATGATGTTTCACCAAATTGTCACTGCTTTCATTGAACACAGGAAAGCTTGCGTCAGCCACTTGCAAGCCTTGCGTCTAGGAAACATGGCACACTTGCAAGATCGCACACAGGGCCATCCCTTTGACGCGTTCACCTACTGGCTGGTGAAACCAAACACCACCTTTTTCGCCTTGGGCGACTCAAAAGTCGTGGGAACGCCTACCTTTCATACTATTCATACTGCTGGTGAGGCTCATTTGTGACATGTTGCTCGCTTTCAGCGAGGGCAAACTGACGCACTTCACCAGCTGTTCCGTCTTGGACGGATCCTCCCGTTTCATCCGCACCGTGCCCTTGGCGCTCACCGTTGGCGGCACCACCAGGCTTCGGCTGGGGCTCATGGGTGAGGTCGCGTCGAAGGCGTCTGGGCACAGCCGCGGGGCCATGAGGATTTGGCTAATTGACCAACGAAAACTGGACTTCCACCAATTCCAGTGGGGAGTTTATTGAGGATTTAGGTAAAATATGGGAATCTAAGTAACAACGGTTTTCGGACAGTTAAGTCAGAAAAGTCGCGATGAAACATGATTAAACCACAATTCTTTAGGATCAATTCAGATCTGAGGAGATCTCCCGACATTTCCACATGAAATCCTGGCCATGCGACACCGCGACGAGGAAGCCTATGCGGCCAGAACTCGAGTCGCTGATCACCAAAAAAGAACTTGAGGTGCGGCCATCAGAGGGTAGGGGGTATCATCTTTTCCCATTTTTTTGGCCATAAATTGGGTTATCCCCGTATACTGACAGACAGGACTCTGTCCAGATTGGTCCAGAACATCAGGCTGGATTGCACGAAATTTTCCCCCAATGTAATTGTAATAGGTGTGCATTTATGCAGAGAGTTGTTGTTTTAAATTACCCTGTGGTAAACTAACATAACTATGGAAAATCACAATTTTCTATGGGTAAATCCACTAAAAATTGCAATTTTCAATAGCTTTGTGTATGTTTACCAGAGGGTACCCCCAATTCCAATGAATTCTCATCATGTACCCTATTCAAGTGGCCATAACTTGGAGGTGATTTTCACCAGTTTCAGACAAACCCATACAGTATACCAAATCCAAATTGGTTATATACATATATATATATATATCAGATTTGGTAACTGTAGTTATGCCTAGTTATGACATCTTATAATGTGGTAAACCATCCACAATTCCAAAACTGGAGGTTTATGGCATTGGGTTTACCACATTGTTCCATTTTACATCACCCTTACTGTCCATATACCCTAGGCCCTAGGCTGATCAAAAGTGGCACAATGGAAAAATCTCCCATTAGTTCGTTGATTTTAGATCCATATCTCCATTTATAGGGGATTTCCAACATATATATAGCTATAATATATATATATATATACATAGAGAGAGAGGGAGAGAGATCCATATCCATCTTCATTTTTCCCTGGCACCAGCTGCCCATGCTGCCCTGCCTCTGTTGCCGCGCGCGTCTCGGGCTTCCCGAAGCACCAAAGACTGGTGATGCTCTGGCAGCTCCTGGTGGTTCTATGGGGGGTTTTAGGGAAATTCATCAGCAAGATTTGGGATTTAACATACAAAAAAATAGGTAGTTAACATGAATCAATCTGAATCAACCATCAAATTGATAAATCAATGGGTTGGTGAAGGAATTTAAGGAAGAACTATGAAAAACCGGCATCAAAAACAATCAGTACTGGATACTACTGGTGTCAATAAAAACCATTAAGAACTATTCTCATTGTATGGCTTTTGTCGGGAACACCTTGACCGGATTGATGGGGTTTTTGGTTTTAATGTCCCATCATCCAAAATTTGGGATCTTCTAGCCGCAACAGAAAACGGATTCCAACCAATGGATCTATGGATCTTTATGAACAAGTAATATCAAGTACATAAATTACATGTTCATAATAGATCCATAGATCCATTATTATTATGAACAAGTTATCGATGATAATAACAACAATTCACTAAAAAGAAAGATACAACCGTACAAAACCCATCATGACGTCGTGACGTCGCCGTAGCGTCACAAATATCTATCCCGATCTATGGTTGTGTATACACATATAATTATTATCATTATTATTAGTAGTAGTATATTATTATAATTATTATATTGATGCGGTTCGGTTTGCACGGCGTAGATTAAGCAAACTTGTTGGTTTGCACACAAAGTACCCTGACAATTTGGTTGTTTGTATGACAACTAGACGATTGTTGGCTATCCTACCCCACCAGGCCCTACCTCTGAACCCTAATTGTTGGCTCATTTTAGAGTGGCCTCATTTGGGGAGTTTTCCATGTCAAAAGATAATGAAAGTTATCACTGATTGTTGGGCCGAGGGCCGATGCCAAAAAGATTTTTAAGGCAGGAACCATCAATGAATTGAATGATCTCCCCTAATGAAAATGGGTCTGGCTGAAATGGGGTACCCCAGTCTATCCACTAGTTTATCATCATGTTCCCCTATCATTCAATGGCCATGTTGTTTTCAATCCCCCATGCTCAAACATACCCATGTACCAATCAAGATGTTGGTTAGTTATTATCACATATATTATAATCATATATATATATACATACATACATATATATATATATCCAATGAATAATGAATGTCACCATTCACTATCCCCATTCTTGTTGGATAACATCCCCCCCCTTTTTTGATGGTCAAGTCCCATCAAGCCGCAGGCCCCTCTTGGGGACTTCTCCTGCTCCACCTCATTGAGGTCGACAGCCAGCAGAACCTGGCCGAGCGGCCAGGCTGGGGGAGTTTTGATTTCGAGATGATTTCAAGATGATAGAGTTTCTATATGGTATTTGTATGTTGGTTTACATGTTTTGGATCAAGAAAGTTTCTATGAAGTTTCTATGTTGCTCAAGAAAACTTGAATTTGACTGGTATAGATGAGATCTATGTGCTTAAGATTCCTCCATCAAAATCACCAAAACATCACCCATTCATTTAACAGCCAAGGTCTGCCCAGCTGGTTGGACATCTCAAACATGTACAGAATGAACAACTACTCGATAGATTAGAAGATGTGGGACTACAACCCTGTGCCTAAGGACGTGGAATCTTGAGTGTTGACAAAACATTTGCTCCTTGGTGGAGCCACAAACAAACATATTCAAACAGGATCCTGCTGCCAGATTGAGACCCAAGCAGACAGGGTGTTCCAAATTGAACAGTCAGCTAGAGATAGCCAGCAAAGCTTATCCTACGAAGTCTCAATGCTTGAGCCAACCCCCGAAGCACAGCTGCGTCTGATCCAGAAGATGGATGGTTTCAGTTCCCAAATGTGACTAGCACAAGGCTTCTTCCAGTACTTTTCATCCGTTTCATATGTAAACTTACTTATATTGTTCTACGGTTTAAATCAACATATTGTACATGTTTGTAAGTTTAAAACAACATTGTTGCAGAATGTGGCTCAACAATTTTCCACTACAGTAGTGTATCTTCCCACATTTATTGTATAAACCACGACGATTCTGTTCCTATCTTTATTCTTTCATATTTATCCATATGGTTTGTCTGACAATAGGCTACCCCATTCCACCCAATAGGGTCCCCGGTCATATTGAAATGACCGGCCGTGAGTCACGACTAATCCCCCCAGTCTCTTAGAGACAAACCAATATACCAAATGAAGATTTAACGGTTAGTTACCCTCTGGTAAACTAACATAACTATAGAAAATCACCATTTTCAATGGGAAAATTCACTATTTCTATGGCCATTTTCAATAGCTATGTTAAATTTAACGGTTAGTTATATTCCATTCACATCCACAATTTGCTGCTCCAATCTGCTCCATATGGCTTTGTCTGAAAATGAGGAACCTCAATGACTCAAATCCGACGGTTTATTGTAATCTTTCTATTTAAAGGACGATTTTAGGGATTATATTCTCTTATTTTCAGACACAACCATATGCTAAATAAAGATGTTGGCTAGTTTTATATCAAATCTCAAACATACCCAATGATCAATGTAACACATTACTGATCCATGTGTCACATCATTGTTCCATTTTGTTCCATATCTTTCGTTCCTTTCCAACAAAAAAAAACGGCAAAGGCCAGTGACACTGGGTTCCCCCAACCGTATCCTGCGGATCTTGAAGCTGCTCCAAGGAGCAGAACCTCGATCGCGTCGTAGGTGTTTGCCGCTTGGTTGTTAGTGTATGGTGAGAAAAATAGCAAGCCAAATACATACCAATAAATGATGGAATTTGGGAAACTCTCACTAAACTTAGTGATAGATTGAACCTGTTCTACATCTCTTGGGGGGTTGTTGATCCATTCTCATGTTGGGGGGTTGTTGTAAATTCCATGCCAATGTGAATTCCTAGCTTGACGTTTGCAAGATGCCTGATACAATGTGGCACAGGAGTTGTCGCCTCGTGGCTTAACGTCACATCTTCCTGGTCCCTGGTATTATAATCAGATGGTCCAACATTTCAAGCAAAACTTGTTCTACATTCATCAACGAGGGAGACTACAGTTTGTTTGATCACAAGAACTATAACTAGGCGATACTGTATCCCACAAGACTGCGTAGTAAACTCAGAGGTCTCTCAGATTCACCCATACCCAAGACGGCGCCACACAATGTTGCTGTCCCACCATCCTCACCATCCACTGCTTTTTCCCAATGATCATCGATCATCATCCCATGAAATCCCATGAATTTTCACTGGAAAAAAATGACGGTTTTTGACCACGAAATGCATTGCGGTTTCAAGATATATTTCAACGGGAATCAATGCATTCCCTGGTTGAAACCTCAATAGTTGGATGATGTTCTCAATGATTTTAAATGTATCATATATATAGGATTGGTTTCAAATGATGATTGTCCCACTCAAACCTCTATTTAGTTCGGGGATTTTCCAGCGCCATAATATCCCCATAGAATGGTTGGTTTTTATATCCCCAAATAATATAATATATATATATGTTGTATTATGTATTACGTATCACTTTATATCCCAATTATAAATGGTCGGTCAATATCACATCACATGTTGTATTACAGTACATATTGTATTCTTTGGAAATATGGTTGATGTCTATACCCCCAACTGTTGTATATCAAACTGTTGGTTAGATCCTATCCCATTATCCATCCCTATTAAACCCATAAAACCGATAGGTAGATTATATTAGATTATTATAAAGGGTGAATTATATCCCATTATTATATTATCATATTATCCGACTATTCCATGATTTTCATATCCATGGTGATTATAGATTATCACGGTATAGATGGTGATTAGTATTATATTAGATGATTATAGATGGTGATTTCATATCCATTGTGATATACTATAATACCATCTATAATCATAAATCCAGTAATGGTTATTCCGGTCATGGAATCTTAATATCATAGATAGATCATGTAGTTATGATTATACTAGATGATTATGATATAATATTAGACATAACTATCTAGTATATAATATTATATAATATTATAGATGTTATTACTATATAATCATGATTACTATCATTGTGGTTATGATATACCATTGTCCCACTATTATTCCACCGGGACTGACCTTCACCGAGCGGCTTGGAACGGCCACCGATGTCCCCCCGGCTCTTGAAGCGGTGGTCGAACTGCCGGCCCTGGCTGCCCACCCACAGCACGCCTGGAGGGCAGAGGTTGTGCCCAAAAATGGCGGGTGTGACCATCAAAAATGGTGGTTTCAACCATCAAAAAATGGTGATTTCACGGTTTAACATGGTTTAACCATCAAAGATGTGGACTTAAGCATCAAAAATGGTGATCGCAGCATCAAAAATGCTGTTTTAAGCATCAAACATGTGGATTTCACCACCAACAATGGTATTCGAATGGGAATATCATTGGGATATTGCGGGATATCACCGTATCACCCATAAAATCACAGGCATTCAACCCTTTCCCAAAAGGTGACCTTATTTTGGGCTGGGTCACCGCAAAGCGGTGGAGAGGCAGTGACTGCACTGTAAAATGGTTTCAAAATAGAAGTAATCTATATAATAGAGATATCAGAGATATAAGATATCATATTATTATTATCATCACATCCTTCACGGAGATATCAGAGATATGTTATGATATATAATAATAGAGATATCACATTGACTTCACGGAGATAGAAAACATTACATTACTTGTTTTAAGCTCAAAAACAAATAGTTCCTGGACTGTATATCTCAATCGTAATACTGGTTGGTCAAAGGAGTATACCTCCAAGTATGACACGCTTCAAACTTCATGGGTCCCTACAGCAATGACCAGCAGTTCTGGATTTGACGGGCTTAAATCCTAAATTATAATCTAATGCAAAATGGGTAAGAGCCAAAAAACAAAAATGTGTACCTAAAATTGGATGAAAATCAGTAGGTCCTAGGACCTTCAACGCAACAACAAATCTCCCGCAGCCAACTTCCCCAACAATCCATGTTCTTGATACAGTAATTAAGTACTTGCACATCCCGATCTAGTTTCCTTCTTTTGATCAAATATATCAAATCTCTTGGTTTTGCGCGTTCAATCCCCATGTGTTACCCATGGCCCATAGCTCTGAACAGCACCTAACCACAAGATACTTTCGGTGGGCCTGTTAAAGGATAGAAGCTTGCTCTAGAAACAGGTGAATATGGTTACTTAATGGGGGTTTATAAACCAACAAACCTCACTAGGGGTGGCCAAACACTTTGTGGTTGGTTGGCTCTAAGCACAGGGCCTCGAAGGGAGACACCCTTGTCAGGCCCGCTGACGAAGAGCGAGCAAGGGGAAATGGAACCTGGCCATTTCCGACGTAAAAAACAGGCCCTGGCTGGCAGTTGATGAGTTTATCACAGGTGTTTCTACTAAAGTTATACTGCCTGGTTGATTGGGAATTCTATACTATGACCTATTGTCAAAATCGCTACCAACCAGCCATTTAAATCTGAACCCAACATTTTGCTAAACCCCCAGTTTGCGAATGAGGATAATGGGGGGTTGCCGATGTTAATAGGCTTAGGAGTCGCAATTTATCACTATTTTTGGGACAACCCCCCAAATTCATCCAAATTCACCAACAGAGTTGATTAGGCTGACATCCATCGGGTAGTCAGTGGAGTACTGACTGAGAATCACGGGCATTTCAGCCATTCAAATGGGGATAGAAACCAAAATTCAGCACTACATCTTCCGTGGAAAGGTATATGGCCACCAACGCGTCATGGACTATATGGACTATACGGTCTATATGGTGGGATGTAGCCAGCAAATGCCAGCAAGTGGATGGATGGTCTGTGTAGTAGACCAGTCCATTTTCGGTACCAACTGACTTCACTCATGGCTTCAGAATTCTTCATGGCCATGAAACATGTAACAGCCATCAAAATGCGCATTGGAACCCACTTCCGGTTCGATCATGTCTAAACTGAAGGCTCCGGAGATTTTCAGTATCTCAGAATTGGAATCCCACGCAGTTGGATTTTAACCGCTGCCAACCGGCCTGTCGATGGATCCTTGGTGGACAGTTTGCAACACTTATCTTGAACATGTCAAGCACTCTAGGATTTATATCATAGCGCACCAAACTGAGGTAGGTCACGTTGCGTGGTGTTCCAACTATCCACTGTTTGTAGTGAGTGCTGAACTGAATCTGATCAAAAATAGCAACAGGAGGCAACAGGATGGAAAGAACACCAGCCACCCGGTTTGGCAGGCGAAGCGAACATCAGAATCAAGGATTCAGATTGATCACTTCACACCCTTAGATCTGGTCATTTGAGTCACTTGAGCCACTTACCCTCTGGTAAACTAACATAACTATTGAAAATCACAATTTTTAATGGGAAAACTCACTATAAATGGTCATTTTCAATAGCTATGTTAAATTACCAGAGGGTAATAAAAAATCATCCAAATGGGCCAATGTCATCCCCAAGTGATGTTGGATCATCCAAGTGATCTGCTTGCACTGAGCTCCCGTCGTAGCCCCTGGGATAAAAGTGGAACTGAATCCGTTCCTTGACAACGCGAAAACGAGCCATGGGTAAAGGCGGGTACCCAAACTTAGAACGGAGTAGTTGATCCTAGAAATGGCCAAAAGCTGTGGGTCCTCGTCCTCAGGTCTGATATTCCGACCCATGCCAACTTGTCGCTAGTTGCAGGAGCCTTTCTACATCCACCAGCCAGGCTTATGGTTTCCAAGATTGCGGATTAATTTTGATGACATCCATACGTATCAACCGGGTGATGGCATAAGCTAAGTGAGTGTAAACTAGGTTCAGGGGATGTAATGTTATATTATGACTTAATATCGTATCAGTTGTGACTGTATTTGGAAAATTATGCAACCGTATTTTTGGCCAACCAAAGTATCAAAGTGCTATGAAATTGCCTCAAAACAACATGGAGGAACCACGCAATACAAGCGTCAAGGGAACCTAAAGTATGGTGATAGCCGCAACCCACTTGAGACGTGCAAACTGCCGCATCTTGAAGGTAACTGATGGGGACTGAGAAACATGTTTGGCAGCTTATAGATTGTAGCCCCTTGTCACTGTGCGGATGTCTTGGCAAAAAGAAGTGGATTTCCACCTGGACAGAAATCTTGTCCGACCAGAAAAGACACAACCAATGTCGACCTATCATTCCCCAAAAGATTGTCCAGAGATACCCCAGTAAATATCAGTAAAGAGTAAATTTCCGGAAATTCTCTATGAAGGGTTATCCCAATTTCTCGTCTCCTCCATATCTGCCAGAATTGTCTTCAAAAAAACACTTCAGGACACCCCTATACAATGGCTGGTAAAACCGATGGGTTTCTGGCAGATTGTTGCTTCAAACATCCTCCTTGTTGGTGAACATTTTCTGAATGCGCCATGTTTATTCATGTTTGTCAATTGGATCCCAAATTTCCATTGCTAAATCCCGATTGCTCTAGGTTGAATCCCAACATTTGTTGCTTAATTCTCAATGTTTCATTGCTAGATTTTCCACGTTCTGGATCAAATCCCCAGAAGATCCCAGAAGTATGTCCTCTGAAAAAACATGAAAAAACATGAAAAAACATGAAAAAACATGGTGTTTTTGTTCCTTTTTGAGTTTCTCTTCAGCTTCACCCACCAATTTTTGCCTCAGAATCTCCCACCATTTTGTTCGCCAATGTCTGGGGCTGCCGGCCAGTCCGGCTGCACTGAAGATGGGCGAATCCACAGAGTCTCCGGCATGGCAACACTCCAAGAGCCTCAGGTGACGACCGCGAACGACCAATGGCATATTCAAACATGTATGAATTATATATCCCATATATGAAATGTGTTTTTTTTTACCTATAGATTTAAAATGACCAAGAATGGGGTTCTAACATGTTCTAACAAGAAATAGATTTTAAACAAACATGATCAATATACCTACAGCCTTCAAAACTCACTCTTTTTGGTTGCCAGAAAAGAGCAGTTTTTTTTCAAAATAACCAGGCTTTTTCAGCAAGGCATTTGGTCGGTTAAGCGAAAATGCAGGCAAACTACGGTAAATTACGGGTAGAAGTTTGCAACACCAGGTTTGTCTAAACCAGGTTTTTTCTTAAACTCTTCAACAAAAACGGTTTTTAGATTTTAACCCACAAAAAACTGGATAAGGGTGCTATAGGTGTATTTTTATATACATATTATATCGATATGGTAATTTTGCCAATCGAGTTGTTTTTCTTACAAGCAAGAATGATGGGTTCAACAATCAATTCAGGAATTATAAGCTTGTTTCTAAACCATCAAACATTGGGGTTTTATGAACCACAAACTTGAGTGGAAGATCTCATATCTCTATCTGCCAAGTGGTTTCAAAGCAACAGAAAACACTGATGAAGTTAGCAATGGGGATCCCGATCTTTTTGCAGAAGCTCTGCAACTGTGTGCCAGTGAGATTCTGCTTAGATCAAGCCCTGCAACATCCTTGGTTGGTCTATTTCAGGATCAGCATAGAACAAATGGCTAGTCCAGGAATTTCCCAGAAAATGGCTAGTCCCTTGGGTCCTAGGTTGTCAGTATCAAAGATCATTAACCCAAGCTGATGCCTTTGGGGGCACAGGCATCGATCCTCCTCCAACCAACTTCGGATCCTAAAGAGATCAAAGAGATCCCCAGCCAGTCATTCATAGTCTATCAGTCTACCAGCCAGTAATTTACAGTAAGGGATCAGAATTACTCCACATTTGCCAAATTGATTGGGTTGTTCAGAGTCGATTGAGTATTGTGGTCTGTTTGCGAGGTGCATAACCTCCCAGCCTGGCAAATACTGAGTACTGGGTCTGGTAATCAGCAGATCAATGGGAAACAGGAAATCATTGTTTTTATATACATGTTTTTACCATCAAATATACCAAATATACGTATAGTAAACTGCAACAAAAAACTCAAACCAATTTTCTGTGAACTAATCCTCAATCAGAACTTAATGGCTAATTGTGTCATTCCTATTGCAGTAACCCCGGATATGGAGTAAGAATCCCAGTCATTCATTTCAAAAGGCCCTGCGATGCCTTGTGCAACCCTCCAGACGCCATTCCACGCGACGGACGGATTTGTTCCTGGAAGCGGCTGATGACATCACCATTCCCTGACATCTTTAAAAACCAGCTTTAGTCCCAGTACCATATAGTACCATCAGGCACCATCCTTCTATCACTCTCTTCGAAGATAACAACATCTAAATAGATAGATCTTCATTGGCGGTTTCAAGCCCCCAAAAAAACAAGATCCTTTGTGGGATCATCATCCCATCTTGGTGGATGGGCCTCCAAGTTGGTTTCCTAACCGCTCCGCACGCTGATCCCTGGTCCCATCGTGCAGCACTGTCCTCATGCTCACGAGGTCCTTTTGCAGCCGCTCGTGCAGCACCAGTTCCTCGGGGTCTCCCACCAAAACTCCCAAGCTGAGGTGGATCAACGTTTCCCCCAAACCACAACATAGCTGGTGGTTGTCCAAGGTTCTCTTACTTCCAGCCTGCAACCAGAAAATGTCCTAGGACTTAAGACCTTCAACTGGAAAATATGTCTTTGGACCTTGGGACTTAAAACGTTTAACCAGAAAACCTGGAACACAAGTCTGACCACAGGTCCGAGTGTGTCATAGACTTCCTGGGTCCAAGCGGCCGCAGTGGCTGAACGGGTGAAGAAGAGTTCGTCACCGCGCTTCTTTGCGGGTACTTCCTCCTCCCCTGGTCGAACGGCACTTGTGCCATGGTCAAGTTCTACTTGGGATGGTCATGGGGACCTTGGCCATTCCAAAAATGTCCCTAGAATGCGTGTATATATATATATGTATATATATATATATAGCATAGACATTCATAGACTATAATGGATATCCCAGTGCAGATGATTAGGAAGTCCAAACAACGGGTATATCACTGTGAAAATGGAATAGATGAATAGATGACCATGCCCCTCTTGCAGGAAAATACACCGTGAAACTTGGCGATAGATATGGAGGTGTCCTAAAATATTGGTACCCCCAGTTCTCATCCATTTTTATAGGATGTTCCATGATGAACCATCCAGCTATTGGGGTACCCCGGTTTTTAAGGAACCCCTATATGTGGGTTTCAAATGGCCTGCGGCATCTAGATGCGGAATGTGGCATTTCCTCACTTGGGTCTCACTCTCATGAATCTAGGCAAATGATGATTCCCGCACTGGAAGCCAACCTTTTTTAGGATTCCCATTATATTACCATTATATATATACACCATATATCACTATATATATATATAGTGTTCCCATACATTTCCTTACCATCATTCACGCTGATCAACGTGAGGTCTCTTCGTGGGCCGATCCATCGCCTGTCGCTTCACCCTCAGGTACCAGCTCCGGAGCATCTTCCTGCGCGAGAGAAGTAAAGAGGTAGCGAGTTGTGGAGCTTTCAAGATATCTTCGTGAATCTACCTAGGATCAATCTATTTATCTATTCTATTCTGTTCTTTTCTAGTCTATTCTAGTCTATTCTAGTCTATTCTAGGCTATTCTAGTCAATTCTAGTCTATTCTAGTCTATTCTGGGCTATTCTAGTCAATTCTATTCTATTCTGTTCTTTTCTAGTCTATTCTAGTCTATTCTAGTCTATTCTAGGCTATTCTAGTCAATTCTAGTCTATTCTAGTCTATTCTAGTCTATTCTAGTCAATTCCATTCTATTCTAGTCAATTCTAGTCTATTCTAGTCTTTTCTAATCTATTCTAGTCTATTCTAGTCTATTCTAGTCTATTCTAGGCTATTCTAGTCAATTCTAGTCTATTCTGTTCTTTTCTACTCTATTCTAGTCTATTCTAGTCTAATCTAGGCTATTCTAGTCTATTCTAGTCTATTCTAGTCAATTCTAGTCTATTCTAGGCTATTCTAGTCAATTCTAGTCTATTCTAGTCTATTCTAGTCTATTCTAGTCTATTCTGTTCTTTTCTAGTCTATTCTATTCTATTCCGTTCTATTCTAGTCTATTCTAGTCTATTCTAATCTATTCTATTCTATTCCGTTCTATTCTAGTCTATTCTAGTCTAGTCTATTCTATTCTAGTCAATTCTAGTCTATTCTGTTCTTTTCTAGTCTATTCTAGTCTATTCTAGTTTAGTCTATTCTAGTCAATTCTAGTCTATTCTAGTCTATTCTGCTCTTTTCTAGTCTATTCTATTCTATTCTATTCCGTTCTATTCTAGTCAATTCTAGTCAATTCTAGTCTATTCTAATCAATTCTAGTCTGTTCTGTTCTTTTCTAGTCTATTCTAGTTTATTCTAGTTTAGTCTATTCTTGTCAAATCTAGTCTATTCTGGTCTATTCTAGTCAATTCTAGTCTATTCTAGTCTATTCTAGTCTATTCTGTTCTTTTCTAGTCTATTCTATTCTATTCCGTTCTATTCTAGTCTATTCTAGTCTATTCTATTCTATTCCGTTCTATTCTAGTCTATTCTAGTCAAGTCTATTCTATTCTAGTCTATTCTAGTCTATTCTATTCTATTCTATTCCGTTCTATTCTAGTCTATTCTAGTCTAGTCTATTCTAGTCTATTCTAGTCTATTCTGTTCTTTTCTAGTCTATTCTAGTTTAGTCTAGTTTAGTCTATTCTAGTCAATTCTAGTCTATTCTAGTCTATTCTAGTCAATTCTAGTCTATTCTAGTCTATTCTAGTCTATTCTAGTCTATTCTATTCTAGTCTAGTTTAGTCTATTCTACTCTATTCTAGTCTATTCTAGTTTAGTCTATTCTAGTCAATTCTAGTCTATTCTAGTCTAGTCTATTCTAGTCTATTCTAGTCTATTCTGTTCTTTTCTAGTCTATTCTATTCTATTCCGTTCTAATCTAGTCTATTCTAGTCTATTCTAGTCTATTCTGTTCTATTCTAGTCTATTCTAGTCTATTCTATTCTATTCTAGTCTAGTTTGGTCTATTCTACTCTATTCTAGTCTATTCTAGTTTAGTCTATTCTAGTCAATTCTAGTCAATTCTAGTCGATTCTAGTCTATTCTAGTCTAGTCTAGTCAATTCTAGTCTATTCTATTCTAGTTATCTGTCTATCTATCTGTCTTTCTGTCTATCTGTCAACCTGGCTGTCCGGATGTGTACAGTACTGTATATAGTGTGTACAGTGTATGCATATTGACATATCTACATCTATGTATGTATACAGGTAATTATATTCAGATGCGCAACCATGTATCATGTATAGTAATATGATATGTTGCATGGATATTCTGTGTTTCTGCACATTTATCTACAAACTGGACCCCTTAGCAATCAGTTATCAGTTGGTTTATAAACCAATTCAACTTTAGATATATCTACGATACATCCTAGTTATTGTAGTCATACCATCTTACTTCGGGCCCCCACATCACATGTATGTTTAATATCCATATATATATATATTATATATACAAATAGATACATACATACATACATACATACATACATTACATTACATTACAGTACAGTACAGTACATTACATTACATTACATACATACATACATTAATACATTACATCCATCCATCCATCCATCCATCCATACATACATACATACAGACATATATATACATACATATACATATATAATATATATATACATATAATTTATAATATCATATACTTATATCATATAATTATATCGTATACTTATATCATATAATTATATCATATACTTATATATTTACATATTATATATTTACATATTATATGAAACTTGTTATGGGTGAACATGGAAGACCAAGGGACACCATTTGTTCAATCATCCCATGTTGGGATCCACAACTTCAGCACTTGAAAAGAATTTTTAAAAAACAATTGATATTCTATCAAATGATACTAGATTATTCTAGTTTGATAAATGAAATCAAGTGATATGCTTCTTCATTTCTGAAGATTGAAGCATACTATGTTAGTCTTCCAAAGACGCACCTTTGATGTAGCAAAGGCGCAGTCTGTAGGGCTTCGGAGAAAAATGGGGATGCAACCGACCCCAATTTACCGTTGTTGAATACGACGGAAAATTGATAACTGACAAGTTGAATATGCGTTCTTTTAACTGCGTGTTCATTGTAGGAGAATCAATGATGTTGCCAACAGACTTTGTTTCGTCAATGCATCCAGGCCGGGATAGTCTCAGTGTTGCAAATGCTTATTGCACTCCTTGCGCTCCCTCCTTGAACCGGAGATGTTCTTTTCATAGGGATTTTGCGGAGATTAGATCTAGATAGTATGATATAGTAAACCCATGTAAACCCTAGAAATAGACCACTATAACCAAGCCGGATGTTGCTAAAACCTATCTTTTTGATCCCCAACCATACCCCGCATTTGCCAAACGCTTTATGGAGAAAATAGCTGCCTTTTTGGATGCGTTTGGCCAAACATATTCTATAAGATGTATAGCCATGTATAGCCGTTTGGTTTTACATCTTTTTGGCTCACATTTTTTGGGGGTTTCTTTTTAAGTGGAGGTACTGGAGCGCAGATCCCATCGGTCCCATCGCCTGCGGAGCCTCCAAAACTGGTTGTGTCTTGAACTCCTGGGCCGCGAAAAAAACTGTCAAAAATGATCGCCACCAAAGCTGGTGATTCATGGTGATTGATGGCCCATCACTACCTTAAAGCCATTATTCACCACTTAAAGCCATTTATTCACCATAAAGCTGGTGATTGATGGTAGTGATTTTCATGTAGTGAATCATGCTGGTGATTTATGGTGAATAATGATGGTGAATGATGATTAATGGCAATTAATGATGATTACCCTCTGGTAGTCAAACATAGCACTTGGAAACAGCCTATAAATTGCGGTTTGATCGCCGGGAAAATCATCATTCGGAATGGGTGATTTTCCATTGCCAACTGACTCAGGGTTGCTCCCAGCACACCAATATCCTCACATAGGGCGGACAAATTGTCCGAACGGAGAGATTAAAACAGCAACATCAATTTACCACCCTTCCAGTAATCACCTAAAGTAGCTTGGAGAAACCCTGTACCAATCATATTGTACTGCACATTAGTCAATCAATCTAATTTAATCTAATTCAATCATGAATTGAATCTTCAGTTTATCAATTACAGCAGTTGGTGGGTAAACACCTCTGAAGTCATTCCATGAAACACCAATTCGACCGAAATTCACCAGTTAATCTACATCATCGAATATTGACTGACGGTTTGAATAACCCAAAACCATTTCCAAAAAAAAATGGAATAACCAATCGGAAATTAAATATTCGAAGATATCCAGTTAAGTTTCATCCTAGTGACCAACTGTTCCATTGGTATCCATTATGTATATATATATATAATCTCCTATCACTATCCCACTATTATCCATATATTGAACTACGTAAAACCAATAGGATCCAATAGGTTGACAATAAATTTAGCATCCCATGATTATCACCATTCATATAAAATCAGAATTCGTTTTCAGCTACCTATTGGTTTTATTACATCCAATTGTATGTAATGTTGTCTGACCAATAGTGATATCTTGTCAATAGTAGAAACATTTTTCCGCAACTCCAATTTTTCTCCAATACTAAAAGTCAATTAGCTCTATTTACTTTTAGTATTGCCAAAAGAGTCATGTTCAGACCTTGTCCAGAGGGCATGGCCAATAGTGGACCCAACATGGCAATAGTGGAAACTTTTTTCCCAACTCCATTTTTTTCTCCAATACTAAAAGTCAATTAGCTCCATTTACTTTTAGTATTGCCAAAAGAGTCAAGTAAAGCAAATCCTTTTCAAAGCAGCCTTCACTTTTGATTAGCAAAAGCTTAGATTCCAGAAATCTGATCCAATTACCAAACAGCTGATTTCCTTATAAAACCCTTATTAAAAAAGCAAGAAAACAGGTCCACAAAGGGAACCCCCTTTGCAAGCCCCAGAATAGCAATAACAAACCTGCACCAGGCATGGCAATAGTGGAAACTTTTTTCCGCAACTCCAATTTTGTTGTCCTCCTTCTCCTTCTTCTTCTCCTTCTTCTCCTCCTCCTCCTCGTCCTCCTCCTTCGCCTCCACCACCTCTGCCCCCACTTCCATGTCCACTTCCGCCTTGCCAACTCTTCGCCAATCTCTCAGAAACCCAACCAAATCTATTCAGAATCTATCAGAAACCCAACAAAACCATGGAGAAACTATCAGATACACATCATGATCCCAGCTATAGATTACCAAAAATTATTATAGGAAGGTTGACCCCCCCCTAAAAAAAAAAATAGGGGGGGTAATTACTATTCGGCAGCCAACATTAAGCCATCTAATACCATCTTAAACATTCTTAAACATTCTTAAACTACCATTAAACCATATTAAACCTCTATTTTTCATGGATTTCCTACCATTAAACCTCTATTTTTCATGGATTTCCTTAGAAAAAAACTATCCAATTTTCCTGCTCCGGATTGCCAAGTCACCAGCAGCTCAAAGGTGACCGGGATCATGTCTTCCCGTCGGTGCCACACCTGTAGATTTTTGTGTTTGTCTTTCACCATCCAAAATGGGGATTTGACCAACAGAAATGGTGGATCTAAGCCATCTAAGCATCAAAAATGGGGAGTTGACAAAGAAAAATATGGTGATCTAAAATTCAAGAACGGGGAGTCAACCAAAACAAAATCGGGATGCAACTGTAAACAAAACCAGGCAACAAAGATATCCATTCTTACGGTCTTCTCTCATGTAGGTCGACATCCAGAGGAAACATCATTGGCTGGTTTCCCAGGTTTCAAATCAACTGGAGATTTGATTTCAGTGGAGCTTTCCGTTCCTAAAGTGGCTATCCTGTACCTCTGGTGGATTGGAGCCAGCTTGTCTGCCGCGGCAGGCCCTAACCTGGTCCAGCACGCAAAAGTTCAGCACTTCGAAGGGGCATCGCGACTCGCCTGAGTGGTGGTACCTACTATTACCACTGCTGGGGATGAACATTCACTGGTTGGTGGTTTCAACCCCTCTGAAAAATATTAGTCAGTTGGGATTACTATTCCCAATATATGGAAAAATAAAAAATGTTCCGAACATTCATTTATATTCATTTGCACCCATTTGCTCTTTGGATGTTCACCGGGGTCCAGGTTTTCGATTCACAACTATACGGACTATACGATTTGATCAACTCTCATCAGCGATTGGGTGCAACCGTTCCTCGCAGGTCTCGCAGTGTATGTGCATAGCAAGATCCCAAATTGACATTATATAATACATATTATATATATAATATAGAAATATATAAATATGGAGGTTTCCTAAAATGGAGGTACCCCCAATTCATCCATTCATCCAAGTCATTAGACTCTTAGACCGGCTTAGTATTGACACCCATGGGTTTTTGGGGGTTTGGGGATCCCCATTTTCCGGCGATTCTGGCAGTATGTTCCTGGAAGACCTATAGCTGTACACTGTGAAACTTTAGTGGGTCAGGAGGAATAAATTTCTGGAGCATGCCAAATGTTGGGGATGGAATCAACAACCATGGTGAAGCTACGACAATGGCAGGCTTGAGCTGCAAACGTGGTGACACCCCCTCTATGAAACTAACATACACTACATATTGGAATCCCAGCATGCGTCATACTATGTCCATCTCTTCGTCTATCTCAATTCACGGCAATATGCAGAACTGATGCACCCAACCACCACAGGAAGCACTCCCTATTGAATTGCCGACCCCTGCTTATTTCAGGTGACCAACTATGGCCGTTACCAGCATTGAATGATACACCTGTAACGGGCCAAAACAAACAAATGCAGTCTTTATCAGTTGGTTGACCCGGCAATTTTCTGAAACTCGGATGTTTGTTGGGTTCCCTATGGTTCCCGGTTTTGACCTCCAGTTTTGCAACTCAAACCGCCCCCGCCTTCGATTTCGCTGGGCTCCAAGAAGCTGTAGTCGAAGCGCCGGCTCACCGCGTTGTCGCCATCTCCCACAGTGAGCCTCGATAATCAGTGAACGAGCATGAGATTTAGCTAGTGATATTTCATGGATGTCATGGATTTTATGGATGAATAGATTTATATCATGGATATTATATTATATGATATTATAATATGTATATTCAAATTAAGATCAATCTTAAGCAGCATTAACTTAGAAAGAAAAGGGATTTCATGGACTTATGGCTGAATCATCACACTTCACCCGAAACTTACCAGAGGGATTCTATAGTACTCTAGAGGCATCATGAATTTGGGGTCGTTTCCCGGATAACGAAAAACCACATCCTTTGTGAGGTGATTATCCAATAGAAAAACCATTGATTTATCCATTGATTTATCATCCAAGTTACTATAAATTCCATGTTTTGCACAACGATCCTTTTTGTGTAACAGAGTGCAACATGCAAAAAACGGGGGTAGTCAATGACTTTGGCTTTACCACACTAATTTTCACCCACACCCTCCGAAAAATAGCTGATAAACATTGATAAACGGTTGTTCATCTCCAGAAAATAACTGGTAGTTCATAGGTTTTCATCTCCCCAGATATTTTTGATGTCTATCGTAGCTAGGGGTATCAAAACCGATGAACAACCATATTTTGAGATCCCCAGCTGCTGGTGAATAGTCGAAAAATAGTCTATCATGTTTCACTCACATCCCAAAATCTAGTTAATTCCATTTATGTGTTTTTATGTGTATATAATATATCTATATATATGTATATGAGTAGCGGACAAAATTATGTGTTAAATTCAATGCCATGCACAAATTAAGGTCGCCCCCTATCCGTTGTGAGGAGTACAGTAGTCCCGGAGGTATCACAAATGGGGTATCGTTATATATATATAGGGTCGTCCCTTATCGGTTATGAAGGTTTTGTGCAACCTCAGAAAGGCCAAGGCGAAGCAATGGCTGAATTATCATAATTCAGGAACCTGAAAATAGTTGAAAGAAGGCCATTGGGGGATGATTCCCCGCAATCTAAATATCATTCCAGTGACGTCACAGTGAGGTCATTGTAATTCATTCAAATTTATGAATATAATCCTTTAATGTCACCATTTTTGTTGCATAACTGCCCTTATATTAAACATATTCACTGCATCTACGTTGGCCCACCACCGATCCCGCATATCCCTTGACACGCTCAAATCCCTGCTTTTTGGCTAGCTTTTCAAAAACAATAACCCTCAAACCCTGAGTCCCGAAATCCTAAAACATCCTAAAACCATCCAAAGACCCTAAACTCTAAAACCCTAAATCCATCTAAATCTTGAAACCATCTGAAACCTAAAGTCACAATCACCCAATGCCGCCTGAAGGTCATCTCGATCCCCGGCTGAACCCAAAGGCGCACCGAACAGCTGCCTCGCCAGCGTCACGCAATGGGGAAGCTCACCAGCGAAACGTGGGAATTCAAGTACTCGAAACTTGGAAGTTCAGAACTCAGAATGATTTAACCAGCCAAAATTGGGATTTCACCCTCAACTGGCGTTTAAGCATCTAAAATATTCTAAAATTACATATCTTGTGGGATTTACCGTGTATAATTGTCTAAAGAATCTGGATTTAACCCTCTCAAATTGGGTGTTTAAGCATCCAAAATGGAGGCAAGAAGTTGGGGACGTATGTAACCGTCAGGGATTTGGATTGAACATGGTGCATAAGTTAACCATTGCTTTCAATCATCATTGAACCAACCATCAGAATAGCCAACCAGGATGCAATGTTTAAAACACCAACCACTCAATACCAAAAAGACATGGGGCCCCTATAAGTGATTTGAAGACAATCAGAGATTTGGCTTCAAAGGCATCAACAAAAAATGGGGGATTTTTCAGCAGGATGGAGACAAACATCCACGCAGCCACGAGTGGATTTGCAATACACACATACCCTCTGGTAATTTAACGTAGCTATTGGAAATAGCCATTTATAGTTGATTTACCCATTAAAAATGGTGATTTTCCATAGCTATGTTAGTTTACCAGAGGGTACACACAAAGATGCAAATGAGTCAACAAGAAGATGCGGAGGGCAAAAAAAACAACATCAAGAATCAAGACTCAAAAACTTTCCCTAATCAATCTATAAAAAGGTAATTTTGCTGCAGAAAATCTAGGATTTCAATGGCTGCCAGTCCAGCCTCTTAGTCGCAGGTTCTTGAGACCTCTAACAAAAAGTCCCAACATGTCCGAAATGTGCCATGTGTTTTCTTGTAGTTCAACTATTGTGTACCATCATTGTACTATTTTGTCATAATATTTCATGGTATCGTATGGACTTATTGCATGTAAAGAAATTGTATACCATGCAACTTCTTGTTTTCCATAAATATGTATTTATATTTAATGATTTATATTTATTTATATATTTCATGTGGTTAAAACAATGCCATAAACCATCCCCCAGTCACTACCATACATGGGTGGTAATTCACCATCAAAAATGCGGGTGTTTATGACATCCTGGCACCGGTATCCCCACCTGGCACCGGTAAGGGCGCCGAGGGCGCTTCCTCCGTGGCCAAGCCCCGAGCTGCGAGACAGAGCTCCAACCTGGGAATGGAAGGGGACTTAGCACAACTAGCACTTTGAACATAGCTATGGAAAATCACCATTTTTAATGGGAAAATCCACTATAAATCACCATGTTCAATAGCTATGTTAAATTACCAGAGGGTAACATATTTAACTTAGCTATAGATATTGAACATAGTTTTTTTTCAAGTAGGGGAATAACTATTGCTATAATATGCTATTTGTTCATCTAGGAAAATGGGGAACATGTTATTTATATAGCTATGTTCAATCGCTGTGAAATTTCTATAGGGTAAATCCGCCCCCGGAACCGGTGAATCATGGGAAAATTTGAAAATCGATGGGAGAATTCTTGGAGAATTGTGGACCATGGAAGTTGAGAGAATTGTGGATCAATTGTGGGAGAAATATGCCAGAATTATACAAGAACAATACTGAGACTTGGAAAGTGATGTAAAAAATGTGGATAAATTACAGGATACTGGAAAATTATGGGATATGATTTGCCAAGCCCGTGTTTGGCTTAAGACTGGTGGGGGGGGGGGTCCGGAGGGGGAAACGGAGGGAAGGGGTGGTGCACGGCAAGGTGCTAAAATTTCAAAAATAGGTGCTCAAATTTAAGGAAATAGGTGTTTTTTTGAAGAAACCGGGTCGGGATCCAGTCGGGACCCAGTCGGGACCCAGTCGGGACCCAATCGGGCACCAATTTTTGCATTTTTGGGCACCGCTTTTTCGGGATCCAGTCGGGATCCAGTCGGGCACCAATTTTCGAATTTTTGGCACCACGTTTGGACCTGTCGGGAAGCAGCCAAAATCACCGAAAAACATGCAAAAACACTGCAAAAATGCTATTTTTTATGAATTTGGCTGCCTCCCGACATTGGATCCCGACTGGATCCCGACTGGATCCCGACTGGATCCCGACTGGATCCCGACTGGCCAAAAGCGGTGCCCAAAAATGCAAAAATTGGTGCCCGACTGGGTCCCGACGGGATCCTGACTGGATCCATAGATTGGCAAGAACCCACTCCCGCACCTATTTTTCCCTTCCCAGACCCACCCTTGCCCCTATTTTCCTTTTCCGCGCACCAGCCGTGCACCAATACCCCCCCCCTCCTGCACCAAAACGGTAAAAGCAGTCTTAAGCCAAACGGGGGTTCTACAAGATATGATGGATATGTATAATGAAAACCCATCGCCGATTGGGATTCATTGTTGAGTACACCTTTTGACTATGGAAGTGCGGGTTGAATTAGAACTGTTGGTTGGTGAATTTCCATGGCAATCATTTTGGTTCATAAACATTATAATCATCAGATGACAATTCCTATTTGATACTACATATACATCGTGCCAAATGACAATAACAAGGAATGTAACCATCACATATGGCATGTACTTCTTGGTGCGGGCGTTCAAAGACATACAGCATGTATGCATATTGTGAGATATATAATTACTCGCTACTCACTTATGTTGTTTCACGTGCGCATATAACCTATTCAATGTTTCACTGTATAGAGTATAGAGTATAGATCTTGACATAATCCAATGGCTCACTACTGTAGTTGGTGTCTTGGAAACCCAAAGTTTTGAATGTTACCAGAAATCTCATGGCCGGAAACCTGAAAATGACTACAATATGTCTGACAGTAAAATATCATCCTACAACCACAACCAGAACCATCAACCATCAACATCACGGCCAGCGCCAGCACCAGCATCAACATCCACAACCGCAACCGCAACCACCATCATTCTCATCCTCATCCTCATCCTCATCCACATCCTCATCCTCCTCATCATCATCATCATCATCATCATCATCGTCATCGTCATCGTCATCATCGTCATCATCATCATCATCATCATCATCATCCTCATCCTCCTCCTCCTCCTCATCATCATCATCACCATCATCATCATCCACCAACCTAGAGTCCAGCAAGTTTTGGTGGGAGGTTTCACCTTACATCGCCAGGCCCCGACCCCCCAACTGAGCTTTCCCACTGCATGGCGGGCAGGGAACACAAGGAGAACTCAGGAGATCGAACGCCGGGGTAGTCCACCTTCGCCTCCGCAGTGTGGCCGCATGTGAGATGTCAATGTCCCATATCACTGCTGCTTAAAGTGCATTGTAAATATCTCCATTGTATCATTTTGGAAAACTGATACTGATTGATCTTAATAATTGATACTCATTAAAACATATTATTAAATGATGTTATACAATATAACATGATTTAATACTCATTGAATATGTAGTTAAAACATATGGAGACAAAAATCCGAACATCTTAGTCAGCCCATCTATAGGTAATCCGCTGACAATCTTCACCTAAATCCGCTTGCCACCGCTCGCTCACCTCACGCTCCTGCTGCAGAATCTGCGCCAAACGATACTGGAAGCCGCGACAGTTCCATTGGACGCTTCGGCAGTAGACCTGGAGAAGCCGTGCATACTGCGGGCTTCAGTCCGAAGCTCTCGGCTGAGGCCCGAGCATTTTCCGCCAAGGACGTGTTGATCTCAATGCCTGGAGAAGCAAACAGGGCAGCTCAGGGCTCAAAGCGCATTTTTCTTCAGCTCCCTAAATGGTTTGATAAAATGGGTGTGGTATGGGCCAAAATCATGCAATGTGATGTAGAATGTAATTGGATTTAATGTAATGAAATTTGATTTGATGTTTTAAGTATGTGCATACTGTATATACATGTATGACATGCCCAAGTTCGCCGGTGAAATGTATATCCATCCCTGTCTGTCTTCCTCGCACAGACACCTTCCAAGTTCTGGATCAGATGGCCAATCATAGCCTCCAATGTTCAAATATACCCATTTATCGCCAAACATAAAACTATTAAACTACCCAAGCAAAAGGTCGGTTTGCCAAGAAAACAAACCGTGTAACTGTTGCTGATATTCTGATATGCCATGCGCAAATCTCCTATCGGTGGTGAGGATTTCTGCATTCTCAGACTTTGAGGCGACTCATGCCAAACAGGGGTATCGGTATAGGGTCGTCCCCTATCAGTAATGAAGGTTTTGCACACCCCTCAGCAAGGCTAAGGCGAAGCAAAACTGAATTGATATTATAATAATTTTGTCGGCTATTCTTCCCCTAAAAATGGGCTACCCCCTGGTAATCAAACATGGCAATGGGAAATCGCGTATACTTTAAATGGAGGGCTTAATTTTCCATTGCCAAGTTTGATTACCGGATGGTATTCTCAGGGTCTATGTTTGAGAGGATTCCAGGATGGAATATCCCAACCCATGTGTACTGTGTACCGTTAAGTTAGAACTTGAACTCCTTGGTCCCCCACGCTGCAAGTTCTCATGGATAGCCTCCCGCAACTCCTGACAAATGCAGCGGAAAACTGCTCACGGTTTTGAATCCACCTGTGGGTTTAAACGACACAAATATTGGGATTTAGAAACGGGAACTTAAGATGAGGATTGACTATATAACAAAAAAAAAGTTGTTTACTGTATTGGTCTGCCCACGCGAGGCTATAAAACCAGCCATTTGCATGGGATATGATGAGATTCATTCACCAACAATTTGATATTCGATTTGTCAAATATAGGGAAATAGCCTAAAAAATCCGTTTAATGGGAACCATACCGGTGCTTTTTTGTGGACTCCATTCTTGGACAAACCTAAATGGTTGCAAGGGGTCCCAAGACAAAGCCAAATACCAAGTATAGAATGTGTATATTTGGATGGTATAAATTTGGAATCCTGTGATGTGCCTGAACTGCTTGGAGTCATCTTCTTGATGCTTCTGCTCATAACCATGATTGCACTACATGACCAATTGCCAGTACAATATCAGTCAAATATCAGGGTAGAAGCAACCCTTCTACAGCCATGAAACTGCAGCACTTCATTCTGGTTGAATCTCTAAGTCTCTAAGCTCTGTGTGAATTGCTGACAAAAGCCTACTGTTGGTCCAATCATTCAAAAAACACCATGGTTGACACCTGGTGGGACTAGCCTTTTTCCGACATGTTTCTTGGTCCAGATAACATGTCATTATGTAATAATTAGAATGGTTGTTACAGTTATTTTCGTATATAATATATGTTAGATCAAAATATAAACATTATATATTTACTGTTACAGTTATTCGGGATTTGGTCCAAGTCACCCTAATGGTTCCTAGAGATCCTGCCAGACCGCACTTTCGACCTGGACGCGTTCATGGGTCGCCTGTTCTTCTTTCACCAGCCTAGAAACGAGGCCGGCGGCCATTGGGTCTTTTGATGGATTTCCAAGGATTACCCAGCAGATCGGATGAAAATTGTAACCTACGTAACTTATGTCACTTGTAAATGGATGTAAATGGTTAAAACTTGGCATTTCCATGTTGATTTACACTTGATTGAGGTTTTTTAAGGTTGCGGATTTGCCTGCAGTTCGTTCGACTATTGTAAGGTTGACCGCCAACTTGAGGATGTGGATATGCCATGAGTTGAATCATTGTACCTCTTCAAACAAATACTGGTTGGTGGTTTCAACCCCTTTGAAAAATATGAGTTCGTCAGTTGGGATTATGAACTTCCCAATATATGGAAAAATAAGAGCCATGTTCCAAACCACCAACCAGATGGGCTATTATATATTATATGTAAATTATATATAATCAATACCAAGAATGACCAGCCCATCTGCGGGTCCCCTCTGCTGACAAAAAACTTCATCGCTTTCCCATCCCAAGACGTGGGATTCTTTTGGTGCCGTTATCCGCGAAGACATCAAAATGTGGTTGTTGAAATCATCTACCCTCTAATATTTTAACATAGTTCAACATAGCTATGGAAAATGGCCCATTTCGAGATGATACAAACCATGTTTTACCTATTAAACATGGTTATTTTCAATAGCAAACTCTTGGTCACTGTTTGTCATTACCAAATGGCAACTCTTCAGCCTCTCCAGGCAGTCCGCAATGCTGTTCTCAAAGCCCGTGCGCCTAAAAAGAACTCGGGCACCAAAACTTCGAAGCAAAAGATCATGAGATATCATGAGATAGAACATGATAGAACTGTTTTATAGATTCTGTTGCGCTCTAACTTTTATCCATAGTCATCTATTATAGGTTCCATGATCAATGGATGAGAAGGGGCAGGAATGGTCGAATGATCGCCGTTTAGGAGGAAAAGCATCAAACTCATTCAATACCTGGCTGCTACAGCCTTGGGGTGTTCAAAAATATTCCTATGTCTTCAAACATAGTCATATTTTTTGAAACATAAGCTCCAAACAAAAATACTATTTAATATCCATATTCTTCAAACATCGTAATTTTGCTGATGTGATTACCCCAAGTATTTTTTTTACAACAGTTTCAGATCCCAATGTCCAGCCACGCTGCTTCGCACCAAGCTACACCACTTGGATGTGCTCCTCAACAGTCTGCACTGACCTGGGCAGAGGAGTGGTTGTAACAGTGCAACTGTGGGTTATGGCAATAACATGCTTAACATGTGTTTGTCTATGTGAAAATGATATATATATATATTACATATATATATATATTGTATATATAATAATAATAATGATAATAATAATAATATTGATAATATTGATAATATTGATAATATCTCATAATATATCATAATATATCATAATATATCATAATATATCATAATATCTCACAATATATATATACACATATACATATCATATATATACTGCATATTATATATATATATATATATATTAGAATATATATGACAATAATTATAGTATATGTATACAACATATATATATATATGTATATACATAATGCACAATATGTGCGCAACTAGTGGTTCTGTGGAAACTTCAATCATTCAGACCCGCACCTCTCGAGATCTGCCTTCGACTGCACCAACTTGGAAGACACATCTTCCAAGCCCCCCTGATCGCACCACCATGGTGACCATGGGATATCGCACTGGGGAAACAACTGGGGGGTTCAAAGGTTCGCCCAATTTCACTACCAGCAGATGGTTTGATCGTTTTGATCCAAGTGAAATCACCAATTTTGAACGATGAATTCATATTGGTCCATCCTTTTAAAATAGATGCTCCGCGTCAAAATAATCAACGATAATATGATCTATCATATAACTCAGCCATAAGTAATCATAATCTATGAACCATCAATAACACAGCCACATATCATGTTTTTGATTCTTTAGATTTCTTTAGCAAATCAGCCATCATCGGACAGCTGGTTCCCACCTGGAGCTGGTCGCACTGAGTGTTCAGAGGGCCACTGGTCGATTCCTTCGCCACCTGCGGTGGGCTCAGGAATACCATGGAGAGAGACCGTCTTTCCCATTGAGGCCCCACATAGACCCGTTGGTCCACTGGTTGTAGAAAATCAGGTTCCCCGTTCCCAGCCTTGGCATTATAAATCATTAAATAAAATGACTATTAATTGATTGGGGATATCCCCAAAGATCTTCAGATTCTAAAATGGAGTGGTTTTTCCCCATCATCCCCCTGGGTGTCCTGTGATTTCCACCTGGGTATGGATCGTGTAAATAATGTCAACCCCATGATATCTCTCTTTGGCGCGTAGCACCAAAACTGGTTTTCTACAGCAACGAAGCCATCCGATGGAGTGCCTGGATCTCCTGATGGATTTCAGTCCGATGGGTCTCGATGACGTTGTGGCAGCTCTTCAATTCCTGCGCCCATCGAAGCCGCGGCCCATCGAATCCCCGAATAATGCCCCGAGTTTTGCTTCACAATCCCCTGCTGTTTGTTGTTTCCATGTGAAAATCCCCAAGAAATCATGGTATTAGTAAATTACCGCAGATGGCATTACCTCCATGCTATTATATGTATGTGTATATATATATACATATAATATATATATATATATATTACATATAATATATATATAATACATAATATATATTATATATATAATGCATATATATAATATGTATATATATAATATTTATAATATAATACAATATAATATAATATAATATGATACAATACAATACAATACAATACAATATAATATAATATAATACAATATATATTAAATAAATCAATATCTATAAATATCTGTATATATATATATATATCATATATGGTATTACCATGTATTACCACCATGACCACAAATCCTCCACGAAGTGCTGCGAGGTCGTCTCCGTGACCTTCTGCAGCTGCATCAGCTGCTCGCTGTGTGTCAGGTGCTTCTCCTCCACCTGGGTACAGCGGCTGATCCCCACCCGTGCTTCAGGGGGGAGATGGGGATATGTATGTATGCATGCATGCATGCATGCATGTATGTATGTATGTATGTGGTCATATTTACATGAGAGTATATATGTGATCACATCTATATATATATATATGTGTATATATATACACATGCATCATGGGGATATATCCACCGATATGATATGATATGATCATATACAGTAAGTTGATAGGGCCAGATGTGTGTCCAGAAATGGGGGCATTACCCCCTGCCTCATGGCCCTGATTAAAAAACAACCGATGATGTTTGCCAACTCATGATGTGTTTCTTCGTGACTTAATTTACCCACAACTGGTTCACTAAAATGTTCTCCACCCCAACTGGTATTTGAAAAACAATGGTATGGCGGTATGACTGCTTGCTCATCCGTGGTTTAAAGAGAAGTGTTTTTCACATTTTTTTCACCATGGTTTTGGCTGGTTTGAGCGATTTGCGGGACTAAAACCAAGTTTTACCCCAAATTACCCCGGGGAACCCTGAGGTAAACTAACATAGATGTGGAAAACTCATGGTTTCCATAGGGAAATGATCTACAAATGGTGGGTTTTCCACAACTATGTTAGCCAAGAGGGATCAAGAGGGTACCATTGTTTCATCAACCCTTTAGGTGCCTTCTTCACAAGCTCTTCGCGGTGCACCGACATCTGCTCCAAGAGCTCTTGCCGTAGGGTCTGGACATGGCGCAGCATTCACCGTGACTTTTAGCCATGAAGCATGCATTCAAACGTAGATGTATAATGATGATGAATGATGTATATACAGTATTCAAGAATCAGGAAATCATTGTTGCTAAATTTGGTGATTTCAGATCCATAGGCATTGCCAGGGGGTTTTCAGTCGATAGTCGATATTTGGCGGCAGAGATCTCATATGATGTGCATCCAAAGTGTAGCTTGATAGCGAATCCAGCACATTCTTAGTCATTTTGTGGCAATGCATCTTCTGTTCTTGGCAATAAACTTCTGTCTCACTGGATACTGTAAAGTTCTGTAAAGTGGTTGTGGTCCAGCATTTACGGGAATACACTTGTCCTTGGCCCTACCACCAGTGGGAAACGAGGACGGTGCAATGTGGGTATGGTGGAAAAAGGATGCTGAAAAACATCCAAAAACATGAAAAAAAAGCTGGCCATGGTGAGTTTTGTAGTTCCACTAGTCTCTCTCCATTTTTTCTTCGTCCTCGGCCCTTTCCGCTTTTGGCAAACAAAAAGACTGAGCTCATATGAGCTCATCCATGGATCTGGGCAAATTCCATATCAAATCTTAAAGAAACCGAAACCATCTTTGGAATCATGATCCTCCTATAAATAATATATAAATATAGTTAGTCATATTGATACTGGTATATATTAGGGACTAAGGGCATTTCATCTGCCAAGAAGAATTGCCGGTGGTATCGCCAATGCTCCCATTGCCTGCTTGCTGCAGTGAGGCTCCGTAAATCAGTAATAAGTGCCGATTTGCCAGCAACAATCCCTGCTTGGTGGTTTTAACCATCTTGAAAAATATTAGTCAATGAGTCAATGGGAAGGATTATCCCTATATATTATTTAATATATTATGGAAAAAAAAATGTTTGAAACCACCAGCCAGATCCCAGTTTTCATAGAACCAATACCTTCCACCAAAATGTCCACATCGCTGGCCTCAACCACGCCACTCTCACGCAGTTCCTGGATATCATTGCCGTGCTGGTCCACACGCACGGTAATCTCCTGGCCGCAAGCTCGCTCTGCCAGAGATCGAAAGATTTTTGCCACCGGAAAAAATGCCATCAAAAATTGTGGCTTACTGTAAGCATCTTCAACCAACTAAAATTGTGATTTAACTGATTTAACCAAAAAATGTGTGGATTTAGTGATTTAGCCATGACAAATTGGGATTTACTCATTACTTAAGCCTTAAGCGGCAAATCAGCAAACAATGGGGAGTAAAGCAATACAAAAACGGACAATTGAATCTTTTTGGCAGATTTTTGCCACCTAAAACGAATAACAAACGGGAAGTTAGGCAATAAAGATTGGCATAGCTCAGCAACAAGAAGCAACAAAAAATGTCAACAAGAATCAACATCTATTGAACAAATTGACATGCCTTTTTTTATAATGAAAAAATTGCCAAAAACCATCCGATTCACCAAGCAGTTGTGGGTCAATTTAGATCCCAAATTGGGGATAGCCATGGATAGCCTCCAGCTTCGCAGGATGGAACGCACCTTGCGCAGGTCATGGATTTGCTGCGCATGCCGCTCCACCGTGTCGGAGAAGACCTGTAAAGCGATTGCAGCGATCGCCGGTGCCAGTGACCAGCCGGTGCCGTATTGGACCCCCAAAATTTTCTGGTAAAATAGTTGATAACCTTTATAACTACAACAACTAAGATTTATGGTGCATATCTCAAGTTGAATAAGTTTGTTTCAAGCGACCGATCATTGGGGGAGCCACCAATTTGGAAATGTTACACTCCCAACATCCAAATGCTTTGAAACCATTGGTTCCCTCCATGCCAATGTTGGGCTATCCCCCATCAGCGAACCAACGAGTACCGGGACCTTCTCTGAATGCGTTCTCTTTTCCTGCACCTCATCCATCCGTTCCTGGCGGTGTCTGAACATGAACCGCTAGGGAAAATGATGATAAGACATAGGGAAAATTATGATGAATAGGGAAAATGTATGAAAATGTATGAAAATGTATGAAAATGTATGAAAATGTATGAAAATGTATGAAAATGTATGAAAATGTATGAAAATGTATGAAAATGTATGAAAATGTATGAAAATGTATGAAAATGTATGAAAATGTATGAGATTCAATGTTCAAATCAGTGTTTTTTGGGGAAAATGATGATGAACCATTGGGTTTAGGGGCTTTCCCCATTTATTTTGCCTGGAGAATGTCGATGTTTTCCCCCATGATGGAGTATAAAACATACTTCTCAAATCATAAACATACAGTAATTTTTAGACAATATATCAAAAGCATATAAATATAATTTCCATATCAACCATTCCTACTAATCAAGTCCCTGAATTTCTAGTTGATTCTCAATATTCCCCCATATATGGAGGTTTCCTAAAATGTGGGGTTCACCAAATCAGCCATTTATAGATGGATGTTCCATCATAAACCATCCATTTTGGGGGGTCCCCCATTTTAGGAAACTCCCATATGTCTATAATGTTCTATTAAGACTTTCCAAGGTTTCCAAGGTTTCCAAGGTTTCCAAGCCATCCAACCCATCGAATCCGTCGTTACGCCTTGAGCTGAGTGAGTTCCAGCGTGAAGTCGTTGATCACGGAGCCCGAAAGCTCCATGATCTTGGCATTCAGCCGATCCTCTGTTCACCATGGAGGCGATGTGGATTTCAGCCAACTGGGGAGACTGGGGAGATCGAGATCGAGATCTTTACTGCAACAAAAGCCATCAAAAACCTGGATTTCATGGAAGATAGCAGTATGGATTATTTCACCAGAGTGGGAGTGCTTTTTTCATTGGTTTTTTTCACCATGAAACATGCGGGCTTAGTCGACTTGTAAGGAAAAATCCGGATGAGCCCTCATTTGAAGGCCAATGAAAATATAGGAAATGACCTGCTGGACCCATAAGATTTGAACCAATATACTTCAGGGGAATGGAATAATGCAACAGTATGGAAGGTGCAGGGGGTATACTATATGGAATGTGTTTAATTACAATATAAATCTATATAAATCTGTCATAGGTATAACACAACAAAAATAACAAAGGAGGCTATTGTTGTTACATTGACAAATCAACCATTGAAACATCTCTGACCTTTCAAGGTATTTGGGTTTGTTCAGCTGCTTTTAGATGCTGAAACAAATGCATGTCATGATATTTCACACCCATGAATTCTGCCGATTTTTACCTGATACTAAACATCTCGGCTCGAGCGGCAAGCGGAAATTGCTACTGCTCTCTTGGGCGAGACAACATGTACAACCACTGAAATCAACTGGTTTCAGAAGGGGTCGACATCAATTCAGTCATGTAGTCAGTTATCTGGGTATCATACAATCCCAATGTTTGTTGGTGAACTGTTCAATCCCCATCTTTGAACCTAAACTTCCAAGATGTTGGTTTATCAACGTGCATGCTTTCAAAATAAACTATTAAACATCACCAGATCCAGCAGCGTTCCCTTGCCTCAAGTTCCTTCAACTTGGCCTGTGGTAGCAGATGGTGATGATGACATTGCCATTATTGGAACCCTAAGGGTGGTCATTCACAAGTACTGTGAGCTAGTGATATCACCAATTACGATCATTATATATATATATGAGGGGTTCCTGAAATGGGGTTACCCAAAATGGATGGTTTATAAGGGCAAACCCTACTAAAATGGATGAGAACTGGGGGTACCCCTATTTTAGGAAACCTCCAGGTATACATATATATATACCCTCTGGTAAACTAACATAGCTATGGAAAATCACCATTTTCATGGGAAAACTCACTATAAATGGCCATTTTCAATAGCTATGTTAAATTACCAGAGGTATATATACATTCATGCTGTATACTATCACAGTATACCCCATGAGAAGTTGATGTCATTGGAAGTTCAGGGTTTGAAAGTTTGACCCCATCCCCGCTGACCTGGCAATCAACTTGTGCTGAATATCATCATAAGAAGGCCAAGACACCTTCTGCAATATATACATATATATATATACACATATATCATATGTATATATAATGTATACAATAATTCAATATATAAATTTTAGAATATATATATATACAATATATAAATAATTTTATATATAATATAATGTATAAATCATATAATATATATATAATATATATAATATAATATATAAGGTATATTAATACAAATAATATAGTGAAATATAATACAATAAAATATAAGATAATAAAATTTATTATTATTAATAATGTATATATATATAATAATATGTAATATATATATTAATACAAATAATATAACAAAATATAATATAACAGAATATAAATATATATATATAATAACATATAATAAAATATAATATACTAAGATATAATATGATAAGATATGATATGTATATATATCAAGTCATGCCCATTGATATACGCATTATCCCATGATATCCTCAATAACGGCCACTTTGTATAATGGGAAAATGACGAAAATGATGATAAATTTGCATAAAATTACCATTCAAGTTGCGTATCTTACAACTTATTGGCCATCAACTATTGAAATTTAAATTATTTTACCGTAAATTCGAATGTTGAATACCAGCCATTTGATGGCATGTACAAGCACCTGTATAATCCTAGTAATGGCCATTGAATGGCTGGGGTCCCCGCCTCCACATCCACTTGCGGCTCAGGCGGTGGCTTGGACCAGCACACCATGGCTGTCCGGAAGATTCGATGGGGATTTCACAGCTGGGAGGCCCCCCACCAGTGGTACCTGCATCTCCGACGGTGTTTTTGAATGGAAAAAAAAAGTCCACAAGCATGAAAATAGCAGAGATCAACTCTTCAATCTCTGGTTGAGATCCCTTGTAGAAATGGTACCAATTATCCCTTTGGGATCCATGGTCCCTTGTGCCAAGCTTTCATAGGCATGCCCTTCCATGAGAAGCGGGATCTAGTGCCCTGCCATGCATGTTGGCTCTTATGCCCATGCAGATGTTCTTCTTGAGCAATCAAGGGCACCCAAATGTAGACAGGTACTGGTACAAATTCAATACAATAACGTGTATATATCTATATTATATAAAAACATTCAGACATACCCTGGCATCTGTCACCGGTCGTTCTGCAAATCCAGAACTCCCAAACTGATGGTTTGCTCATGGTTCCCTGCTAGAACTAGACCATTTGGGATGAGGCTAGCGAAATGTACAAAACTGATCGGCATCCTTTTTGGCGCATGCAACTCAGCACCACTCACCCGGCGGCTGGGACATATGCCACGCTGGGGTCCCTCGGCAGTGACAGGTCACTAGGGCACCTACAAACCACCCAAAAAAATCCAAGAGCCGCATACCCAACAAAAAGTCACCAAAAATCTCTGCAAGGAAATGCCAAAACCCAACCAAAAAAAGTTCAAGTGATTTTGAGTGCAACATTGCTCGATACATCCCTGACCATTGTTTGGATTTAATGCCCATTCAAGCGTCAAAGCTTGTTGATATTGCCCGTGAGTCCTCACTGATTGGTTCGAACTCATGCAATTGTTGATCAGTATTGTTCCCTCCATTCACATGGTTTACACCTACTTTAGATGCTTCCAAATGCTGCAAAAAACGGTACAGTACGAACACCCATGTCCACTTTCCCAATCATCTGCTAATTTCATTGGCGATATCCCATATTCTCATATATTCTCAATGATTAATCAGATTAATTTGCCATATATGGGTTTGTCTGAAACATGGATACCCCCTTCCATCCGGTGGTCATCAGTGTCCAATCAAACATGACATTTTCTTGGCAGTCCCCGTTTCAGTCAAACCCAAATATTATATCAAGTTGGTTGGTTGTATTTGTTTATACTCCCATTACTATCCATTAAATCCCAAGTATGGTTGGTATTTATAACCCGATGTTGTTTAAATACCCAAAAGTTATATATATATATGTATATGTATATATCCCATTATATCCCCATCAATATCTCCTGAAATCCCTATTTGTTATGAGCACATCCGATTAAATCAAATTCAGAATCCCATTCAGTCATCCCACGAAACACCAATTTCTCCCATAATATTGCAACAATATCCCCATTTTGATCTGCTTTAAAATAGCCATATATTCCACTATATGACTATATCTCATTGATTGTGGGTATGATTATTGAATCCCATGTTATTCCCAATATCCCAATAGAATCCAATAGACACATCGCCATCAAATCCGCCCTTGGTCCGCCATCCAAGGCGCAAGGCCATGGGCGGCAAGGCCTGGGGGTTCTTGGTCCACTCCGCGCGCGCGGCCGCCTGCTGCCCGGAGCTCAAGTAGCTGGGCGCGGCCTCGTTGAGGTGCTCGGATTCCTGCTGGAGGTCCTGGATCTGCAAAGGGATGACTATTTTAGATGATATGAATATAATATTGAATATATATATATATGTATATATATATATAGGTGTGTATATAATATATATATATATGTGTGTATATATTTATATATATGTATATATACACACACCTATATATGTGTGTGTATATATACATATCTATATATATATATATACACACAACATGCATGAATGTAATATTTAATATTTATATGTATGATAAATACATATTTCCAAGATGAGTTTGAATATGATAAAATGGTCCTTTTTTTCATGGCAAATAGCGTGTGCCAACTCATTACTGGTTCCTCTTTGTGCAAAAATTAAGGGACGATTTACCACATCCCATGACTACCCCATGATTTAGGGAGTACTAAGCTACCACCGGTTAAAACAAAACTAGAGCACAAGTTTGAACCAATAAAAAGTGATTTGGAGCAATAAAGAGCAGATGTGTGTGTGTGTGTTTGTTCACCGATGAGAGATGCCTTCAAAACGGAACAACCCAATGAATTCTAGTATAAACCCCAACTATGTATAGGTCATTAAACACTGACAGTACCACCGGGGATGCACCCCCAACATCCCCGAACGATATGGGGTCTTGGCCCTCAGTTTTGATGGTGTATTTGCTCCTCGGACTATAGAATACTATAGATATGTCCACCGTAAATCCAGCACTCAGCCACTCAGCCTCGTAACAAACCAACTTAGCCAATTGCTAGGATTGCCCAACCATATGTAGATATTAGTATACATGCCTAGCACACCAACTTAGCCAATTATTTAATTTTATCCACCATAAACCACATGTAAGGCACTGTAAACCGATTGGCCATGGTTTCAGTTTGGTTGCCTATTGAATCCCCGTTTTCTTCAATCTAGCTGCTATCTCAGAAGCGATCCCCATATATCATCCGGATTTTTCCTACAAATTTCTCATAATCATCCCACAATTAAAGATAACTATCTAGAATTCATCCCTTACACATCTATTGGTAAAATCCTCATAATACCATACCATCATCGCGTATATCCCCCGCATCGCACAAAGGTGCTAAACGTAGGGAATGTGAAAATAGTTATGGATTGGATCATGAAACGCCATTCCCTACGTTTAGCACAAGTGAGCCATAGTCCCATATAATTTTCTAACCATTAAAAAATAATGTACATATATATATAAACATATATTGCATATATATATAATCATTCCATCACGTGATAAGTATCTCTATCCCATATCTATTTATATACACTATATATGTATGGGATAGATACTTATGATTATATACATGATGGAATGAGTATATGGAGTGAATATATACCCCATATTTCATCTGTAAATATCCCATTATTTGGGATTAGGTTAGATGGGATATGGGATATATGTTCCTACTATATGTTCCTAATTCGATTACATGTTGCTATTTAACCATACCTTTATATGGGGTTACAGTAGGTTAGATGGGATATGACATAATAATATATATAATTATATATCAAGAAGGGAACTCTAATGTGTGGTGTGAATGTGTTTGTGTTTGTGTCTAGACATGTTAACATGGAAAAAAGCATAATGGGAAGCTATACAATATTTATGATCATATATATTCTCATATAATTATATTATCATATCTATTCTCGTAAAATTATATTATCATATAACTATATTATCATATAACTATATTATCATATAACTATATTATCATATAATTATATTATCATATATATTCTCATATATATCATATCATGTATAGTTATTATCATATCTAAACCAACCACGGTGAAATCCCCCTTTTCTGGGGCGTCCTTAGCGTATCTGCGCAGCTTTTGGCCGTGCGCGCGCATGGCGGCGGCCGCCTCCGACAATCGCAGGGCGCCAGAGGCGTCGCCCGCCATCCTCGAGGGGAAGTACAGGAGGTCATGGGAAATCTATGGGAAATCCATGGGAAATCCATAGGAAATATATGGCATATGGGAAATATGTGGAAAATCTAGGGAATAGAATGGGCTATAATGAATTATAATGAGGTATAATGGACTAGAATGAGGTATGAAGGATAATCATAACACATTGGTATTTAATGGGGATGTTATATATGTATATACTGGCTTTTATAACCAACAACATGATGTTGGGAAAGGGAAATGTATAAAATCACGTGTTGTAATATGACATTCATCCCCATAGTGGTCTAATGGCTAATGGAATATTCATGGCGATAAAACCAACTATGTCCAATTCGACTGTGTCTGAAAAGAAAGATACCACCAAAACTGCTATCCAATGGGAAATATCATGATAACCATTGATAACCATGGCGGTATAGTATTTTCCGACAAACCCATATATTGATGATGTTTGGGGAGATGGAAATAGCGGGACAGAACCAATACTATGATATGATTGGGAGAGGTTTGATTTTTTGCACAAGAAAGAAAGAATGCGATTTACTAGTACAACCAATTTTAGAGCCAGTGTGATACAGAAAATGAATTAATTAGGTTCCCAGCAATGAGATTTCGGAAAAACTGCTGAGTTCAGCTGCACAAGGTAGCCCGAAATGTAGAGTTTAGCAGAAAAGTTTTTTGATGCTGGTGGTTTTTATTTGCAGCAAAAAAAATAGGACTACAAATACCAGCATGCAATAGGATATACTTATGCAATATAGTTTAACCGAAGTGGCCGTACAGTACCTTTATAATAGTCTCCAGAATTCTCCGGGGAATCTGTTGTTCAAGCTGTGTGTACCCAGCCCCATTTGGGATCATCCCACGAGTTCTAACAGGCGCCAGTAATCCTTGCCGCCTAGTCCTAAACGTCCCCCCCACAAAAAATAACAAAACCTACAGGTAGGGATAGCTGATATATTATTAGGGGGTATTTACTATTCTGGGAAGAAGCTTGCCCCTAGTATTAAATTTAGAACCTTAATTAAAAGAACACCAAAATTTCAGATTTCAAAATCGATCAAATTCCTTTTTAAATCGAATGAAAATAATTATTGCCAAAAATTGGATTTCGAAGCCTTCCCCATATAACATTAAAGTTAAAACCTTAATTAAAAACACTAAAATTTTAGATTTCAAGATCAATCAAATTGCTTTTTAACGCGGATTAAAATATTGCCAAAAATGGAATTTCGAAGCCTTCCCCCAATATCAAATTTAACATGTCAATTAAAGCAACTAAGCATTTTAGATGTCAAAATCGATCGAATTCCTTTATAAAATCGAATTAAAATATTGCCAAATATGGATTTCCGAAGCTTTTCCCCAATATCAAATTGAACATGTTAATTAAAACAACTAAAAATTTTAGATGTCAAAATCGATCAAACTCCTTTTTAAAATCGATTTGAAATGTTGCCAAAAAGGGATTTTGAAGCTTTCCCCTATATAATATTTAATTAACACATTAACTAAAAAGCACTAAAATGTTCGATTTCAAAATCGATCAAATTATCTTTTGAAAAATATTGCCAGAAAAAAATTGGACTTCGAAGCGTTCCCATGCGTTTCCCCAATATTAAATGTAACACCTTACTTCAAAAAACATGTTTTTTTTAAAGTGTTTTTCATGTTTTAAAAACGGACCTTGCTCACTAGTTTTCATTATCAAGGGGTAGAACCTTCAAATTGGACCTTGATGTTTAAATGTGTTTAAATTGTCTTCTAAAGGGGTTCAACTAAAAATCAAGTTGACCAATCTGAAATTTCCGAAAATGAACAATCTCGGGTAGTTTTTATTCTTGAGGGGAAGTTTAGTAATAGGAAGAAGGGATCAAGCTAGCAGCTCTGACAAAAATGGACCTACAAAATGCATGCACATAGGGATGGCACTGGGGGATAAGAACAGGATTATCTATAAGATTCTATAAGTACTAAAGCAAGTGGTTGTTAGCCCAAGTGGGTAAAAGACCTCTATCGTATTTCCATGTCCCGCCATTTCCCGCACAAAAGGTCTAATTTGCACAAGCGTTGCTACCCGAGTTCAAAGATCATGGAAATGTCACTCTGCAAATCGCCTTAACATGTCTTAACTGCAATCAGGTTCAGGGCGGTGAGTCCTTTTTGGTTGCTGACACACCCCATTTGGGGAGCGGGTTGCAAACTTTTCAAGCCCCTTCAACTTTGAGTAAGCCCCTAGTGCCAGGATCTGAGGCTGTTTACTGCAGGATGGTCAAAAGTTTTGCTGCGAAATGCGAGTACCTCAACTTATCATGGCAATTCTGGCTGAGACACCACAACTCGCGAGTTTGCCATCCCCTCATTGGATAATTTCTCGCTACACCCCACTTAGCGTTCAACACGTTCCCCTTGTTCTGTGACTTCTTTTCCATTGTCTTTTTTCTACCCTGCATTTGTGAAGTAAGTAATGCGTCGTCACATCCTCATTGTTGTTGGATACCATTTTGATACAAACATGGATGTGAAAAATGGATGCAAATGGAATCATCAGCAAGACCGGGAGTCTGAAAGAGAAGGGCCAACCTCACCAAAGGTTGGCCGCCTCACGGTCACGGGTTGCCGCAAGCCTCTTTTGCTTAATTATATCACTATTCAGGACAATCTATGCCAGAACAATTGAGACATATTGAAACAAACTAGGCAAAGCTTGCAGAACCAAGCAAGATCCTGTTCCTGAAAAGTCGGACACTGAAGACTTGAAGACTCGATGGCAAGGTCACCCTCTCCAGGCTTTGGTTAAAATCCGAGCCAAAACCCAAGCTTTGAAGACTCAAAGGCAAGGTGACTCTCTCCAGGCTTTGGTTGAAGCGATGACCAAAACTCAAGCTTTCAAGACTCGATGGCAAGGTGACTCTCTCCAGGCTTTGGTTGAACCAATACCCAAAACTCAAGCTTTCAAGACTCGATGGCAAGGTGACTCTCTCCAGGCTTTGGTTGAAGCGATGGCCAAAACTCAAGTTTTGAAGATTCGATGGCAAAGTCACCCTCTCCAGGCTTTGGTTGAAATCCGAGCCAAAACTCAAGCTTTGAAGACTCGATGGCAGGGTAACTCTCTCCAGGCTTTGGTTGAACCAATACCCAAAACTCAAGTTTTGAAGCTCCGATGGCAAGGTGACTCTCTCCAGGCTTTGGTTGAAATCCGAGCCAAAACTCAAGCTTTGAAGACTCAATGGCAAGGTGACTCTCTCCAGGCTTTGGTTGAACCGATGCTCAAGACTTAAGCTTTGAAGACTCGATGGCAAGGTCAACCTCTCCAGGCTTTGGTTAAAGCCAAAGCAAAAACTCAAGCTTTGAAGACTCGATGGCAAGGTCACTATCTCTAGGTTTTGGTTCAACCAATAGCCAAAGCTTTGAAGACTCAATGGCAAGGTCACCCTCTCAAGGCTTTGGTTGAATTTCGAACCAAAACTCAAGCGTTTGAGACTCGATGGCAAGGTCACCTTCTCCAGGCTTTGGTTGAAATTCTCGCCAAAACTTAAGCTTTGAAGACTCAAAGGCAAGGTGACTCTCTCCAGGCTTTGGTTGAAGCAAGGGCCAAAACTCAAGCTTTCAAGACTCGATGGCAAGGTGACTCTCTCCAGGCTTTGGTTGAAGCGATGGCCAAACCTCAAGCTTTGAAGATTCGATGGCAAGGTCACCCTCTCCAGGCTTTGGTTAAAATCCGAGCCAAAACTCAATCTTTGAAGACTCGATGGCAACGTCACCAAATTCAGGCTTTGATTGAAGCGATTACCAAAACTCAAGCTTTGAAGACTCAAAGGCAAGGTGACTCTCTCCAGGCTTTGGTTGAAATTCTTGCCAAAACTCAAGTTTTGCAGGCTCAAAGGCAAGGTCACCCTCTCTAGGCTTTGATTGAACCAATACCCTAAACTCATGCTTTGAAGACTCGATGGCAAGGTGACTCTCTCCAGGCTTTGGTTGAAACAATGGCCAAAACTCAAGCTTTGAAGACTCGATGGCAAGGTCACCTGCTCCAGGCTTCGGTTGAAATCCCTAGAAAGACTCAAATTTTGAAGATTCGATGGCAAAGTCACCCTCTCCAGGCTTTGGTTGAAATCCGAGCCAAAACTCAAGCTTTGAAGACTCGATGGCAACGTCACCAAATCCAGGCTTTGGTTGAAGGTCTCTTCAAAACTTAATTTTGCAAGGCTGCGGGGCAGATGGTGTAAATACTCTCCAGGGACTGCTCCCTCATGTTGTGTAACACCTTCTAGCACAAAATCTCTCTCACCATTTGGGATCCCTTGGACATATCGGAATGCTGTATACAGATTCGTTGGTATGTAAGCGCTGGACAGCACTGCCACTTCTTTAGTAATTCCTTGCTCTCCTAAGGCTTGATCCAGCGCCAGCATTGCATTCCCGTGATACACGGCGAGCTTTGCGCCTGGCTTGCACGGAAGCTTCTCCGACACCAACCTGCGCAGGTCATAACCAAGTATCGAGAGGGGGACTCTCAATGTCACTCCTTCTCCAGTCAAGCACTGCACCTGAAGATCGACCTCATCAGTTTCATCTGATGCATCTTTGTCAGCAGATGATAAATGCACATAGCCATGTTGCGCCGCCGGCATTGGTCAGCATTTACTCACTCCTCACTACTGGGCAAAGCCGAAAGACCTTCACACAAAAAGGTACAAACCTTAAATCGGTGAGTGCAAAAATCTGGTGCTTAATCTTAATGTTCCCTATTGTTCAATGGCCACTGGGATATACCCATGTTCAGACCCGGTTGTCTAAAAACAGTGGTGATAAATCAGCATCTTCCTGCCAAAAGATCGCCAGTTTCATGGTCGTATTACGCAATCGCCCATTTTCAGACAAAGCCTGAAATCTGGCACTTTCTGTAACTTCATGCAACTTCCAAGTGCCAAGAATCATATTCCAAGGCCATGTTTGATGGTTGGGTAACCGTCCGAAAATTGGCTACGCCCGAATCCAATGGCTGGGAAATCAGTGTTCCACAAAAATCACCAATAAATAGGGAAATATATTGGAAGTTCCTATAGGAAATATATGGCAAATCCATGGAAAATATAGTGTTCACCAAAATCAGTGTAGACTTTTCAGCAAACCTTTCCTATTCAGAGGAAGTTTGGCTCAAACTTTACCTACCATGACGCAGAGGACATTCCATTGGGACGTGTCTCGAAATCAGGAAAACCAAAACCCGAACAGTCGTTGCCAAGGAACTTGAAATATCTTGAAATACTTCTAGGCATGGAGCCACAAAAGCATTCAAACAAGTTTAAAATCACAGTTCACATTAGTACTGGTCAAAACTAAGAAAACAAGACTGTATAATACGGGGTGCAATTCCTCAATTCATGGCATTCTCTCAAAACACTTTGTCCGAAAATAAGATATCTCAAAATTTGAATGTTTTGAAAGAAGTGTTAATTGATATCCATTTGATATCTGACACTAATTTCAGACACATTCTTAATGAGTGGATCCTCATTTTCTTCATTAACACTATAAACTGGAGGGCCCGTCTCCCACAGCCATCTCCCAATCCAGAAACCCCATAGGATTTTTCACAGCGCATAACAAAACAAAATCCTGAAAACGAAAACCTCATGTTCAATAAAGCCCTACTGTAATCCTCAAAAACATGTAGACAATTCCTCAAAACTCCAAAAACAAAAAATCCCATCCAAAAACTCAATTTTGCATCCCCATCCCCATAAAGTCTCCAAACAAACCATTTAAACCATCCTCCAACGAAATCCACCATTGAAATCCCAAAAAAAAATCCAATAAAATCGTTAAAAACCCATGACGAAATCTCGAAAAATCCCATCCAACCCCAAACACACCTGCCCTGCCCTGCCGTCCTCTTCTCCGCCGCGGTCAGCGTGGCTTTGTCTGCCTCCTTCGCCAGGCCCTTGGCCACCGTGGACAGCGTCTGCGCACTGGACGAAAAGCTGTTGGCCTGGCGATTTTCGTGGGGAACGCCATGGGGAAAACTGGGGATGGCTCGCAGTTCAATGTATAATGTATAACGTGTATAGTATATATATATATATATAGTTGATGATAAGGGATGATTTTTTTAATAACCAGAGCAATATTATTTATCACATATATGAGCAGTACTAGTTACCAGTAGTACCGTACAAGGCGGTGGCGGAAGTTTCAAAAATAGGAAACCTATAGGCAGGGTTGTTTGTTGTGACTCACGGATGGCAGAGCGAATCCACTGATGGACCGAAAGGTGGTTGGAGTTGTGTTTTCTGGAGTGGTTGCAATGGTTGCAGTGGTCACCTCACCACAACTGCTGGATGTAGTATGGTGTAGCGCAGTTGTAGTTGTAGGTGTAGTTGTAGTTGTAGCGTAGTGGAGTTGTAGTTGTAAGATGTAGTTGTAAGTTGTAGCTGTAATGTAGTGTAGTTGGTGTAGTGTAGTGTTGTGTAATGTAGTGTAGTTGTAGTTGTAGTTGTAGCTGCAATTCTAGTTGTAGCGGTGGTGGTGGTGGTGGTGGTGGTGGTGGTGGTGGTGGTCGTCGTCGTCGTCGTAGTAGTAGTAGTCGTCGTAGTAGCAGTAGTCGTAGTCGTAGTCGTAGTAGTAGTCGTAGTAGTCGTAGTAGTCGTAGTAGTCGTAGTAGTAGTAGTCGTAGTAGTAGTAGTAGTCGTAGTAGTAGTCGTAGTAGTCGTCGTAGTAGTAGTCGTAGTAGTAGTTGTTGTTGTAGTCGTAGTTGTTGTTGTAGTTGCAGTTGTAGTGGTTGTATTAGTTGTAGTAGTAGTTGTTGTAGTAGCTGTAGTAGTTGTAGTAGTTGTAGTAGTTGTATTAGTTGTAGTTGTTGTAGTTGTAGTAGTTGTAGTCGTTGTAGTAGTTGTAGTAGTTGTAGTAGTTGTAGTAGTTGTATTGTAATTAGTGTAGTGTAGTGTAATGAGTGCTGTGTAGTGTAATTAGTGTTGTGTAATGTAGCGTAGTATATGTGTACTTGTAGTTGTAGTAGTAGCGTAGTGTAGTGTAGTGGCACTTGTAGATGTAGTTGCAGTTGTAGTTGTCTCTCTACCTATCTCTGTCTATCTACAAGCTTGAAAACGAAGCTATTCTGCGAGACTTCCTCAGTTTTTGAACTTGACAACATCAAAAACGCAGCAATTCTGCGAGACTTCCTCAATTTTTGAACTTGACAACGTCAAAAAACGAAGCAATTCTGCGAGACTTCCTCATTTTTTGAAGTTGACAACATCAAAAACGAAGCAATTCTGCGAGACTTCCTTCAAATATGGAAAGTTGAGTGCAGAGCTGCAGAGCTGACGGCCTCGTATCAATGCGTTTTGCGATTTTCCCACTCCATCTGTCTAAAGTGCTGCGCCTGCCACGAAAAAGTGATGCCAGGTCATACGAAGTGCTGCACCTGTCACGCAAAATTATCTTCCCAAAACTGAAGATCTGATGCTCCAAAATGCAACCCCTCTCAGGAAATCAACGCCCGGACCTCCTAACAGCTCTGATGAACATGTCTCTTGTACTGCGCCCGCCACGCGAAATGCATCTTGCCAGATCCTCTGCATATGCCCCACGCCTGCCATCGTTTTTGAAACTGCTACAAAACCCTCACGTTTTGCTCACTTTTGACAAGGTGCACAATCCCTTGCGCCTGCCACGCGAAACGGCATCTGAACGTCCAAAAGTGCTCCGTGCCCCTCATTTTTTTGCACTTTTGACTTCGAAATGTGCTTCGCGCCACAACGGCGTGCACTTTTTCGACATCTCAACTTCCAAAAGTGCTGCGGAGCTGAGGTGTTTTGTACATGTTGATTTCGAAACGTGCTTCGCGCCACGACGGCGTTCACTTTTTCGACATCGCAACTTCTAAAAGCGCTCCGAAGCTGAGGTGTTTTGTACATTTTGACTTGGAAATGTGCTTCGCGCCACAACGGCGTGCAATTTTTCATCTCTCATCTGGCCAGCTGGCTCCGCACCCGCCGCTTTAGCGAGCCTACTTTTCGACCCTCGGGAGCCACAAATCATTGGAAAAACACAGTGTTTCGCGACTTTCCGACCTTTCCGCGCACCTGGATCTTCTTTCTTCTGAGACTTTCTCTTTTTTTATCTTCTTTCTTCTTTTCTCTCTTCCCATCTCTGCTTTTCATCTGTCCATATTGTCGGAAGGTTGGGCTTCTAAACTGCCTTCGAATATCACCAATTATTCTTACCCGAAATATCAGCAGCGAAAATACCATGAAAAAATGGCTGGGGGGAATCAGGCTGGGAATATCATGTGGACATATATGGGCTGAACTAGTTTGAATTATAGGTGCATGTAAACTCACCGATGAAGAAAAATACATAGAATGCCAAATGCCCTATGTCTTGAAGATGACAACGCCGCTGCGTACCATATCTGGCGCCGCTTTTTGGAAGTGAAATGTGCTTAGATCATCCATAAAATGTCGCAACGTTGGATACTGAAAAAAAGTCATCCCACGTGATGGTTAGTGGTTGTGGAGATATCACCAAGTATCATAAGTGCTGGTTTATTGATCTTTAATTCATCACTTTTGCATCACTTGTGCATCACTTGTGCATCATTTTTGCTGCTTCAAGCAGCCTTTTCTGGACTCAAAAAAACTGAAACAAAGCAACTTACCCAGGGCACTGGGGCAGCATATCCCAGCACATTCCATGTTTGAATGGTGAAATCATTCATCCCATTAAATCTTAAACATGGGATTTTCCATATGGTTAATGGGATGGTGAATCTTAATCTTATAACCCATACTATGTCACTTATGTCATTAAGATTCCATGTTTGGATGGTCAATTAAGGTTAAGATTAAATATATATATATATTGAAATCTTAATCTTAAAGGTTAGATAACCATTTTGCTGAAACCACCATCTTTGATCCATCTTTGAGAGTTTCATCAGCATCATTATGAAATCAGCTACATCCCAGTTTTCCTTGGTGAAATCATCTTAAAAATCACTTCATTCATCTGAATTCCCATTATGAATTATTTACCATTGATGATTGATGATGGTTCTCTGGGTAAATCATTTATAATGATGAGAATTACCATGAAGATGATCACTGAATCACCATTGATGATGATGAATTATTTAAATTCAACCATGAAGATGATCACCATTGATGATGATTAATTCACCATGGATGGATGATCAATTAATTATCAATGGTAAATTGATATTCCCATTGATGATGATTAATGATCATTTAATGGGAATTGATAATTAATTTACCATGATTTTCCACGCGTTTCCCATGGATGGAATGATCCATCGCCTTCTCCAAGGCGATGCCCATGGCGCGCTGGTACGGCTCGGCCGCCTCCCTGGCCTCGCGACGGCCCTGGGCCCAGTGGTCCGTCAACACCTGGGAACCCGGGGAAGGGGATCAACGAGCCATGAAAAAAGTTGGGAAAAATGGGGATTTCATGGGATTTCATGGGGTTTCATGGGGCTTAATGGGATTTAATGGGATTTCATGGGAGATTCATTGGGATTTAAATGGATTTAAAAAGTATACAAAGCAAAATCTTGATTTGAGGTGTATGGGTTTGTCTGAAAATGATTGAAAATGGGGTATACCCCCAGCTATAGCCATTTCATGGGGACTCTCTCCGGGGGAGTGATGATTGACCAATGGATTTAGGGGTATGATCTGACCATCAAATTGGGTGGTGCCATGGGGTACCATCTTTTCAGACTCATCCGGATGGGTGGCAGTAATTATGAATGAATAATAGTGTTGTCGTAATTATGAACCCTCAGTTTGTCTTGATCAATGATGTCAACACCAGATAAAGTAATTGTTTGTTGATTGACAAGTTTCATTCTTGGGGTGAAAACTCTAGGTCATTAACCAAAATTTACTATCCGCAATGAATATTATGTGTGGATTGTTTTCTAGATATGTTCATATCTATGTATATAGGCCAGATTCTGGTGGGTAAATGCTAAGTTGGACAATCCATATGCCATAGGCCATGTTCGTTGGTGAGTTGGTGAGTAGCTTCGCTGCTGGGTTTATGCTGGATATATCTATGTCTATCTAAAAATATTATATATATATATATAATATATATATATATGATGTTAGATGATATTAGATGATGCTTGATGATGTTAGATGATGTTAGATGGCTTGAGAAAGCAATTTGTGACTGGGGGTACCACTTTTGTACCCGTTGGGAATCAAGCATGGCTGGCTGGCAAATGCCCATGTCACTACCACACTAAAGGGTGGGGCAAACCAGTGAGCGGAATAGAATGATCTGGAAATACCATGAAATACAGAGGATTGCTGGACCACAAGACAGGTAGATGTTACCTGTAAAAAGACGGAAGTGTCTAGAACAGTTCAAGAGGAAAACCACCTTTGGGACTCCATCTTTTCAGCTCGAATGCCAAATCTGGAGGGCGCGAAAAACTAGAAACATCTCATCTCTGGAACGAATGGCTGTCAAAATCAAGCACTAAAGTTTCAGTAGATGCCTATCTCGTTCACAATTCACATACTTTGGCTATTTTGTCTACCGTTCATTCGATTTGTGCTTTCGACCACCAATATATAATATATATAATTATATCTATATATAATATATATAATCATAATATGTATATATATATATATATTCATCTATTTATCATGTAGAGATCCTGGAGCAGATAGAATATGGATATTTCAAGACAACCTCACGAATAATACGAATATGTATGGTCATGTTTTTCAAATCCCATAGTCTATCGATGACCAAAGGTGAATCGGGATCAGTTTTAGCTGCTGAAATCCCTATGGAGAGGACCACTTTTACAATCTGTTGACCTGGTTCTTTACCATATTCTATCCATATTAATACAAGTACCATATGGTCATACCATATGGTCATACCATATGGTATATGATTTTTTGCAGGTATATAGAAGTCTTTTTTACAGCACTATCTGGCTATATTTCATGGCTGCCAGCCCCAATTTTTGACCTCCCAGGCCCCCGTGGGTCGCCATGCCTCATCGCGCCAGCTCTGCAGCTCTTTGTTCTTGGCCAAAAACATCTGCTGCACCGCCGCCTTCGCTAAGTCCTCACAAAGCTGACCAAGCTGATGGTTCACTTAAACGCATGCTTTTAATGGCTGGGCTTCAATTCCTCAAATATAATGTTTATAATACTGATGAATTCTGAGTGATGAATCTCTGTGGGGACTTCTGATGTTTGATGAATCCATGTGAAATTCGTGATTTTTGCATAATGGAAGCATGAACATCATTGAGGAAGCTCGGAACTGTCTGGATTCCTGTTACACAACATCTTTCCTGGCTCCTGCATGCATTCAAAAAGCTACACTGCGTTCTGGCCCTTAGCACTTCAATTTCAACCCCTTCGCGGGAGCGGTATCTTCAGCCTCTGCACCAAGGAGGCCGCTGCTAGGGATACGCACGTTCTAGCTGTTTCTAGCCTCTTAAGAATAGGGTGAACCCGAGAGAAAGCTGTGCTGGCGCCCCTACGATGAGGAAACCACCTCTTTGATCCCAGACTTGGATAGATACAAATATATACCAAATTGTACAAATATGTTATTTGCAATTCAGGATATGGAAGTCTTTGAAAATTGGGGTACTGTACCCCAAAACTGTTGGTTTCAAAAAGTGAAAACGGACGGATTTTGTAAAAAAAAATGGGATCCCCCAGAATCATAGACATATTTTCCCCCATAATCATAGACAAAATCCCATAATCATAATGGGATCCCCCATAATCCCCATATTGAGAAATCCTAAACATAGATTCCCAGTCGTCCTTTGCATTCGCATCGGCCGTCTTCGAAAACTCCGTGGCCTTCTCCAACCTGGAGCGGGGAGTGGTGGCCCATATATTTGCTTGTGATGCTAACAAAGCTTTGAGGAGTAATACAGTAATACATATTTATTTTATACATAGATTGTGTATAGATTGTGTATAGATTGTGTATAGATTGTGTATAGATTACTTGCATGCCGATTTTCTGATATATTGACCATTTCTGCGCTTGACCTCCACCGGGATTGGTTGTGAAAAAAAGGGGAAGCTCATGTAGCCAATGGATGCACCTCCTGCCACCCGAAAAAAATGGGCAAGCTGAGTCCCACAACTCTTTCTCCAGTTCCTTGTTGCTCTCTTCCGCATACTTCACCTGGCGACCCCAAGAATGAACCACGGGTAGAATCCGAAACCCAACCAATCGGTGACCACTATCATATCATTCCGTTATAGCATGTTCTTCACCGGTTATCTCAAGATATCTCAAGTATGTGTTTGAGATTCCCATTCCCAAGGTCTTTCTCCCTGTGGGAAAAATGCCAGTGGTCATCAGCCTCACTCCAATAAATCCATAGCAGAGGCCAACCCTCTTTTTTAACCTTCAAATTTGCTGACACCTCGTGGGATATCCCACCATGTCCATCGGGAATTCATGGATTTTTCGGTGTTCCCCAGAGAAGATCGACATCCTCCGGAGACCTGAGCTTCCTGTTGCGTGCTATAGTCCTTCGCTTTCGCGAGAAGCGCCTCGCGAGGTCGCAGGTGGGATGGAGATTGATTTGGGATTGTCATCTCTTCAAAAAGCAACCCCCAAGTCATAGAAAGGTTGGAAACCTGGGAATTATGAAGTGAAATAAGGTAATTATATGTAATTATCATCTATATAGAGCATCCTGGAAAAAACTGCTGGGTAACTTTGGCCCTTATAGATTAGAAACTTGACAAGGCACAGAGATGGGATGATAGCTTCATTTGGGATTGATATACTGGGGATACGGTGTGATCATTTTCAAACACGATCATTTATTTAATCAATGCAAACATAATGACGTGATTACAATTTCAAACAAACCACAGGAACAAGATCCTACCCATACAGTATTCCACAACATGAAGATTGCCTTCTAGCCATCGAAAATTACCAATTTCCATTTGATTCAAATGATTTGCATATTACCACGGTCATTTTCCATGGTTATATCAGCTTACCAGATGTTGTTTCATCACTGTCCCAGGTCATTTCCCTCATCTCCCGCCACAGTGGGTTTAATTGCTACTCCTACGGGGGAAAAAAAACAGTTTGGAATACATCCATCTTAGGTTTCCAATTATTTTCAGCCATCAGGAACATATTGTCCTTGTTTGTTGGATTTTGTTGGTTTGTTATTCGAAACACTACTCTTCCTACGTAAACTCCATTTTTTTGTTGGGGACATCACTAACAACTGGGTTCCTTAATATCCTCAAATTTACCAGTTTACGTGCACGATTGGTCCATATCCCATGTTTCCATGTTTGTCATTAGGTAGATCATTACGATATCAGTCAATCTCCGTTTCCCACCATTAAACCAACAGTTTCTGGCTCCAATAATTCTAGACAGTTTGTTCGGCCATTTTGGGGATGGTTCCTTTTACCAACAACCATTCAAAGGTGAGGTCGGCCAACGAGATAGCTCTCAATGATCCGAATATGATAAGTGGTACAGAACCATAGTTGCAGGCCAGAAACATAATATTCAAGCTTAAGCTGGTTTTGGCCATAGTTCTAAGTAGAAGTATCAAGACTTATCAAAAAGATAGATTACATCAAAAACCCTAACATAGATATCGAACCTAAATCAACACGGAAATTTCTAGAAACCCTAATGCTAAATATATAACAATATATACTGGAAACAAAGAATCCTGGGTGGAAACGCAAGTACCCTTCTGTTCACACTGAAAAAGTTGGTATTTGAATACATGTTTATCCCCTTGAAATCTGATGATTTTGCCCCATCTCCAGCACCTGGGTACCCCATCCATTGGTTGATCATCATTTTCACCACCTGAATGCTTTTAAATTTGGGATTTTGGAGGTATCCGTTTTTAGGGCATTAACAATAGCAATGAAACCACAAACCAGGAACTGAGCCAGAAGGTACGGTTTTCTCCAGTAAATGTTTATTCTTGTGGTTTTTGTTGGGTATCTGGGTGGTTAGCCTTAACACACCATACCCTGACGCTCCATGGGATATTTTTCAACATCTACACCCAAAAAATCAACCACACCATGCATTTACCCTCTGGTAAACTAACATAGCTATTGAAAATCACCATTTTTAATGGGAAAATCCACTATTAATGGCAATTTTCAATAGCTACGTTAAATTACCAGAGGGTACATGGGGCATACTTCGAAGATCATCCATCCCATACCTTGTGAGTGGTTGCTAGCCCTGGTTCATAAGTCCCGAATGGTGGGATCATCCCCAGTTTCAACCAGCGGGATTATCCTCCTTTCTGTGGGACCAGAAGGTGAAATAAACCATCAAATTCTCCCAATAAAATCACCAGAGAAAATCCCAATCCCCATTTCCCTGATATATGATGCTACTAATCATATAAATAATGATCGTAATCATACTGAAAAAATCCATATAATCCATATAGATCCATCTAGATTCACCATTATTAAAAAAAAAATATATATATATATATATATATGTTCCCCTTCAACCACCATTCAACCACATTTTCCACCTTTCCAGCCATGGCCTTCTGTTGCAGCTCCATCTCCTCCACGTGTCTCTGCTGTCCCAGCGCCTCCTCCGCGGCCGCCTGCGCCTGCGTCTCGACCGTGCGCGTTGCCACGCGCAGGTCCTCCACGGTCCTGAAAGTCGTGGGGGGTCACTACGTTGAGAAAGCAAAATGGCTGGGAAGATACATGTTTCAATGATAATCATATATTAAGCATGTAGAATTGTCATAAGTCCAATCACATATATATGTATATACATATTCATTTATGAATTTATTAATATAATCCTAGATGCTAGGATCAGATCAGATCAAAACATGATATATGGATGGTGTATGCGGTATAGTCATCCATCCCTGGGAATTCAAACGTGGATACATGTGGATACGATCCATCTTTTGACCATGGCTCATATAAGAAGAGATTTGGCTGAAAATGATACCAAATCATAAGCCATGGTATCATTTATCATAATCTGAGATTTTTAAGAATCAGAAAGAATGTCATCAACTAAAAAAAACGTCAGAGCATTTTAAAATGATACCCCCAATCCTCAGCATCATGAGAGAGTGACATTGTAGCGAGGTAATCATCTGCATGGCTGGTTGATCTTTTGATCCCATGTTTGACCAGATGGTATTCTGTCCTCCTCCACCTATCACGAGGACTGGGGACTGGCAACCGTTGAAGGTGTCATCCAGACAACACTATTAATGGATAAAAGGCAAACGGTTCAACTTGCAAATATCATGAAGTAGCTCCGGTACATCATCTTTAGTCGTTCAATTGAAAACCCAGTTTTTAAATGGTGAATGTCGTCGAATGTGATGAAATCCATTATCTCCAATCATGTCCATAGATATCCCCATTATCCCCATTATGGTAGACTAAATATCCCCATTCTTGCTGGCGATCCTCAATTAATCCCATTTTCTTCCCCACATGTTATCATTCACTGCTGATTCATTGATTCATGCGTTAAAGCGCTAATGCTGTTGATGATTCTTGTTTGGGTGAATCCCCCATGAATAAAATCGCGTGGTTCTCCCATCAAAACATCACCATGTTGGTTGCAATACCCAATGTTACGTTCAGTGGTTAAGATCATTTCAATCCCTATGAACGTATTAGTAACATTGATTGGAAACCAATTACCCAAGATTTATAACCATTCAGTGGTTAAGATCATTTAACCAATCAGTGGTTAACCAGCATTGGCTAAATATGGTTAAATCATGTTAGTTCCCTAATTTGTTTCCTTATATACCGTATATACCCATGAAATGGTTTGTTATACCTCCCATTATATCCACGTCACATCCCCGTAAAATGATGTTGGTTAATCCCGCATTGATCCCATTGTCATTCCATCAAACCAACACCATGTGGGTTAAACTCCAAATTTGGATGTTTAAATCTTATTTTTGTTGGTTAATCTTCCATGAATCCCAGGATATGGCTATGGGTCAAAACCCTAGCACCCTTCCGTTCGCACCAAAATGGCTGTTGTTCATGGATGCTCATCACAAAATATTTATATATAATACTTTACAAGCTGGTACATATCCCATTGTAATCCATTACATACATATATTATACATATAAATATGTATACATTATACATATATATAATTTCCCATATATCCCCAGTATATTCCCATTCCTGTTGGTAAAGTCACCCGTGAATCCACAGCATCCGGCCCATCACCAAGCATCGCTGCGGCCCTCTGATCTTCTAAGGCCTCGATCTGCCGATCTGCATCAACCACCTGTGCAGGGAAGGACAGGGGCGATCGAAAAGCAGGGGGAAGAATGGTATTTTATGGTATTTTAATGGAACATAATGGGATTTTATGGAATTTTAATGGGATTTAATGGGATATATGGTGATTACCCTCTGGTAAACTAACATCACTATGGAAAATCACCATTAAAATGGGAAAACTTACTATAAATGGCCATTTTCAATAGCTATGTTTGTTTACCAGAGGGTACAGGGGGGGATGAACCACTGTTTCGGGAGTTAAGCATTGAACTTTGGGGATGAATCAGTGTTTAACACAAATGTTGGGGGGATTCATTACCTAGTATTAGGGGAATAACCATCTATTTCTTAAAAAGATGATGGTTAACTATCCAAACTGGTGGGAATCCAGCATTGACCTGTGAGCATAGATCATTTCCTAGGGAAACCATGGGAAACCCATGGGAAACCATGGATTGTTTCATGTCTGACAGTGAGTTTAGCGGGGGGTAAAAGCAACCGTAGTTATATATATATATACACAGTACCTGTTACAGGTACAACCGAAAAAATATGCGGTTCTTTAATATCAGTAAGAAAATGGTGATGATAAGAGGAAGAAAACACCACCAACAACCATGTGGGAACAATGAGGATGTAAGCCCATCATAAGCCCAATGGATTCAAGTACCTTGTGATGGAGTATGTGGGCTTTGGTTTTCGGGTGGTACATACCTCTTTCTCAAGATGCATTCAGATCCATATGGAAGGAATAACACTGGGTGTACACATACATATGTATATATATATATTATATATATATATATATAGTTATATATACCCAATATATCAACTCATTGATTGTATATTCGTCAAGACAAAAAGGATCATCATCCCAGGATGAACGTTATCAGTTTCATACTGATACTCTTCAGTAGTCAACCATGGTTGGCCTGGATATCCTCTATCAAGGTGTTTGATCATAGGGAAATCATTGATCTACCTATTTGAGTTTGTCTTCCAGCCATGTTTTGTTTCTCCAAATATGGGTACCCGAAAATCATCATTAAATGGGGCTAATGATGACCAAACCATGGGATTTGGGGGTGCCAAATGTTCGAACAAACCCGTGTGGTCCCGTGTATATATATATAATTATATATATAATTATATATATATATAATTATATATATAATTATATATATATAAGTATATATATAATTATATATATATAATCCAACTAAGTTTTCCGCGGTTGTTCATGACCATTTTCTGTGGTCTAACCTGGTGATAATGGCAAATTGTTAAAGAAAAAAACATTGAAGGATGATTGCTCAGTAATGGTCATTTTGTGTACCTGCTGTCCCCATGATATCTCCCAATAATTTCCGATCAACCGAGCCAATGTATGCCAATGTGATGGTCCCGCGGCGGACCTGATGCTCACGCTGCTCTCGCTCCTTTGCTACCGCAAATGTCAATGGCTCCTGAAGGAGCACCGCACCGCCCCTCTGTGGCCATCAGATTCACCTAGCTCTATGGGTCGTTGAAAACCTAAAACCTCACCCTAACAGTACCATGGCGGTCCCAAGATCGTGGTTGAAGAGGCTCTTCCAGGGGTGTTTCGACACAAGGCTTGTACCCCAAAATTTTCCAAATTTGCCACTCATGATTGTTGCTTACACACACACACACGGGATGAAAATCCTCACTTTTCCTGGCGACCCCCTGTCTTTCTATCCCCCATGTGTGGTGCTGAAATCTACATAGAATCTGCAGGATTGTCGGTTAAACCATGTTAAACCCACATTTATCTGGCTTCAAATCCCACTAATTGTTGATGCTTAAACCCGCAAAAATGTGAGAGTGAAATCCCTATGTTTACTGGTGAAACCAATCAACATTTTAGATCATTTTATTCTAGTGAAATCATGTGAAATCCCAATTTCCAATGGTCCAAATTCCAAAAAAAATCCAGTTGTGGCTGAATCCCCATGTTCGATGCTTCAAACCCATTGAACTCCCCGGTTTTTTGCAGGTGAAATCCCAACGGTCGAGGGTGACATCAGGTTATAAATCCACAGTGTTCATCCTGAAAAAACCCTAATTTTGGTAAAAACATTGCCCTACGGTGGATGGAACAAATCCTGCACCAGTGGATAGGCGGTTCATCCCATTATTGATAGGGTTTCAACCATCCAAGGTGGTGCAGGATTTCTTCCACCCACAGTATGTTTACTGTGTGAAATCATCATTTCACCACGGAAATAGATATTTTGATGCGGTTGGATGGTAATTTTTTTAACATCCCAGGTGTTTTCCCATGGTTTTTCGGCCGCACCTTCTCGGGAAGCAGGACACCTTCGGCCAGCACCAGGAAGACCCAGACGGCCCAGCGCATAGCCTGACGCCAATGGCCAAATGTCCATGTCCGATGAAGTGAAACCATGGGAACTGGGAAATATATAATATGGGAAATGTGTAGAAAATCTAGGGAATAAAATGGAGAAATTGAATGCTATTGAAAACCAAAAAATGAATCCAATGCAATTGAATGATATTGCATGTCGAGAAAGAAAGAAACAAATGAATGAAGCATCATAGAATCATAGCTGTGTGCAAGCTATGTTCCGACAATGCCACTTGGATGTGAAGCCATGGAAATGGGCTATTTCAGCCACTAAATATTAGAAAATATTGGCAAATTATGGAGATGTCAGCATCAACCTTGGAATTTAAGCACCAGAGATGATGGATTTGAAGAAGAATTGGAATTTAAGCACACATCAATATAACCACACAACTGCGGAATCTATGCAGAAAACATTTTTTTGACTTCAGCCAACAAAAGGTATGGATATATTATAATTCATATAGTGGTATACCAATATTATAATCATATTGCCCCATTGTAATATTATAATTATCATATATAATATTATCCTCAACAAGATTTGGGGGTTTACCACCAAACATTTTTGGTTCAACCACTAGCAACCAACGTCAGCCAACCAGTTCGGAAAAGAGATCAAACCTCAAACTTTTTCGGGGGATCAACTACTAGTCAGCAAAAACGTGGTTTTAAGATGTTTTAAGCAGCAAAATGCTGATTCAAAATGGTTATCACTCCCAAACCATTGGAAGGAAACCCAAAAATTCAAGAATTTGTCAGGAAAAAATGCTAGGCAAACGCGTGGTAAATGAAATGTAACTGGCTTATATCCCCGGGAAACTGGCAAATGATACCATAGATGCTTGCCGGTGTCGTTTTTCCATTTACATCCATTTACCAGATCTTACTTGCAAAAGTATACATTTACCAGATGTTGATTTTACCAGCAGATATAAGTGTATCAATATCATTAATAAATATATATATATGTGTATATATATATATATATGTATGTATATATATATGTATGTATATATATATACGTATATAACCACGGCCCATCACATCCCATCACCCCCTGCTGCCTTCGGGACAAGCATGGCACACCAGTTCGGTGGCCACTAGCGACTCTTCATTGCGACACCTAAAAAAAGGTGCCCTGAGCCAAGCCATGATCCATCGATGGACCAACATGCCCAAGGAAACCACAAGACTTTTTTTGGGGTGTAACTCTGAAACTATACATTGACTATACATGTATAGCTTCTATTCCTTATGTCGAGTTTATAGCAACACCGAGGCAAACTGAGATATCGGAAGAATGCCTTTGAAGTACTCATGAGCAAACCATTGGTTGTTTCTCAAAGTTTCTTCAACCCCTTTATCCTCTTGGCCAGACTCTTGCAAACACCCAAACAACTATATACTTTGTCGTGAACACGTTTGCAAATGTCTTCAAATTTCTGCAGATTTCTCTCAAAGCACTGGCAAACCCACTCACAATTAATCTGGGTAAATTATAATAATTCACTAACCTGAAATAAGGCCATTTTGGGATGATTCCTCTTACTAACCATGATTCCAGTGAGGTCGCAGTGAGGTCGTTATAATATGTTATAATTTACCCAGATTAATCATAAATGCATAGAAACAGTCGCCAATGGAGCTAAATGAGGCAGAACCACTAGAGATCAGTGTGACAAATCCAATCATGTTGCACCAATTCCTCCCGGGAAATCTAAAGACACCCACATGTCTTTAAACATCAGGATAGATGATGATAGATTGGGTGTCAATATGTTGTAATGTTGGCTTTATATAGTTTGATCGTGCTTCACCACCCTACAACAATATCTGGGTAAATTACAATATATATATATACATATCACATATATACAGTATATCACCATTAATTAATCACCAATAATCACACGTTTCCATCCAAACACATCAATAACACATCTCGCCCGAAGAATCCGGAGCCACGTGTAGCGGATGGCCACTGCCCCTTTTCGCACGCAGCGGATCGATGACAGCGCCGACAGGCTCCGACCTGGGATGACCATTGCGAGGCTTGGAACTTGTGAAGGTTTGATATGGGTTTTAATTTCTAATGTTGATAAAAACAAAACCTGGAAATAGGAGTTGTGTTGTGCGGTTGGTTTCACGTTGTGAACATATATATATATATATATTTATTTATTTATTTATTTTGTTTTATCTACATATTTAACATGCATTAAATCAATCTTATCACATATATATAATTATACATATAATGTATAGATATAATGTATAGATATAATGTATAGATATAATGTATAGATATAGTGTATATAATATATATATATAATATACTATATAATATGTATATATGTATAATATGTGTATGTATATATATATGTATGTATATATATATATATGTATGTATATATATATATATACATATATATATATATACACATATTATACATATATATACATATGTGTTATATGTATTGGTTTGAACAACTCTTATCACGTATATTATGTTGAACCTTGTGAAACCGCACCCACAAGCCACAGAAATCTACAGAATTCTTTGCTCCCAGTGACCGCGCTGCAGTCAGCTGGCCAAGCTGATGATGAATTCTGGGCGATAATACGGGGGGTTCCGTAAATGGGGGTACCCCAATGGCTGGATGGATGTTTATAGTGGACAAGTTTAGGAAAATTGATGATTTGGGGGTACCCCCATTTTAGGAAACCTCCATAATGACATAAACGACAGAAACTAAACTGTACACTTTACAGATCTGTTGGCCTCTGTGACCTCAACAAAAGAATTATGGGCCCAATCTAGACCCCCAAAAAGGAATAGCCACTTCAAGTGGCGGCAACGCAATGAATTCTCATCCAGCAACGCAAGCGACTTCTATACTTCCTGTCTGGAGAGGTTCCCTTCTGCCTTAGTTGGAATGGTGCCATCCACCCCGTTAGGCCGGCAGAACTTGGGCAGAAATCGGAACTCCTCTGTGTGCACGTGCCACTTCACTCCACTCATCCTGCTGGCTTTCACGGCTTTCCGGACCTCGTCCGACATGCTTTTGGGTCCACACACGAAAATGGTCCCATTCCATTGTCCCTCGGAAGCCTGCTGTTTGGCCACCTTTTCCAACCAAGCGGTAATGCTCTCCTGGTGCTTTCAACCCAACTCATCATACTCATCTCCAAAACCATTCAGGTGGGTGGGACAATCATCCCATATTGACGGATCCAAAACTAAGGAAAAACTTTACAGTTTACAGCAAAACCTAAAACCATCAGCCAGTATCATCTGCTTCCGCCTGCCGTCCCTTCAGCTTCACACAGCTCAGTTCATCCAGCTCCAATCTTTCCATCACCCTCCGCAGCAACGCTTCGCTGCGCAGTGCCCAGTAGAGCCGCCCCCGGCCGTTTGACAGGCCCTGGGCGGCAAGGCAAGGGGTGATCCCCACGCCGCCACAGACGTAGACCACCGGCGGAACCGCGGCGACCGCCGGCCGTCCAAACGGTCCCTGCAGGGAGATCTGGAGCCGCTCCAAGTGGCCCTCGCGGAGCCGGGCCGCCAGCCTCTGCGTGAAGGCACCGGCCACCTTAAAGGGGAGCTTCAGGGAGGTTCAGGAGTTGGATTTTGCAGGGAAGATGGTTGCCATGAAAGCGGGTTAAAAAACAAAAACACAGGACGTTGTGGGGAGCAACATTTCTCTATGGTTAGAAAGAACATCGAACAATCAGCAAGTGTTCCATACACATTTCAGTATCCACTCATCTCCATCCACCTTGATGAACAGGGCTACGTCCGCGCCAGGTTCGTTTGCTGGGATCAGGGTGAAAGGATGAGCCACTGAGGACAAACTGGGGATCCAAAGGCGTGTCCATTGTCCAACTTTGAAGCTGAAGCCTGGTACGGAAAGATACCTCGCCAGTGCTGAAGCAAAAATGTGGGTTTGTTATGGTTTGTTTTCAAACGATTCGACGATACCCCTAATTCCACCGATTAATCATCATATGTCCTACTATTTGATGTACTGTATTTAAATGTGGTGATAGCAAAAGTCCATCTAAATTTGATGGCTATTGGCTATCGGGGGTATCCTCCAAAAAATGGAACTCGACTGCGATCATCATCCCAGGTCACCAGGTCGGTAGAAATGCAGAAATGCGTCTAGGCGACTCAGCAATTCTTATTCCCCAAATATTCACTAACTCATGATTTTTCTGAAGCATCCACAGTAACCAAATGTAACCAATGAAACATGTTGATATACTGGTTGGTGGTATACCTACCCCTCTGAAAAATATGAAAATCAGTTGGGATTATTATTCCCAATATATGGAAAAATAAAAAATGTTCTCAACCACCAACCAGTATATGTTGGTCAATCCAAAGTTGATGTTGGTTTTTTAGCGACCTATCAACGACCTATCATCAGTACTTCGGAGACCTTTTGAAAAAAGGCAAGACGTACCAAGAAATGGCCTTGCGATGACGAGGAGATCACCTCTTTGTTGATGGATAAACCCATCTCCAAACCCCAGCTATTCCGAAGCTCATAGGGATATGGAAATTCACACGTGAACTAACCTGGGTAGTTCTATCATAAATCATCATAGCTCCCAGCCTGGTTTAGTTTTACACCATCAACATCATCGACTTGATTGCTCATCCCTGTGTATTAGTTATCATTTCTGGGGCTTCCGCTTAGGTTGCAACTGAGGTGGTATGGCTCACAATCATTGGCTCCTCCAACACCAAGGGGCAGGAAAATGTGCTCTCCATCCTTTTCCGCAATCACCTCTGACTTCCTGACCACAGCCTTCCTCGCAAATGCCCAAACATAACCTGGTCGGTAGGTGAGCCACACATGTCCAAAATACATTTAAAAATATGCGATGGTTTGTGTTTGTTTAAGCAAATACTCAAATGAATGAAGAAATCTGTGAACTCACCAACCAGCAGCTTCTTTGTCCCACATATGCCAGAAGCACAGCGCAGTTCACCACTGCTGTGACAATTGTGATGAGATTCCGGTGTCGAACTGCTGCCTCGATCATGTGGTAAATTGTGAACAGAAGCCCGATAAAACTCCTCGGACTGTGGGTTATCCACGAAGCAAAAGCATCGACTGTGGGATATCCCGTCCAAAAAAACCGTCCAAAAAACGTGAAAAAGGCGTCAAATACGATTTAAGCTTAAACATTGAAGGCCAACGCCTTTGCCAGCAGAAGAGTTACTCTGAGTGTATATAGATGGTTATATAAGGGTCCGTGTCTTCGCTTGCAATACCATATGGGTGTGTCTGAAAATGGGGTATACTCCCCAAGTCCATTTCATAGGGAAAAGGCTGATTAACCGTGGGATTTTGGGCTACAGTACCCTATTATACCCTATTTTCAAACCAAGCCCAATACCATAAGAAAACCAATTCAACGGATTGGCAGGTCAACCTGTCCAACAAAGCCTCATCTCTAGACTATTGTTGCAAAAGCATGGAAAAAAGTTGAATCAAGCAAGAAAAAACAAGCCAGCCCAAAAATGGAGTCTCAAAAGCTTCAAAATGATTTATCTCCCAAAATGGATGGTTTCAGATCCTTTATATGACCATCAATTTGGTGTGCACTTTGGCCAACTCCATTTTGGGCCGCCATAGTCATGTCATGCTGTTTTGCTCAGAATCAGGAAGTGCAGCAGTTTGAAGTAGTCATAGATCAAGAATTTGGCTGGAAGGGAGCCCAGCAGCATCAGCAGCAAACTCACCAGCCCGAAGACCGACGGCACATGGCCAAAGACCACCTGGAGAGCTGTCACCGGAATCTCCAATAGTTGATGATCCATTCAAGTGAGGGTCCGACTAAATGGAAGTTTCCTGAAATAATGGGGTACCCCATTTCATCATCCATGTTTATACGATTTTCCATAATAAACCATCCATAAATGGGGTACCCCCATGACTACGGAAAAACCCAAATGAGTTCAGGATCATCCGCGCAAACAATGATAAGTCCAGAATCGTATCTATCGATGGTTCCCGCCAATATGGCCGTCAAGTATTGGCCAGCCAGGTTGAAAGATATTGGGGTTCCCAACTGCCACAAAATCCACTGAATGCTGGGTTTCATATACCCACCAATGGGAATTATCATCACATGGATGTTGGATGGAAAATAAAACGTATATTTGTTCAAACAACTAAACCCATAATCCCACAATATCAACAATAGTATCCTCATCAACTATATCCTATATCCCCATTGCATCCAGGTTTATATCCCACTAAATCACATCCTTCAAATCACCAAAAATCGCAGTCAAAAAAAAAACGATTGTTCCCACCTCCGCCCCGAGCTTCTGGAACACCAGCACCAAATGAGCCAAGCCCATCACCAGCGTCATCAGCCCCAAAGTGGCGTGGATGCGCCAGGCAGCTTCTCGAGACATCTGCACCAGCTCGTGGAAGCCGAATTTGTAGAAGGCAAAGAGCAAGGTGAGAAACATGGCCTCGCATAGTGTGGTAAATCGGTAAATCTACAGGAAATCCACGATTGGGGACATCAAAATTCCATGGGGTGATGTTGCGAAAATCTATGGGAAACCATGTTTTCTACCCCCGAATGAATATAGAGCTTTCCTCTAAACTTTCCCTTGAACCAATTCTGGAAGTAAAGCAAACATATTGCTTAAATGTTCTGGGAGTGCAGTGTATCCAAGACTAGGAAGGAAGTGGGGATACAATGAGATGATGAGCATATTTTCCTCGACAAACTGACTCGTTTGGATTGTTCATACCATCCTGCTAGGATCTTGGGTGATTTGTTGGACAGTTCTCCCATAAAGGGGTTAGCTAGCATGATCAGCAGGTGTCACAGCTATCCCAAGTTGTGTTGTGCGAGATAGCTGCCTTGTAGCCAGTCTTCCAACTCGCTACAGTATGTGGTGTGGTCATCATAGTATATGTCGTTTCCACCCATGTATAGTGCTCGATTTATTCGCATGGCATAAGTCAAACAAATGTATATATACATGCATACAATACGTCTGATTCTATCATACCAATATATCATATCATATAGTACGTATATATGGGTGTGTTTTGCTGCACGTGCTCGGTGTTTTGTTCAAAATTCAATATCGCGGCTGGGATGTTTTTTTTCAAGCACGCGCTTTTGGTCATTCTAAGTTTCAGACCGCTGCAATATATGGCAGTGTGTCAAAACCTTGTACCCCTGGTGAACATCAAAATAGTTGGTAAATGGACGTTCATCCCCCTAAAAATGGTATTAATAGGTATTGACCCACCCCCATATACTACAATTACCAGATTTGGGTTCATGAATTTTGTGAACTTCCATGAACATCCAAGGGACCATGCCGCTGGCGTGTCCGGTGCTGTTCACGTAGCCGGTCTCGGTGGCAAAGATGCCAATCAGCAGCACAGTGACCAAAGTGGCCAACATGCCTGAAATGGGATGGTCAACCATGGCGAATGGGGATAGAATGGGGACACCAACTGATATATAGATTAAAATATGATTAGATTACATAGGATTATATAGATAGGATTAGATAGGATTAATAGATAGGATCGATAGCTCAATAGCTAGCTAGATAGATAGATAGATAGATAGATCGAGAAGCTATGTAGGTAGGTAGGTAGGTAGGTAGATAGCAGGATAGTGATAGAGTAGCATATCGGTTTGTCTGAAAATAGGGACCTCCAAATTCAGTGATCTATCATCATTACTAAATAGCTATTTGGGGGTAAATCCACCATTTTACAGACACTCCCATACGCAATCAACGTGTCTTTTTATTTTTGGTGTCTCAAAATGGGGGATAGCGGGCCCCCAAATGGATCCAAATGGTTTGGCCGGTGCAATGCGATCATGTCATTGTTGGAGATGGAAGAAAGAACATATGAACGGAAACACCACAATTCTTTGGCTACATCTATATGCATTGCTGGGTCTAGCAAATGTTTCTTTTGAATTCTTTTGATAGGTTTAAGTGTTAAACCGAGTTAAACCCTTGTATGTTTCAACATTCTGAAACCACCCATCAACATCTGCATGTTCACCGCCTGCAAGACTCGCCAGCGACCAGTTTTCCACTCGGGCCACCAAGCATACTTTCGACACCGGACACCTCTCGGAAGACCACAGCAGTCCCAGGAGAATGCCCAGCAAGGCAACCAGTGGGACACAGGCGAAGCCCACCAAGATCAACCAATCCATCAGGACACGACAACGGGAGGATCCCTTCGTTGAGTTTCTTCAGAACCAATTTCATGTCTCCCTTAGAGGAGGGAACTGTATCATGCCCAATGATGGGAAATTGAGAGTTTTAGATGTGCCTGATTTGCAACCGGGCTACGTCTAGCATGGATACATAGAAATACCCCTAGCAGTTTGATCAGATGTTCCAGTGACCTTAGATCGGGGTACATCCCAGTCCCCATTTGCGCATTGTCGGGATCATCCCAGCACGCTGGAGCAATCACTGATACGGAGACTTTCAGAATAATATGAGTCATTACTGCATCCCAAAAAATCCCCAAATATGAGAGATTTTAGCAAAACCCAGCCAAACTCTGTTTTTTCCTATTTTGGGGAGTTCCTATGCTTATCCCATTTTTAGGGACAAAAATGCCAAAAACGATGAACCACAATCGAAACCACCAACCAGAGATGAAGGCAACTTAGAACAAGCAGCAGTCAAACAAGGGGATGTCAACCGACAAAACGCGGGATTGAACCAACAAGAAAAGGGTGAACCCGGGTGGGCCTGAGGCTTTCTCAATGCGTGAATCTCCACCACTTGCGGCAATCCCGGGTGTGTCTGAAAATTGTGGATTTACCCCGCAGTTATGGTCATCATAGAGAAAATTACGATTAAGCCAGTGGATGGAATAGGGTATCCCCTATTTTCAGACAACCCAAATAGGTGGCAAGCCATGGTTTCGTCAAGATGTAAACTTCAACTAGCCCAGTGACGTTCCAAAACAAACACTGGTCTGGTCCATTGTCTGGAACACTGCGCACATTTACTGAACAAGCAGGTCCCGTGACACTAAGATGATTCAAAAGCAGCTATGCCCGCCTTCTGGTGCAAGATTTGATGGCCACCTGAAAGTGTTCCCAAGCAGTATGTGTATAATATATACGTATATGTGTGTATACATTGTGAATGTAGATGCGTGCATATAATGTGTATATGTACATACAATATTATCCAAATATATACATATATAAATGTTTATTTTTAATATACATACACGTATACACAAATGCATACATGTGTGCATATATATATAATCATACTTACATACCAGTAAACATTGAAACTGCATCATCTATCCAAATACATAAAGTGTGGTCATATGTCTGTTTACATGTACCGGAAAAGAACATGTTCCGGGTTGCTCCTTTTCCATGTCATAGGAGTCTTTGCCTTCCTTCCTCTAAAAACTACTACAGGCCCATGTTTGCAAGTTTATCCTCATGTTCGTGGGCAACATATCATGTTTTTTGCAGAATCGATCAATCCCTATGTCTAAAAACACAAACATTAAACCGTCATGGTTGCAGATTAAATCATTAATAATCACTTCAATCTGATCTGCAAATATGAAGATGTATCACTAATTTGCTAATATTAAGAAAATTGATGAAAATTGCAATATCCAAATATTAATCCTTATGTTTAGGTCTTACGAAAAAGGTCATGAAGTCAGATCATCAGAATCGCTAATCTACTAATATCATCACACTTGATAAAAACATAATCATCTGATGATTTGTGATGTTTTATAGTGTTTTATCATGTTTTATCTGATCATATAAAACACTAATATCATCACAAGTCATCACTAATTTCCCGTTTTTTCTCGGTTTCTTCACGTAAGCATTGCTTAGATCATCCCCGTCACCCCTCGCCGACCTCGCCGGCCTCGTCACGGTCGGCGCCGGCCGGCGGCGTTGCCAATTGGCAAAATTGGCTTCCATAAAGGGGTGCTGTAGTATATTTATATGATTGAGAATGGTTGATGATGATGATGATGATGATGGTGATGATGATGATGATCATGATGATCATGATGATGATGATGGTGGTGATGATGATTAATCATGATGATGATGATGGTGATGATGATTAATAATGATGATGATGGTGATGATGATGATGATGATGATGATGATGGTGATGATGATGATGATGATGGTGATGATGATGATGGTGATGATCATGATGATGATGATGGTGGTGATGATGGTGATGATGGTGATGATGGTGATGATGATTAATCATGGTGATGATGATGATGATGATGGTGATGATGATGATGGTGATGATGATGATGATGATGGTGATGATGATGATGATGATGATGATGGTGATGGTGATGATGATGATTAATCATGATGATGATGATGGTGATGATGATTAATCATGACTAATCATGACTAATCATGATGATGATGGTGATGATGATTAATCATGATGATGATGGTGATGATGATTAATCATGATGATGATGGTGATGATGATTAATCATGATGATGATTAACAATGGTGAATAGTTGTGAATCATGGCTGCTAATGATAATTAATTAATGGTGATAAATGATGATTGCTCTCTGGTAATCAAACGTGGCTAGCTGGAAAATCCTCTATAAATGGAGGTTTATAGCTGTGAAAATCAACTATAAATGGGGGATGTCCAATTGCTACTAGTATGTTTGAGTGCCGGAGGCTAAGTTTGAGTATTCATTCATACGCTTTGATAAAATACTATCACTATCCATATGTTCCATAATTTTGAGCCATCCACAAATGTTGTCATTTAATGATTGATAAAGGCCAAATTAAATTGATCTGCAGGGTGAGTGATTTGAAACACATTTAACTGATAAGGTTTCGAATGTCTGTGTATCATGAGAAGGTTTGCCTCCAATCACATGATTAATGCTATCGCTCAACTGCCCATTTATCAAATGGTGCTATGCTTGTGGACACTAACCCCTGTTCGAGAGTCAATACAACCACGATTAATATCCATGTTCAAATGCAATCAATGTGTGGTTGCGTGTGCAAGACTATTTATTGACATGGTAATTTACCCTCCAAGTTTGTTTTGGTAGGGTACCCAATTTCAACCGATTAAAGAGCAAAAATGATCCTTATGTAACCATCTAAAATCATCTAATTGACATACATCTTTGGTGGTAATATGTAAGTAGGATAGGAACCAGGGTTGGGCCTAGGGTCCAGGGTTGGTTTACACGGTTTAAACATTTTTTGTTTAAACGATGTTTAACCGATAATGCTTAAAGCTGAAACCAATCCGGGGTAGTAGGGGGCCCAACCGCATGAGACTATGCGCACTTGCAGAATCAAGCACTGATAAATCTGCTAGTGACATCGCCCTGGTGCTTCTTTCTTGCTCACCCGTTCTTCTTATTACATGTGAGTCTTCCCGGCCGCCAACTTTCAAATGTGGAAATCTGTTTAAATTTGTTTGAACACGTTTTAACATGCTTTACACGTCAAAGTAAGGTCACAAGATCCGGCCGCTCCAATGAATATATTTAAACAGTTCTAACATAACATATGGACTGGAGCTTTAAACGTGTTTAAACAGTTTTATGTTTAAATGGTTTAATGTTTTAACTTGTTTGGAACGACCCTGAAAGGAACACTCCAATTGACCCGAAACCCTCTTACCCGATACCCTTAAAGACCACAAATGTCGCACAGGAAAGTGATCTGCAAATAGCGGAGTTTCCAGCTGGCCGGGTTTCTTCCTAGGTACTAGTGCATCAAGCAGCTGGGCCATCAATCTGAGCGAAGTTTTTTAGCTGGTGAACTGGCCACATCATCGAATGCTTGGGGTACCCGATGTTGACCCTGTGCATTGTGGGATTTCTGAAATTGCGGAACCGCAAGTTCTCATCCAACTATTCCAACTCATGATTCATGTTTACTAGGAAATCCAACATAGAAGGAAACCCACTAACATAGCTATCATTTTACAGCACTCAAGGTTTCCTACATAGAAGGAAGCCCACTAACATAGCTATCATTTTACAGAAATCCCAATCAATCAACCGTCAACCATCATTGAACAGTTGAATCCGCATTCAAGATGGTGGTAAAATCATGTTAAAAGCTATGGCCAATGGACAAAGCCTCTTTCAAAAGCCTGTTCACCTCCCGTAATCAAACATGGCTAAAAGAACATCCACTTGCTTCGATGATTTTCCCAGCTATAATTAAGCCTCCATTTTTCCATTCAATTTCCCATACCCTCTGGTAATTTAACATAGCTATTGAAAATCACCATTTTTCATGGGAAAATCCACTATACATAGCCATTTTCCATAGCAAAATGTTAGTTCACCAGAGGGTAGATTTTCCCTGTTCCATGGCTTTCCATGGTTTCTGGGGGCTTTCCCAGCCACGTCGCATGGTATCCCAGCCACGCATTTTTTGGGCGCTCCACATCGCCGAGCTCCGCTCCGCGGCGGCCAGATCCGGCGCCTGGCCGTGGGACGTGGGACGGCAGTTCCCCAAGAAAAACGACGATTGATGATGAATTAATAGTGGTTAATAGTGATTTATATGTGATTTATATGTGATTTATATGTGATTTATATGTGAGTTATATGTGATTTATATGTGAGTTATATGTGATTTATATGTGATTTATATGTGATTTATATGTGATTAATGGTGACTAATGGTGATTTATATGTTTATATGTGATTAATGGTGATTTATATGTGATTCATGGTGATTTGAAAGTGATTTATATTCATGGGTTGTTATTCAACCAAAAGAAATAGGTGAAATCACCATGGATTGTGGACGATTTCACCGGAGAAGTGAATCATGGGGGTACCCCTAGTTCTCATCCATTTTTGTTTGAGGTTTTCCATTGTAAACATGTATAAACCATTTATTTTAAGGGGTACCCCCATTTATGGAAACCTCCATAAACCTCCGGGTTAACAATCCAGAATGGGCCCAATATGGCCCAATGGAGGCGTTCCCAATCGATTGTTCAATGGTAAGCTCCAGGAGTTTCAGCTGCCTTCTTGGCAAGCCATTCTGTGACATCAGCGTCAGCCCTTGGTCCAAGTTGCCAGGAGCGATGGACGGTCCCCAAGTCTCTAAGTTCATTTTCTTGGGATATCAGATTTAAGTGAAATTAGCTGGGATGATAAGTGGGATGATAAGTTTGATAAGCCATTCATACTTGAGACTTCAGGATTTCAAACATAGAAATCCAAAAGTCGGCCTAGTTACCAGAAAAGTCTTCCAAGTGTGGAAATGGGCGAAACCAACGGACTCGCCGAAGGACCCCGGCAGGCAGGCAGGCAGGCAGGCACTTCTATTAGTGTCGCACACCGCCATGGTTTCCTGTCAATCGTTCCTTCAACCAATTCTGAGAAAAATCCCTGATCTCATTTCTCAGCTTACTGAACTGGCATAGAAAGGAATGAAATGACATAAAATGATCAAATAGATCAATATCGAAGTGAAATAATATATGGCATATGATCTCCAGTGATCTACACCCAGAGTCTCCCATTTATGACGACCTTCCCTCTGCCGACCTTCGCCTTGACGGCCAAGGCTCCCTAAGAGCTGCAATTCTTTGTACACCAGCGGCACGTGTTCCTGCGCTAGAAACCTCGGTTCCAATGGACCATTTCCCCGCCCCCGATGGCTGCGATGCATTGGAGGGATCATGGGATTTGGGGATCTTCTACATCGGATTCAATGGGATATAACATGATTATACATTACATAATATATATATATATATATGTATATGTATATATATATGCGGTAACGACATTTAAATATAAGGACTTCTAAATATACGAACAGGTATTTCATACTACCTCCGGGGCCTCGCGTTCTGGCCCGCCCTCCACATATTTAAATGTCGTTACCGTATAACTAATCAACCATATGATACGCTGAGCGGTCTGACTGAAAACGAGAATTTAGCCCCAAATAGCCACTTGATGTCACTTGACTCGGGAAAATGATGATACGATTCTGGGGTGCCCTATCTTTGTTATCTTGGGACCTTGACCCAGACATGTCAATGGCTGGTCATTCTTAGGAGCTGAAACAGACATTCTTTGTTGGGGGTTACCCTCCAGTATATTAACTTAGACCCTGAAAATAGTCAAAAAAATAGTGGAAACTAATGTGTCCACCCCTTTTTTGGCAGGGGCTATGTTGGTTTAGTGAAGGGTATTATGTTTAGCCAACTCAGCTACATTCATATGGTCTTCCCACAGTTGGATCTGTTTCTCCGAAACTGGTGAAGTTTCCCAGAAAATGGGATCCGTTCCGCGAGTATGGCACAAGTGGTTCCCAAAATCCATGGAAAATAGAAACGCACACTGGAATCATTAGGATTACCTATATTAGGATGCATTGGAATAGTATGTGAAACCTAGTTCATCCAGTCAGTTTCTACAAGCCAACCCAGATTGAACACCATGTTGGGATGATTTCCATTACCGTCATGGGTTTTGGTGGTGAGGCCACCACCATGAGATTCATGATGATTCAGTTTATATACCAGTCTTATCTTGGTTGTATAATAAGTGATAGTAACTACAGCAGTTTTTCTTAGAAACTTAGAGCCTTATCTCAAATATCAAGTCTTCAAGATGGTTTCCCAAGCATATCCCCAGTGAAGTCCCCTTGTTTCCCAGTAAAATCACCTTTTTTTTCATTTTTCATGGCTTTTTCCATGGTTTTTCCATGGTTTTTCCATTTTCCATGGCGTTTTCCATGGTTTTTCCATGGTTTTCCCATGAATCCGCCCTTCATTCCATCGCGAACTCTCGTCGTTTTCTCGGTGACGAGGCGCTGCGCGCTGATGGACAGCACCCGATCCTCAAAGCTCAGCTGATGCCACCAGCCAGGAGGCACCACCAGCACCTGGCGAGTACCACTTTAAGGTCTATGGGTTATGGAATATTACTAGTATTTATACATATATATATATATCTATAGTATTTAATGTAATATACTATAGTGTAATATATCTATTGGAATATACTATAGTGTTAATACATAGTATTTATCATGATATATGATATATGATATATATATATATGATATATGATATATGGTGCTGATATGGGTGTTAATTATATAAAACACCAATATATATATATATATACACATACATGTATGTGTATATGTGTTCATTTATAAATAACCAAAGGAGAAATATTGATGGACATGTAAATGGGATATAACTAACCAACTTGATATGGCATCTCGCTTTGTCTGAAATTCCAGTGGATTATCATCTGGTGAAGAAAATGGAGATTTACCCTCTGGCTATTTAACATACCCTCTGGTGAACTAACATAGCAATGGAAAATCACCATTCTTAATGGGAAAATCCACTATACATAGCCATTTTCCATAGCAAAATGTTAGTTCACCAGAGGGTAGACCCTGAAAACTGCCAATGTTTCGTGGTTTCACTCATCTTCCAGGCGCCCCCTTGCTTTATGGCAGGGTCTCTGTGAAAATCTGGCGGAGTGTTTTTCCATCCAAAGAAAGATCAAACGCTTGGATTCAACATGATTTACCCTCTGGTGAACTGTCCCATAACTATGGAAAATGGCTATGTATAGTGGATTTTCCCATTAAGAATGGTGATTTTCCATTGCTATGTTAGTTCACCAGAGGGTAACATAACTATGGAAAGATCCACCAAATTTCATGGGAAAAACCACTATTTCTATGGCCATGTTCAATAGCTATGTTTGACATAACCAGAGGGTAACCGGGGAGTTCGGAACCAACAAACATGGGGATAGAATCATCAGAAAGTGGAAAAACTGACACGGAAGAGTGGCATAAATCTCCGAAACGTGGCACCCTGAAGAATGATGTTCCTGCCACAAAACAACGATCGCCAACAGACTTGGGATTCACCAACAAGAATCTGGCTGACCCTTGGCTAGCCGGCTGCTACTACCCTTTTCTCCACGAATTCCGCCAGGAGTTTCAGGTGTGGTGTGGTTGTTTCATGTTGTTTCTGGGTTATCTTCAGACTTTGCTTGGTCCATCAACCAAATCTCCGTGGTTGTGAGTTGTGACGCTAGGAAGCAACAACGATACGTTCAAGAATAGCACGATCTGAAGAAGCCTTCGAGAACTCTGTGACTAATTGTCAGATAGCACAATTGAGAGAACATGCTGGGGGGCCTTTGGATCTATCAGCATTTACTCCATCTAAAACTATATGCAGGGATTTCCAAAGTGTCCAAATGTATGTACAAAAAATCGGTTCTGTCTGAAAAGATCTACTCCCTCTTCAACTAACGTGCCAATCGAAGCCCTCCAAGTTCAGCCAGAAAACCAGCACGCGAAAACAATGAATTTTCCCAGCCAGTCTTCTCTCTCTATCCAGCAAACGAGTCGTATCTTTTACATACATAAAACTTGGTCCGTTTAATTAATGTTGCTTCATGTATGTTTAATCTCTATTTGAACACTTCCCCCATCAATGGCAAAGAAAAAATCAGTTGTTTAACCTATCCTACCAGTACCATCATTGTTTGGTTATGATCAACAAAAAATACACATATTTACATATTACATGTGTAATATCTGTATAGATAAAGATTGAATATATATATATATATACGTACACATATCTAGATAGATAATCCATATATGCGAACGCCTTTCCCCACCCTGCAGTTGCTTTACCCATAAAACATGCGGCATCTCGCCTCGCCCATTTCCTGGGTGATGGAAAGGCAATCAGGATGCGCGGTGACGCCATCCTCCTGGGTCTACCAAAGGATTAAATGAAAACCCATGGGATTATATTCTATATCATTATCATAATATTATCATTATATATATATATACAATATTGTATATTATAACCCCAAACCTCGATCCCTGGGTCTATGTCATTATAGAATATTATAGAATACTATAGAATATTATAGAATATCATAGAATATTATTATATAGACCCATACCATACACCTTTACTTCCATTTTAATTGTGCTATGTATGGAAAATGATGGGTATGGTTCTACCATGTTCTACCAACCCCCGAACTGACAGTTCGACCATGAGAGTCACCGCTTTTTATGTAGAGGAATGTAGCCTTTCAACCCCCAACTCATGAGAGGGGATGGTAGGGGCTTTTCCATATTTATCTTAACTCATACTGGAGGCTAGATCACGTCACCCTCTGGTAATTTGACGCAGCTATGGAAAATCACCAAAATATATAGATAAATCAGCATATATCACCTAAAATTGGCAATTTTCCATAGTTATATTAAATAGTGTTAAATAACCAGAGGGCAAGTTCCCCCCAAAAAATGGGCGCTTGACTTCTCCCATCTGAAATCCCTCCTGGGACGTCTGCTCGCCCCAGCAGCTTTGGCTGTGCGATGTTGTTCCATCCGGCGGCAGAAAAACCCAACGAACTCGACCTGGCCCACGCCCCGTTGTGGATGATCCTACTTAGGATCTCAATGGTCTCCTAAGGTCTCCTGTTTCCTGAGATGCTTTACTGAGTCTACTTCATATGTTAGTTATGTGTACAGAGAATATCAATACACATCATATATCATCATACATCCATATATATATATATCCATATATATATACAATACAGTATATCCTCAGACATATGCCAGCGATGTGGAGGTAAACTCGACTATGACCATCTCCTATCTTTAATTCACCATCCCAGCACTGGGAATTTCCAACCAAAAAGGCTGTATAAATTTCGATAAAGGACATATTTCAGACTGGAAACATGTCCATGATACCTGGAGCATACCCTTTACAATTCTGAACGGAGCGCGGCTAAACTTTATGAATTTAGCTCTTCGGAGACATTCGAAACGTGATGATTCGGGGCACCATGGCGAAGCAGAAGTACAGTAGATATCTGCCGTCCCTTGACGTTGATCCCAAATTTGTCTGAATAAAACTTGTTTAATGACATGGACATGATGGACATGGATCAAATTTTCTCCCAACCCATCACTACGCATTGAACCTTACAATCTGGACCCAGATCCAAATCGCAGCTTGGAGAATGTCCGGGGAAACAAAGCCGGGAGATGATTTCAAAAGGACCATGGGCCAAAACACCAGAATTCTTCAAAACAATTTTGGAAGGTCATCCACCAACGACTACCAGTTCCCTCTGCTAATCTAAGCAATGGGAATTCCCACTTGCGGATGCTATTTCCAGCGAAATCATGCAAAACCCTTGTTGTTCGAAGACGGGGAAATCAGGTAGGAACATGATCTATAGTCTGTGGTCCACATACAGTAGATGTAAAGTGATGCGGGTTAGTCTGAAAATTGGCTACCCCCAAGCCAATGGATTACTGTATCATCATGAAATGTTCCCTTTCTTAAAGTTGCTATTTGGGGATATCCCCCATTTTCAGAACCGATAAAAGTAATGGATTTCCCATAAAACTCGCGCCAGCTGGCCTAGGACCAGCATGTGCCAGGTGCCAGCCACCACAGGATCTTTCTTCCTGAAGCTGCCAAGACCGACACGGCAGTTGAGTTGATCCAATCTGCTTGACTCGTCTAATGATTGGAGTTTCTTTCGGGATTTGGTTCCAATCCAGTAGTAAATAATTACTTGACATCATGGCAACTCATGCTCAACATTGCTCAACCATGATACCGAAAATCTGGACTTGAACTAGGATAAGCTTCGGTGGTATCCCGTGGTATCCCCAACAGCCGCAAAATTTTATTTTTACAAATCTTTCTGAAGCGTGCTGGGAAGCCAAGCGCTGGAAACACCTCAGCTGGGTTTGCGTGAGTTAAATGAACCTGACCTGGTTTGGCTTCTGCAACCTTCTCCGGAACCCGTTGAACCTGACTTGGCTTTCCACCAAGGCTTCCTGGAACCCTTCTCCGGAACCTTCTCCGGAGCCCCGTTGAACCTGACCTGGCTCTGCAACAAAGCGTCCAGACCTTCTCCGGAACCTTCTCCGAAACCCTGTTGAACCTGAAAGCCTCCCGGAACCTTCTCCAAAACCAAAGCCTCCCACATCTTCTCCGGAACCTTCTCGGGAACCTTCTCCGGAACCCTGTTGAACCTGACCTGGCTCTGTGCCAAAGCACCCCAGACCTTCTCCGGAACCTTCGGAACCTTCTCCGGAACCCTGTTGAACTTGATTCTGCACCAAAGCCTCCCGGAACCTTCTGTTGAACCTGACTTGGCTTTGCGCCAAGGCTTCCCATAACCTTCACCGGAACCTTCTCCGGAACCCTGTTGAACCTGACCTGGTGCATTTCCGAAGCCTTCTCCAGAACCTTCTCCAGAACCCTGTTGAACCTGACCTGGCTCTGCACCAAAGCCTCAAGTCAGGTTCAACAAATTTCCGGAGAAGGTTCCGGAGACGGTCGAAGGCTTCCTGGAACCTTCTCCAGAACCCTGTTGAACCTGACCGGGCTCTGCACCAAAGCCTCCCGGAACCTTCTCCGGAACCTTCTCGGGAACCTTCTCCGGAACCCTGTTGAACCTGACCTGGCTCTGCACCAAAGCACCCCAGACCTTCTCCGGAACCTTCGGAACCTTCTCCAGAACCTCGTTGAACCTGACCCGGCGCCTGCACCAGCGCACACCGGAGCTATTCTGGGCTGAAGACCCCATTAGCTTACGCTGTTGGGGAAAAAAGAATGTGTGTTTTTGCAGTAAAAAGGGATTTATTCCACAGAAATGTTCATGTGACGCAAGAAAAAGGGGCCAAGTCCCCATCTTTGACCACTCACTCAAAATTGAGATCTTGAACCATAAATACTGGAGAGATCTCCAGGAGTTATAGGCAGCAGAATTGGTGATCTTTACAATCGGGTAATCAAACATGGCACTGGAAACTCAACCATTGATAGTTGAGTGTCTCATTCGAAGCTCCGTTTTTTCGTGGATCTTCCAGCCAGGTGGTAATCAAACGGGACATGAATCATTAGCAGGTCCTATCACTATCCCATTATCATCCCTATTAAAACCAACAGGTAGATGATAAGAAATTGTGATTTATATCCCATCATTATTATCCCATTATTGTCACCATTTATTCTCATCACTAACTATCATCTACCTATATATTGGTTTTATCATATATTATCCCAGAGTGTATATAATATATATATATACTGTGTAGATATATATATATATATGTTATATATATATGTGTATATATATATATATCATACATAGTTTTATTGCACCTACATATATATATATGTGTCCCATATGTGTCATTCCATATCCCATTCTATGTCCCATGATTGTCCCGTTTATCCATTTATTGTCCTATGTATATTCCGTATAGTCCATTTTGTTTAATCCTGTCTATGTGTCATCTATATCCCATTATCCTATCAAACTACTCTCTGGTATATAATTCAACATAGCGAACTGGAAAATCACCATTGTTAAAACGGTAAATCATCGAACTAAATGGTCCATGATCAAGTTTGCAAACTGTTAGTTTGCCAAAGGGTATATGTCCCCTAATATTGCCATCATTTTCCCTGTTAGATTCCCATATTATTACACCCAGTTAGACTGATAAATCCCATGAAACCCTTTAATTATATATTTCCCATAAATCCCATTATAATTGCCAAAAATTCCATCAAATTGACAAAATGTTCCAGTTCAAGGCTTCCCATCGACCAAGGCTCAATCGCGTGGCAGCTCCCTGGCCCCCCACCTGTAACCAGCGACGCCCCGACAGCGCCAGGGAGGGCAGCTGAAACTCAACACCTCCCGGCCCCGGTCCAGGCGCATCAAATCAAGTAGGGAACGATAGGAGAGGTGTTAAACGATGTGAAATGATGTTTAAATGATGTGAAATGATGTTAAATGTTTTTAGTGACTCGAAATCCACGTAAAACGGTTGCTTTTGAATAGATTTTAATAGGTTGATCCCCATTTTTTCTGGGGTAGATACCCCAGGCCCCAGGATTGGGGTACAGCGTGTGTAGTGACCCCCAAAAAGACTCAGAAAAGTTTCGCTTTACCAGTCATTTTTAGTATGATCTTGTTGAAATCAATCTTTTTTGGGAGTGCTATAGTTGACTCATATTTTATCATATTTTCCCGGGGTTGAAACATGTGGAAACCACAAGCCAGTCTTGACTTGGAGTTAGGAATTGGTACTTCAAATCAACCAAAAAACCATGAAAACCATTCCCGATTTGGCCAGAAATAAATATAACAAACCATCACGGGAGGCTTGTAATGTTGGGTTTACTAGATGAATTAACCATCATTACAATGGGCCATTTCATGAAATGAATAATCCGTTCCCTCAACGTTCAAATCTTCCATGATTGCCCCCATTTCCCCACCTGCAGCTGCCAAGCCCTCAGGCACGGCAAGGAGATCCGAAAGCTCAGGGTGGTCCAGCAGGCGGTCAGACATCATGAAGTAGGCCGCCCCACCTTCGCTGCGCTGCAGCTGTTGGATATACTGCGCCAAGGGGGCCGCCAAAGTTTCAGCCGAAGCCGTCCTGGAGGGGTGAACATTTTGGAACTATGGGGAGCTATAATGGGTAGATATGAAACGATAGCATGCAATAGCTCCAAATGATTTCATCTCAATAGAGATGCTGAACCTTCCGTCCAACCCCCCTTCCCTTTCCCATATTTCCACCCTCCAGTCCGTTGCACTTCGTAGGTCACAACCTCCCTACCGCAGGCCATCATCAGTCGCGGCATGAAATCCAGGATCCTCTGCCCACTGAGGCAACTCATGGCCTCTCTCAGCACGAAGGGCCGCTGCGTCGCCAGCCCCTCCGCTGCCACGGTCACTGTGGTCAGCACAGGAGGCACCGTGCTGGGGATGGGCGAAACAAGGTTCAGCTGCTGCAAGAGTGAAGAGAGATGCTGCACCTGGAAGTTTGTAAAGGGCTAGGACCCCATGCAACTAGGATAGTTGATGACTATTGGGGATTGCAATTGTAAGTGGTGCAATGATAGCCAAAATATACGAAAAAATCTACCTTTGCCATTTCCAGATCATCAAGTGTGGTATCCCGGCAGCTGTGTTTTATCCCACCCCCAATAACAAACACCCTAAGAAACGATACCAAAATGAACAGGTCCAACACATTCAATTACAGTACTAACCCGATTTTATCCCCCTTTTTGGATCTTTTTGCGGCAGAGAGTTTATACCTCCAAAGCGGAGTTTTGCATTGTGGGACATGTTATGATTTACACTTCATAAATGATCGTGTTTTACATACTGTACATGAGTTTGTCCGAATAGAGGAACACCTCGAAGCTCCAAATCCAATGGTTTCACACCTCGTTTTTCACCTTTGAAATGTCCATGATTGATGAAGGAGATCCCCAAAATCTTATTCCCCTTCGGCTGAACCTGCAGCTGCAGTGGACTCTGCGCATTTTGCGCTTCTACTGCAAGGTCTTTCACCTGTAGAAACCAAGCGTTCTTGCAGGGATCTACCAGGATATTCACCGACAACACACACATATATATATACATATATACACGTATAATAATAATAACAATAAAAATAATAATAATATATATATATGCATTACATACATATATATATATATATATTTGCATGTGTATATATATATACGTACGTACAATAATGCATATTATGTAAATCAAACACAGAAACAAATGGGGAGTGAACACCAGAAATGGTGACCGCAACCGATACACGTCGTGGCAGTTTCACAGGTCAATACAGTGACCGGGTCCATGAACTCCTCACAATTCCTGGTCTCGGTAAAGATGACACGAGTAAAATGGGGCTTAATACAGGAAGGCCCAAGTCACACCCTCTCGTAAATTAACATAGACCCTGCAAATGGCCAGTATTTAATTTAGTGAAAACTAATCTTCCAACCCTTTGGCAGGGTCTATCTTAGCTGGATGGTAAGTTGGTTTAGAACCCCATCTTACTACAGATATATCTACCATAAATCCTACAGTAGTTAGCGTCGCCTTAAATCAACACACATGTCTAGGGGGCCCGACCAACAAATGGGGATTGCGAGACGGAAATCCCTTCCACCGTCAGGACTGGCGAATTGGCAAATTCCATCATCTATGTCCTACTATGTCCAAATAGTAAATATCCAACCCAGATAGTAATTCCAATGTTACATAGCTATTATGTCCAAATAGTAAATAGTACATGAACATGATCAAGAATACACAATCATTCATCCGCTTGGAGGCCGCTGTGTTCCAATGAAAAGGTTGAACGGCAAAGATTAGAGAAAACAATCTATTCAGCCAAGGGGCACAATATTTATACATCCATGCAAAATAGTTATATATATTCTCCATATGTTTGTCATCTTTCACCAAATGAAAGGTGACAATACATCAATATACAGTGTATATATATACCATAATATCATCCCTAAGGAAAGAACATCACGACTCCCACCTCTTTATGCAAACTGTCCGACACAAATAGGTTTGTCAGTCAACTATCAACCAACACTGCGGTTATAAACCAGTATAATTGACCAACTGATCAACATTGAGCCGCCAAGATATAGGCAACTAGCAACCTAGTTATAGTATCTTATAGACCAACTATAAGTATAACTAACTGGTCAAGAGATAGGATTCCGATGATGTTTGTGTGGTACGGTGAAACATCCCATGTTTGGTGGAAACGGCGTAGTTAAATCAACTGATCAACCAAGACAATAAAACATCAACTATCAACCAAGTGATGTTTTACGTCAACTATCAACCGAAACATGGTTTAAGCAAGATATATAACTTACCAGCTGATCAAGAAGTACCTCTGAACGCAAGAAAATCAATCATCAACTATCATCAACTATCATCAACTATCATCAACTATCATCAATTATCATCAACTATCATCAACTATCATCAAATATCATAAACTATCATCAACTATCATCAACTATCATCAACTATCATCAACTATCATCAACTATCATCAACTATCAACCAAAACTGGGGGTTTTATATAAACCAAATCAAATAACCAAAGTTGATCCACCAAGAGAGCGCCTCCTTCATCAACTCCTCCAACTTCCTCCGTTGCCCTTGGCTCATCACCACGGCAACGCCGCCGCCGTCGCCCGCGCTGCGGTTGGCGGCGCCCAAGGCGTCGCCGCCGTCGGCGGCGAGGCGCCAGAGGCGCTGCGCCTCCGACAGATCGGCGGGGCCGCAAAAGCCTCAAGCGGAGAGCGGGGCAGGGGAAATGGGTGATGTACCCAATGTATCCTGTAAAAAATGGGGATGTCATGAAGATCAGAAGAATCAGAAGAATATTGATATAAATAAGAATCAGAAGAATCCATAACAAGATGTAAGAATAGTCACAATAATGACAATCACTATCATAATAACACACATGTTAATAGTTATTATGATGGTGATCATCATCATCATCAACAACATCATTATCATATCATATAATCTACTATACTTTTCCCGGTAAGAATTAGGATAATTAGGTGATTCCACAAGAATTTGGTGAGTTACGGTATTTGACACAGTAATTCCCTGTTAAAAAGAAAGGTGGATTGAAGCAACTGCGGAATGGTGACTTCACCAAGCAAAAGCGAGGGGTTCAACCAAGAACAATGAGCCGTAGGGATTTTACGAACATTCCAAAAGGTTGGGTTTGTGGCGGATATATCGACAGTTGGCAAGAAAATCCAACAAAAACCAACCCTGACAATAGGGTACCCCAGAGAAAATCCACTGGTTCATCAACATCTTCCCATTTAAGTCACCATAAATTGGGGGCTAATTCCTCTTTTTCAGACATACACCAAATCAAGATGTTGGTCAGTTCTATTCCATTCATATCCACATGACTGCCCATAGGTCAACATGATTCTTCCATATCTTCAGCCCCAGCTCATCTCCAGCCCCGGAACCTGCAGCCAGCAGCACTCCGAGGTTGTTCTGCGCCATGCCATAGCCTTGCTCGGCAGCACAGCGCAGCCATTTCATGGCCCCAGCCTTCACCAGCCAGCGGTATCATCCCAAGACCGGCGAAAATGGTCTTAGTCAATACTCAAACCACCAGAAATTAACAATGGATTAACCATAATGAATTGTTAACTAATGGATTAACTAGTAGTAATTAGTAAAAATACGGTCATCAACTAGTAACCAATGGATTAACTAATGGATCATGGATAATCTAGTAGTATGATTAAACATTGGAATGGTTCAAAGCCCGCTTAACAACTAGTTGACAGCTGGAACAGCCCCGTGACCTCGTCCTTGGCACAGTTCTTACCCATCAGCAGATGCATGGCCAAGCGATGTTGCAAGGATGCAGACCCCAGTCGTGCGCCGCGTTCACACCAGCGTAGTGCCTCCGCGGCTGCCGGGTCCCCACCATTGGGGCAGAATGGGTTGCGCGCAACGTTCAACAAGACATACCATAATCACGGTGAAAGTCAAGCTCGGCTTCCGGAATGCCGGAAGATTAGAGAAAATAATGTTGAATATCTATCCTGTCTTCGATCTTGAGGTGCCGATGATGGAAATGGCTCCGAAAATGGTGCTTCTAACTATCCAGAAACCGTTGCCCTGCACGAATGTCCACTCCGGTTCATCTGTGAAAGGATCATGGGAGGTTGATTGGATTCCTATCAAGCAGCTGGCCAACCTCAACCACCAATAATCTATCTAAATGGGTTTGATGCCCCTGACCAAAAAAAAAACATCGTCTATGGCAACTTCGAAAACGTCAAAAATCTCCATTATATCTCCCATGATGGTTAAGCTTCTATTCTATTTACTAGTTGCAGTTAATATTTACCTATGTCAAATATAGATATAGAATATGATATATTTATATTTATATTTATATTAAAAATTTTTATATATTTGTATTTATATTTATATTTATATTTATATATAAATATATATATAAATATAAATATAAATATATATATATATATCATATAATAAGCTATGTATATGTATATATATACATATATGATTGCCACTATATCTCTACTATATTCATCCAGTTCATGTCATATCAATAATTTACGGCACGGTTCTTACCTCTGACAGCTCATTCTCGCGCACGAGGCAAACCACCAAATGCTCAGTGGCCACCAAATCCTCCTGCCAGGTGCTATGTATATAGGTTTTTTGAGTAACAAAAAAGAGGAAATTAATCTACAATAGTTGGGACTTAGCCATAAAACATAAGGAAATCATCGAGATTGTGAAGGAATATGTTGGATTTAACTATCAATCATATTGAACGTAACCAGCTAGTATGGAGATTTGACCAAGAAAAACTGGAAATTGAGCATCAAACATTGGAATTCAACCATCAAAAACGGGGTTGAACCAACAAGAATTAGGATGTGATCAACAATAATATATATAGATTCTACGACATTTTATCAACAAAAGGAATTTAACTACCAAAAAAAGTGGAAATAGCTATCAGAAGTGGAGGGTTATCCAGCAGAAGTAGGAGTTTCGCGAATTGGGAATTGCCATCCGGTCATCTAAACACTACTGGAGGGTGTGTATGATGTGGATGTACCAAAGCGAGACTATACCGTATCACACATGGGCTCAGGATTGATGTTGACAGTTGACCGGTTTGTTTCATTTTGGCAGTTCCATTTTCAGGGAAGCACGCCCAATAAATCCATCAGAGTCTATTTATTGTGGGTTGACATTATGGAGCGACCTATGATGGTTGCATCTCTCTTTGCTGGGATTGAAGTGGCAAAATACTGAGTGCAGGATAGGGGGATTGAACCTGTCAATTAGCTAGCTATCATGTCAAGAATCGTGATGGGGTTGTACTGGAGTGGGAATACAACCAACCCCACTGTGAGACATGAAACAACAATAATTACCCTAGGCCGGATTTCACATATCATTTTCTTGCCCGGAGTTTTTAAAGATAACAAAAAATTCGCCTCTGATTTTCCCACTTTTCTGTCCACAAGAAGACCATATATATTCTGGTTGGTGGTTTCAATCCCTCTGAAAAATATGAAAGCCAGTTGGGATTTTTATTCCCAATATATTGAAAAATAATCCAAATGTTCCAAACCACCAACCAATATGTATATATATATATATATGTGTGTGTGTACACACATGTAAATATAACGTACCCACATGGTGGTTGGTTCATCTCCCAATTTCTGTTGGTACTAAATATCTACATCAGCCACCTCCCATCCAACCATCTCAGCGAAATCTACCGTCATTCGTAACGAACATTAGTTTTGGATTGCATTTCCCTTCCCGGATCCCTTTCAACCACCATTTTGATCCATATCTCTAGGGTCGTGTTGCGAGGTTGCCATCCAACTATCCAACCATCCCCACCTCCTCCGCCGCTCGTCTCAGCCACTTCTGCGCTTCCGCCACGTTGCCCGATCTGTGGAGTCGCTCGGCCAACAGCCGCTGCGAGCGCACGTGGCCCTGCAAGGCCTGAGGCTATATCTATATATATATATACACACAAATATATATATATATATATATAAATATCATTATATATCATCTATGGTTTGTGTGTATATTCGAAGGAAGTTTAGAAGTCAAACTTCCGACAATATGGATAGATGAAAAGCAGAGATGAGAAGAGAAGAGAAGAAGAAAGAAGATCAAACAAGAGAAAGTCTCAGAAGAAAGAAGATCCAGGTGCGCGAAAAGGTAGGAAAGTCGAGAAACTCTCTGTTTTTCCAATGATTTGTGGGCCTGGGGGGTCGAAAAGTAGGCTCGCTAAAGCGGCAGGTGCGGAGCCAGCTGGCCAGATGAGAGATGAAAAAATTGCACGCCGTTGTGGCGCGAAGCACATTTCGAAGTCAAAATGTACAAAACACACCATGTTTGGAACACTTTTGGAAGTTGAGATGTCGAAAAAGTGCACGCCGTTGTGGCGCGAAGCACATTTCGAAGTCAAAATGTACAAAACCCCTCAGTGTCGGACCACTTTTGGAAGTTGAGATGTCGAAAAAGTGCACGCCGTTGTGGCGCGAAGCACATTTCCAAGTCAAAATATTTAAAAAAAATAACCTGCTCGGACCACTTTTGATGGTTCAGATGTAGTTTCGCGTGGCAGGCACAAGGGATTATGCACCTTGTCAAAAGTGAGCAAAAGGTGAGGGTTTTGAAGCAGGTCCTAAAACGATGGCAGGCGTGGGACATATGCAGAGGATCTGCAAAGATACATTTTCCGTGGCAGGCGCAGTACAAGAGACATGTTCATTAGAGATGTTAGGAGGTCCGGGCGCTGATTTCCCGAGAGGGGTTGCATTTTGGAGCATCGGATCTTCAGTTTTGGGAAGATGACTTTGCGTGACAGGTGCAGCACTTCGCATGACCTGGCCTCACTTTTTCGTGGCAGGCGCAATACTTTAGACAGGTGGAGTGGAAAAATCGCAAAACGCATTGGTACGAGGCCGTCAGCTCTGCACTCAACTTTCCATTTTTGAAGGAAGTCTCGCAGAATTGCTTCGTTCTTGATGTTGTCTTGTCAACTTGCAAAATTGAGGAAGTATCGCAGGGTTGCTTCGTTTTTGACGTTGTCAAGGTCAGAAATGGAGGAAGTCTTGCAGACTTGCTGCGTATTTGATTTTTGTCAAGTTCAAAAACTGAGGAAGTCTCGCACAATAGCTTGGTTTTCAAGCTTGCAGATAGACAGATAGATAGATAGATAGATAGACAACTACAACTGCAACTACAACTACAAGTACCACTAGACTACACTACACACTACTACAACTACAAGTACGAACATACTACGCTACATTACACAACACTAATTACACTACACTACACTAATTGCATCTAATTACGCTACACTACAACTACTACAACAGCAGCAACAACAACAACAACTACTACTACTACTACTGCTACTACTACTACTACTACGACTACTACGTCGACGACGACTATCACTACGCCGACGACGACGACGACGACTACTACTACTACTACTACTACTACTGCTACTGCCACGACAGCTACAACTACAATTACAGCTACACTACATTACACTACAATACACTAATTAAACTGCAGTAAATTACAGCTACAAATACAAATACAACTACAATTACACTACATTACACAACACTACACTACACTAATTACATTACATTACGCTACAACTGCAACTACCACTACATTGCGCTACACGACACTACACAACAACTACAACTACAATATACTAGACTATACTACACTATACCACTCTACAGTACACAACACTACAGTACACTACAATACACTACACTAAGTACACCACCCCACAACTACAACTGCAACTACACTACGCTAATTACACTACATTACACTACAACTTACAACTACAACTCCACTACACTACAACTACAACTACAACTACACACCTACAACTTACAACTTCAACTCCACTACACTACAACTACAACTACACACCTACCTACACCTACAACTACAACTACAACTACAACTGCACTACACCACACTACATCCAGCAGTTGTGGTGAGGTGACCACTGCAACCATTGCAACCTTTCCAAAAAACACAACTCCAACCACCTTTCGGTCCATCACTGGATTCGCTCTGCCACCCGTGAGTCGCAACAACCAACCCTTCCTATAGGTTTCCTATTTTTGAAACTTCCGCCACCGCCTTGTGCGGTACTACTGGTATTATATATGTATTGTCTACTGGTGTACCATCTATTTAAATATATATAGATATGTCGCACACGTTTTTTTTGCCTAGTGTTTTGTGTGTGTAAATATATATATATATATATGCATATACACATGTTAGTAAGGAATTGTATAGATGCACATGCATGCCATATAACGTATACGTACCATCTCTGTGTTGCTCCAAATGAACTGGTTCAGCAGACTGGCTACTTCCAGGCTGGGGCTCTTCCCAACACCACCAATCAACATCACACACTGCCCTGCCATGTGATGGCCATCAAGAAACGAAAGTTATGACACAAATGTCCGTAGCAAAAAAAAAAAAAACAGCTGTGGTAAACGTCAATTACAACCCTTCTGCTCCCGATGAGGCTCCCCCTAAACACTGTCCCAGGTCTAAGTGCTATGGCCGCGAAAGCGCCAGGCCAACACCAACCCTTTGTTCCTACCAAGGCCTGGTGTTGACGGTCATCGTCTTTTGGACAATGTGCTTGTTTTCTGGGTCTCAACGCAGTTTTTCACAAGATCGCCCGCAAGAGCACTTTTAGCATCTTTCAAATCAACACCAGCAGATGCTTATGGTATCTCATATCCTCATGTTTCACGAGGTAATATCCATGTCATATCACATTTTGCTAAGCTATATGAGATATATTATATACATGTAAATACCATATCCATGCTTATATGAGATATATTACATGTGATATACATGACGCTTATGGTATCTCATGTCCAAGTAACAGGTTCCTATGGGGGTTACCCCAAAATGGCTGGTTTATAAGGGCTAACCCCAAACAAAAATGGATGAAAAAAAGGGGTACCCCCATGACTTAGGAAACCCCATATCCGCATTCAGGTGTTAACTTGGATGGGTGACTACTTTCGTTGAAATATTCAATCATAGTAACTTGGAGGTACCCCAAACTTCCCCAAACTTTCAGCCAGGCGGCCGCTTCGTGTAACCAACGCAAAGCCTCGGACTGCTCGGACTGCTCAGACTGCTCGGACTGCTGGCAGCGCTCCCCCAGGCGTGCCTTGGCGTATCATGACTCAGTAAGGGAATGAGCCGAATGGAACAATAGTGCTTAATGTGGGTATCTTATTGGGTTTATTGTGTGTACCACTGAAGAATGTGAACCAGGTATAAAAAGAAATGGGTTGGTGCCAATTTTAATAACAATATAGCAAACTATTTTGGTGGTAACATGTGGTGACCACCCAATTGAGAGTCGGGGTTGATTGATCCGGGGCTGATACTGGACTGCGAATCCCAAAGCTGATGTGAACCAGCAGCAATGATCCTGCAGAAGTTCGTTGTTTCGATATGTATGCGTCTGTATATCTGGTATGTCAAAATATCAATATATGTGTATATATATATATTTACATACAATACTATATATATATATATATGGTATATCATGTATATATATACATATGTATATAACTTGTGTATATACGTAAGTATTATTTCTATTATTATGTGTTTAAACGATTTTATATGTAAGTATTATCAATGTACAGTGTATATTGTTCAAGGAAAGTGATGATCATCCATTGGAATTGAGATCCCTCAAATTTTCAGATCAACCCATATCATCCCATATCCCAGTTAGTCCAAATCGTATCAAGTCCCATTAAATCCCATTGAGTCATATTATTAAACCAATATACCCCATGAAATCCCATTAAATTCCATTAAATCCCCTATCAAGCTATCAAGATGGTTAAATCCCAATAGTTGTATATCCCTTTATATCCTAGTTTAATTGTCGTTAAATCCCATGAAATCACCACTAGTTAGTCCATATGAAAAATTAAAACCGGTATCATCAAATCACTATCATCAATGATCATCAATGATAACCCACAACACCATTTAATCACCTTTCATCACTAAATCACTGTCCAACTTCCAGGATCAACTGCTCCGCACCTGCGCCTCCGCATGTCCCTGCTCCGCAGCTGCATGGAGCCACCGAAAGACCTGGCGGTGAACCGCCAGGTTTCCAAACGAGAAGCGACTCGGTGGTGATGATGTTGGTGATGGTGATGGTGATGATGATGATCATGACGATTGAAAGTATGGAGCAACGTCCGGGTTGGGCGGAACATGTTTAATGGGGATAATAGTGGGATAACAATCGGTATTTGATGGATTTCTGTGCATCGACAGGTGGATTTCAACATGTTTCAACCAACAACAGTTTGGTTTCAAAAAGTGAGAATAAGAATTTAAAAGACAAAACCGGGGTGTTGACTATAGCAAATGTTGTTGTTTTACACCATTTTTTAAAGAAGGCTTTGACATGTTGTCAACAACAAAAACGGGACAGAAACCAAGCAATCTGAGTACAAATGGGTCCGAAAGTTGCGCGCGCGCCCCATGAAACCACCGAGAATGGCACTGATCCAAATTAACCCCCAAATTGAAACCATCTTCTGGGGTATGTCAATCCCAAAACTCTCCCAACACAACCTGTCATTTCAGGAGCCGAAAACGAAAACCACACACAGGTCAATCCAAATTGCCCACTGTTTTGATTTTGCTTGATTTCTTCGGGACACGCAAAAGGAATCTGGCCATTGCAATCCTTATCGTCCTGATATCCATCCCAAACTGCTGAGTGAATACTTGAGTTCAAAACACCCGAAATGTATCGTTAAGCATAGGATTCCCACTTCATGGATGGTGATGATGATGATTTCCCCAAAGTACACCTCAAGGATAGTACACAGCAACCCTTCAAAATCATCAATCGACCATAATATATCAACTATATATATATATATATATTATTCCCGTAGTTTCATTGTTAAAACCCACATCCATAATGGTTAAATCATGTTAAATCCCATTAAAATCCTATTCTATCCCCATTTTACAAGCATTTTTCTTGGCGAAATCACCGGTTTTCAGCTTCCCATGGTTTCCACGGGGGGTCCCAGGCCTCCGACGAGTTCGCATCACCTCGGACCAAGCATGGGAAATCTTGGGGATTTATGGGGAATATAATATCTATAGTGATTTTATAGGGATTTTATAGGAATTTTAATATGATTTCTATATAGAATCACTATCCTATAAATGATTCCTATAGATGAATCATGATGTGATGGCTAATAGGGAACTATCTGAGTGATTTGTTTCGATAAATGTTGTGATTTTCAGGTTAGTGATTTTTGCTGGGAATATATATATATGGGTAAATTATAGTATTTCACTAGCCTGAAAAGTTCGGCTCTCTTCTGCGGTGGAGATGATTCCTCTTACTAACCATGATTCCAGCGAGGTCACAGTGAGGTCACTATAATTTGCCCAGAATATATTGGATAATGGGGATATAATAATAGGGATACAATGGGGATATAATACATAGATTAGATGAAACCAACAATAGTAGATATAATAGGGATGGAATGGGAGAATGGGGATAATATATATAATGATATGTGGCATGGTCATCCATCCGATCATGAATGGGATTCCTAATATAATGAGTGCAAAGAAATCCTTATCGATGGTAGTAACCCTGGTAGTATAAATAGATATAAACAGTGGTATTCAGACTTTTCGCGAAACCTTTCGCCGCGCTTTCGCGGCCTTTCGCGTCTGAGGCAAGAATACACGTCCATATCTGCAGATGTCACGCGGATACTACAAGTCTTGCATGGGTTTTAGAACGACTCCCATATAATCCAACTTTTGACGGAACCTGCGCGAGCGAAGTCGCAGCACCAAGGCCCCTTCCCGGTTAAGGGGGGTACGAGGTGTCACAAGGGTAGTCCGAGAATGAAAAGAGAGGGTGAACCATGAAACTGTACAACACGGATCAAGCCAAGCACAACTGCAAGCGGTTGACACACGGCCAAGGCAAGCACTCTGCAAAAAACGCGTGGTAAGCAAAGGAGGTCAAGGACAAGCCAAACAACCTCAAATTTGGGAATTTTTCATTGGTCTCAGGGCCACGTCAACATGACACAAGCAAAACACGCCGTAAGGACGACAACGGGCTTGCCCGGTCACCAACCATTCACCCACTGGTTAGACACCCCCATTGGTTGATGCCCCCTTTGAAATCCCCGTTGCTTGAGGCATCCCTCTGCTTATGAGTTCCCTGGGTGGTGAACATCCCCTGGGTGGTGAATATCCCAATAGTTCGTGATAAATTCTCAATCGGTAGAATCCCTTTATTTGTCGTTGGTTAGATGACTGTTTTTGGTTGTTATTGCCCTATATATGTCTTTTAGCTTCAAGTTTGTTTGGTGAAATCGTCATTTCTTGGTGGCTTAAATCCTTCCTTTGCAAATAATTTACAAGTCTGTTGCAAAAAAACAAAAATGCAGTGTGCGCTATACTTCAAAACTGTCAAAACCCTAGATGTTGTTGCTTAAAAAACTGTTAAAAACTGTTTAAAAACCCAGATGTTGTCAAAAAACTGTTAAAAACTGTTTAAAAACCCAGATGTTGTTAAAAAAACTGTTAAAAACTGTCAAAAGCCTCATTCTTCCCCAGCCCCGTTTCAGAAAACAACAGAGGTTAACCCATGGCCGACCGGGACCTGGACCGTTTGCCCGGGTGATTCCCGGGACCCCTGACGTCCTTCCAACTGCATGGCCAGGGCCAGCTGAGCATCCGCATCACCCTGGCCGTAGGATTCAGGGCATGCGCAGCTGAAAACCAGAAAGATCGCAGGAAAATTGTGGAATAATCTTGTTGGGGAATAATTGTGAAGAATAAAATATAACAAGAGATTGTTGGTGACCAATGGTGAAGAATAATAGTATGTTCCTAGTTATTGTTGGTGAAAAATAGAATAAAGTATGAAATATTATGGAACATATATATAATATTTTATGGCATTTTTTTAGAATGCTGGGTCAAGAAAAGCAGGTTTCCAATATGTTTTGTAAAATTTGCGCGGGTGCACCTCCACGATAAGTGACCCGAAACTATAACTACTTTTGAATGGCGAAATTTGTTCACGCCAATCAATTTCAATCGACAAAACCCCAGGGACATGAGTAGCTATAACCCGATCTATATCAGGTACAAGGATGGCCCCCTACCAGCCACAACTGGGTTTACAGGACCCATGGGTCCACCCTGGTTCCCGCCTGCAACTGGCTATGGCCATCTAAGGGAACTCCACCTATTTATGGTGCAGTTGGGATTATTCAGAAGTACAACTATGGTCAAAACCTCCATGTTTGTTGGGATGTAACCTGCAACTATGGTTATATAACTTATATAACCATAGTTGTGGAACCCATATAAATACTATAAATACTACATACCATGTATTTCACCACATACTTACAACCATATATCTATATATATATTTATATTCATTTATTGATACATTCATATATAACCCACTTCGTGGAGAAGCAGCCGGTCCTCGGCCTCTTTGGCCAAGTTCAATTGCCACGGTGCCGTGTTGGTCAGACACGACAGCAAGGAGTCCTGCCAGCTCCGCCGGGCGCAGCGATCATGATTTTTTTGGAATATATTAGGACTTATATGGGGTTCATATAATATATATAATTATATATATATATTAGAATTGCGGGATTATATGGAACTAGTAATATTTATATAATATAGAACATATTATGGGATTATATGGAATTAGTAACTTCCAATATTATTATTGGAATATATTAGGAATTTTCATGATGCAATGGTATTGATTATCATTATTGTGGGATTATTATTAGATTGATCCAATTATTGATGATCATAGATGTATTTTTGGAATTATATGGAATTACCAAAACATGTCAAGTAGATACATCATGATAGATCTATTGTCATCAGCACGGATCGGAATATGGACTTACCAAAGTTTATTTGATGTATCAAAAGTGATGTCCTTTCACTCTTTGATTTCACAAGTGGTAACATTGACCAGTACTACTCCTGGACACCCCCTTTTGATGTCCACCACGAATAGCATCCAGTTTTTTGGGCTAGAAAGAAAAGCTCTTTAGGTTTGCATGTAATCCATTCGTACGAATATCAACCATACTTGACTCCTCAATTGTGCCCCCAACAATCGACATCTGGCTCCGTCAGGTTGATCCTTTGTGCACCACCCATCAGTGGTCCTTGAACTTCAACAGCAGGTAACAGCCATGCAGCAGCACTGGCAGATCAAAGTAATGCACCAGCAGGTCGCCTGGCACGGAGAATCCGGGTGACCTCTTCAGGAGATCCGGGTCCATGTTCTCAGTGAAGTAACCACTTTTCAGTCATATAAGTCATATACTATATCCATGTCATATATTCTCCAATTCCCTTCTATATGTTCAAATCCTGTCCCTGAATCGCTGGTTAGGTTGCTCATCATTTTGTCGGGTGAAATCCCGAGTTTTGCTCAAATCCCCAAGTTCGATTGTGAAACCACCGTTTTTGGTGGGCGAAAAGCGCCCATTTTGTGCTGGTCAACATGCTTTAATGTTGAACCACGTTAACCCCCTATGTTCCTAGTTTAGCTGGTGAAATCTCATTCTTGATTCTTAAATCACAATTTCAATTTATCCTTTTTTCTTGGTTAAAATCACCATGTTTTATCCGTTTTTGAGTGTTACACCTACAATTTTCGCATTTCTGCTGAAAAACGGCCCCAACAAATTCGTGGTCCCACCTGCTGCCAACCACCTCCTGCGTCGTGAGCGCCGCGCTGGCACTGGCTGCACCAGCAGCTCGAGGGCCCCAAGGACAAGCACAGCCTCAAGGATGGGTGAAATGCTTCACCAAAATGGGAAGTTCACAACTACAAACATGTTGGTTTAACATGGTTTAACACTCAAAAATCCACTGATTGCAACAACACGTCTGCTAGCTACAGGCTATAGATTCAAAACTGCAAGCTGCACATTTAACAAAGTTGATCTACCAAAAGTGCATCTCTCACTTCATGGCTTTAATTGAGTTCATGCCTTTCATCATCTTCATGCCCTTCATCCTCTTCATGGACTTTATCGATTTCATTTCCTTCAGGGACTTCACTGGGCTGTACCAAATGCCCGCGGGCCTTACCTTAATCCGTAATCCCGGAATCCGTATCAGAAGCGAAAAAAAACGGAAAAAAAAAAGCAAAATCCCAGCATCTACTCAGGATTCTGGACCCCCATAGATTGGAAATCTTTGCTTTTTTTGTTTTTTTTTGCTTTTTTTGCTTTTTTTGGTGCCTGCCAATGTTTTGTGAGATTGTGCTTTGGTTTTTTTGGTGCCTGCCAATGTTTTTCGAGCATCATTACAAAACAAGATGCAAAAAATTGCGTTTCGCCTAGGTTTCAGAGCCATCAGATGCAGAAAACATCGGTATTTACAGTGTTTTGTGCTCATTTTCATGCAAAAATCACATCCCCATCGTCCTCCGCTCTCAAAAAAAATATATATCATATGGAGGTTTTTTCAAAAATGGTGGTACCTCTACATCATCCATAGATGGAATTTGAAACAAACCATATATTAGTAATTATTATAGATGGTACCCCCATTGATGGGGTTCCCCTATATGTCAAAAAAACGTAGATTCCATATATCATATAAGGTTTCCATAGACTTATATGATGGTTTCCATATGGTATATATATATTACATATTGATGAAACCCCTATATATCATATGTCCTATATATACGATTTATATCATATGTTCCATAGATTTCCCAAAGGATGTCCCACACACTGCCAGGTCACGGTGCAGCAGTGGTCATGATCCGCCACGCACTCCGCCTCGACCGACGCTGCGCCGCTCGTCAAGAGCGGCCGATTTTGCCAAGCAAAAACGGTGATGTCGCAATGACAAATGGTGACGTTTGCCAGAAAAATTGGTGATTTAACTACGACACATGGTGATTTAACCAACAAACCTAGTGGAATTCGCTGGCAATCATCGGATTTCATCGACAAAATTGGGAGCTGAACCAACAGAAATAATATTAATAATACTAATAATAAGAATAATGTATAAGGTCTTTAAATCCAAGAGAAACTATGTTTCGCGAAGAAGGAAAAATCTGGATGACCACCATTTTCCCCAGACCCCTTTAGTTTTATCCCCTGGGAGTCCCAACCCGAAGACCTGAGGTTTCGGTCTTGGGCCACCTGGCAGAGACATGCTCCAAATCCATGGGATTCAAACCTCATATTTTCCATATGAAAATGCCATTGCTATGCTATACCACATGTTCAGACACACAATTATTTTTATCATGAGAATGTGCTGATGTAATCTTGCGGATATAATTTTGGGGAGATCATTTCGGGGAGATGGAATAGAACCAATTACAATATGTGTGGCATCACATTCTTTAATTTGGGGATATAATTTAATGGTGAATTTTCCGTTGTTTTTTAATGTCCTGTTTTGGAGCTCGAAGCTGGCAATTTGGGTTTGTGCCAGGCGTTATTTAGGAATAGTGTGGGATGTATTTATATAGGGTTTGTTTACGGTTCTATTGAGAGTCGGTTTAGGTTTTATTCAGGTTTGCTTGCTTCAGTGTTTTAAAGAGTTGCTTTAGGGTTCTGCAGTTTCTTGAAACTACGTTTCAGGCTGAAGACAACGCAAACAGGGACAGAGAATGTGTTCAACAGGCGGTTCTTATCCATGTTGATGATTGGTGCGGGCTGGTGCCCCATAGTCGTTCGCTAAGTTGATTTATAACTAACACATCTGGGACTTGTGGTAGATATATCGAAATTGTTAGTGGGGTAATGTGAGGTTTATAAACCAACAAACAGCTGGGAATCCCCACTGTATCGCACCTTTATGTTGGTTAGATCATAGTCATAAGTAAATCGTAAGAATCACCATTTGTGATGATTAAAACCACCATGTTGATAATTAGCTAAGTCCACCATTTTTCATGATTAAATCAGTTGAAACCCATTGTTTGCTGGTTAAATCACTTCATTCCCATTAATGTTAGTCAAGCAATGATAAACCGCCCATATTTTGATGGTTCATATCACCTATTTATGGTAGATCTGGTGATGGTTTACTATTGCTTTACCAAAATTATTAGATGAACTAATCAATTCAGTAAATCAGCTACTATAGCGTGTATATATATATATATGTGTGTGTGTGTATGTCCCATTACTAGTAGTTTATAATTACTGGAACATATGACATACGTATACTTGTACAAGTCAATAATTCAATATTACTATTAAATGTTTGCCATTGTAATGGTTCATAAAATCACTGTATATTCTTGTTACTATTATATACTATCATCCTGATCCATATTGCTGATATATTATCACTACATTACTATAGCCATTATCATTACTATCACAACTACTTGTACACTATCATCATTACCATTATCATTATCACTATCACTATCATTATCATTATCATTATAACCATTATCATTATCATTGTCATTATCATCATCATCACCATCATCATCACCATCATCATCATCATATATTGAATTGCTCATAAAACACATAATTACCATTTTAATGGTTCATAACACCACTAGTTGCAATTATTATTATCACTGTTATCATTACATATCTGGTTGGTGGTTTTAACCATCTTGAAAAATATGAGTTCGTCAGTTGGGAAGGATTATCCCCAATATATTATGGAAAAAAAATGTTCCAAACCACCAGATATTGATGAGCCGTCCGCAGCTTCTCTTCAAGCCCCGTCCTCACCGCTGCAGAGCTTGCCACCAGCTCCGGCGGCTTCAGCAACGGCATCAGCCTGACGAAAATGAGCAAAATCATCAACAATAACTACAAGAACTATGCAACATGTATCAAAATGTGTGTGTTTTTAGTTGGTTTCTGGTTGTAACTAACATAGCCAGTTATGGACAATGTCCATATTCAAAAGGTAAATCATCTACAGTACAATATTGCAAATGGATCATTTTCCATGGCTATGTTCAATGACCAGAAGGTACAGTAACTTAGGACTGACTTGGAGATGTTGGGTTTATTATTGGAATATGTTGGAGCCTGTTGAAACTTGAGAGGGGGGGGACGAAAGGTAGGGGGGGAAAAGACAGGAGGGAGAGGCAAGAGAAGGTGCGACTGTTTGTAACGCAAGCACGCCGACGACGACGACGACTACTACTACTACTACTATGACGACTACTACTACTATGACGACTACTACTACCACTACTACTACCACTACTACTACTACTACTACCACTACCACTACCACTACCACTACCACTACCACTACTACTACTACTACTACTACTACTACTATGAGGACTATGAGGACTACTACTACTACTATGAGGACTACTACTACTACTACTACTATGAGGACTACTACTACTACGACGACTACTACTACTACTACGACGACGACTACTTCTACTACTACGACTACTACTATTACTACTACTACTACTATGACGACGACGACGACCACCACGACGACGACGACTACTACTACTACTACTACTACGGCTACTACTACTACGACGACGACGACTACTACTACTACTACGGCTACTACTACTACTACGACGACGACTACGACTACTACTACTACTACTACTACTACTGCTACTGCTACTGCTACTGCTACTGCTACTGCTACTACTACTACTACTGCTGCTGCTGCTGCTACTACTATTACTATTACTATTACTTCTACTACTACGACTGCTACTACTGTTACTACTACTACTACTACTCCTACTCCTACTCCTACTCCTACTCCTACTCCTACTCCTACTCCTACTCCTACTCCTACTCCTACTACTACTACTACTACTACTACTACTACTAGTTCTACTACTACTACTACTACTACTACTACCACTACCACTACCACTACCACTACCACTACCACTACCACTACCACTACCACTACCACTACCACTACCA